CTTAACAACAGAGCCAGCAATTTTCAGATTTGCTTAAGTGCAGCCCCCAGCAAACCCTCACTACCTGTTTTAGTAACTTCGCATTTTGGTAGGTTCTGTGGCATTGTTTCATAATGATCTTTAGGAGAGAGGGGAAAAAAACTGCAGCAAATGTCAAACCTCAGGATATATTCAAGAGGCCTTCAAGTCACTGCGGATTCAGGATCTGCAAAATCACTAAAGCACTTACATCTCAATCTATGCCTTTTAAGGTCAGAAGTACCATGAAATCACTCAGGACATCTTGTTCTGTTCAAGTTCCTTTTCATTTTCCCACCCTAATGGCAGTTGCTCAAACTTCTTGAGAAAGGCAATTTTTGATGTTCCCCTGGAAGAGATTTTTCTTGACAATGGATATGAAGCATTAGTGTTTGCTTTCTCCTTCTTCTTTATTCTGTTTTTTTTTAATTTTTTTATTGCATTTTAGGTTTGGGAGTACATGTGAAGAACATGCAAGATAGTTGCATAGGTACACACATGGCAGTTTGATTTGCTGCCTTCCTCCCCTTCACCTATATCTGGCATTTCTCCCCATGCTATCTCTCCCCAATCTTTCTTCTGTTTTAATTTGAAACTTAATATTTACAATCTCCAATAGATAAAATACCACAGTTATCCCCACTCCCACCACCACATCATCCTGTTCTTTTAAAATGAGTCGTGTCTGCCCATGTCAGGATGATTTTGGTGAGTGAATGGATATAATTTGCCTCAGCTCAGCACAACACATCAGTCAATGTCACTAAGTGGTCAAACACTCCAATTTCAAATATACTGCTGCGAGTCTAACTGCTGAAACCAGGGAGCTTTGACTAAATTTCTTTGGGACTTTGGAGAGAAAGCAGAGAGGAGAAAAGGGGTTACAACTGGCAATGTATTTCCTTTTTGCCCAGTGGAGGGTGTTGTGTATTTGTTTATGTGGATCAAATAACTTCAAGAGATGGAGAACCTATACACAGAGTGATTTCTCTTTTTTTTTCCTTTTTTTTTTTTTTTTTTTTTTTTTTTGAGGCAGAGTCTCACTCTGTCACCCAGGCTGGAGGCTGGAGTGCAGTGACAAGATCTCGGCTCATTGCAACCTTCACCTCCCTGATTCAAGCAATCCTCCCACCTCAGCCTCCCAAGTAGCTGGGATTACAGGCATGCACCACCACACCCAGCTAATTTTTGTATTTTTAGTAAAGACAAGGTTTCTCCATGTTGGCCAGGCTAATTTTGAACTCCTGACCTCAAGTGATCCTCCCACCTCAGCCTCCCAAAGTGCTGGGATTACAGGCCTGAGCCACTGTGCCTAGCCCCAGAGTGATTTCTAAAAGGGAAAAATAAATACATGTTAGTAACAAAGCGATGTAGCAGAAAGAATATGCCACTTTGGAATCAAGGAGACTGAAGTTCAGATTCTGTCTTTCTCAATGACTGTATGACCTTGGGCAGCCCACTTAACCTCTCTGGGTTTTATTTCCCTCAACTGCAAAATGAAGATTTAAAAATATGTTTATCTACCCTGCTCCTGTGCCTGGAAAATTAAACAGTTGTTAATGGTGTTAGGATGTAATAAATTCTCTACATCCTATGTTAGTCTCTAGCCCATCCCCTAAGCTGAACTAAGCCTTTAATATTTATACATTAGAACACCTCAACCAAACGCCGTAGGAGCTAGATGGTAAAAGGAAAAGCATAGAGAATGACAGATACGCGTTTGCAAAAAGCGATACTTCTGTTCAGTAGATGCCCTCTTCTCCTTTCATTGTTACTTGGTTGCTTGGCAACTTTAACCCAGTCATCCCTAAAAGCACAGTGCCACCTGCAACCCCCAACTTCAGGTTTTTAAAAAAGGAACCTCCTATTAGGAGAAAATTCACCTTGGTGGCAGCGTCATTGACGGGAGAAAAGTATATGTTTGAAAAGGCACCCCAGCCAACACGAATACATCTCGCATTTAGCACTCGGAGATGAGAATATCATAATATTTAAATCAGTTTTGAGAACTTTCCTTGAAAAGGAAAAGTGGGGGGGAAATCCACTAGTTGAATACCCAGGGAGGCCACGGGGAGTGGTTACCATAGCGATTTCTCTCTGGCAAGTGGTATTGGGGAGCAGATTGGTGTCGCTTAATCCTTTTTATTCGTAATTTATGTATGTTGGCTCATTCTCCGTGCCAGTCCAGATTTTCCTGTTTACCTGCCATTCCGCGTGATATGAGTGAGGAGAGACAATGCCAGGTTTCAGCCATTTCCTCAATTTGTCCACATTATCGGGGGTCGGAAGGACAGCCGAGAGTACACGGGGATGTCCCAGCACTTGGTTTTTGCCTGACGTTGGCAAAGGGTTAAAGAAAATTGTGCAGAGATTGCTGAGAGTGAAAGAGAATGCCACGACAATTTCTGTGATAATCCAGAAATGGTTTTGAGACCCATTTTGGCCTTATAAATCTTGGTTTCATAGCACCTTGTTAATGAATAATTTTTATCTCCAGTGAATGCAAAAGAAAAGGAGATGGAATCCCTTTGGTCTTATCCCATCATCCTGTGGCAAACACGATCCATGAAAATAAATACTCTGTTGCCTAACTTGCTAAGTAATTGTCTTTCTTACTGTGCATGGGTGCTGGGTTCCTGGGAGAATGGGTATTAACAGTGTTTCTTGGACTCTTTCACACTTCCTCAGGATTAGGCCACAGGAAAATGTCAGTTTCACTGACAATTAAATGGAGTCAGTTCCTTGTTCTCGAGAAAGAAGGAAGGAGATGAATACTTTATAGACACCTTCCTTTAGTCTCAGTGAGCCTTGGACTAAGAAAGGCAAGCCTTCAAAATGGGCTTCAGTAGATGTCAACTAATAAATACTCATTTCCATAAAATTTAAATGAACCCCGTAAAATCTACCTCTTGCTGTGCCAGAGCCCTATCTCATTACTCAAAATAGCAGCAATGTAATCATTGGAAACCACACCCTCCAAGGCTGAGGTGGCTGGTAGGAAACTCATAGCTAATTTCCACGTGCTTGTCCACAAAGGTGGTGAAAATAAGTAGCTAGACCTCTTCAAGTTCTTTCTGCTGTAGGCCATATCTCCTGCCAACCACATGTACCTTATAAAATAATAATTTTCAGATGTAGCGCTGCATTTTGATTAACCAAGAGACAGAGCATGGATTTCTTTTTCTTTCAGTACACCCAGGCAACTGTTCAAATATCTAAATACTTAAAAACTGCATGTGCTGTTTAAGAAAATTTCAAAACTTTAGACACCCACCAAGAGAGGGACTGATTTACCTCTCTAGATGAATTTTGTACTCTCTTTGCATTTTAAGTGGTTTAAGCAATGATGACGTCTGTCTTGTTGAGACTTAATTGCTTAATCAGAGAAGCTGTTTTTCAGTTAGACAAATATTTCCTTTAAGACTCATCTTTTAATTTTAAAAACCCTTCATTTAAATTTAGACACATTGAGATAGTCCGTATTTTCATCACCAGCAGTGCAACTGGAAGATGCTTTGCAGAAACACTGAGATAAGCAGTATTCTTCTATGAACGGCATCGCAGACACCTATTACATGAAGTTTTCAAGTGATTAAAATGTTTTCAGCCTGTACAGATATGCTCAAACTCCCACCCATCTTGAAATCCAGTGCTGTCTTGAAATTTCTGTGAGTTCCCAGAAATTATATTTTTCTTGATAGGGAAAGCAATATGGGGTTGTGGATAAGAAGTTAGATGCTAGAATTATACTACTTAGATTTAATTACTGTGTCACCATGGACAGCAGAAGCAACCTCTCTGTTCTTCAGTTTCCCTAGCTGTAAAATGGAGAAAAATAGTAGGCCTGTCTTATAGGTTGTTGAGTAGATTAAAGATACTAAACTTTTAAGCACTTTAAACAGGGCTCACCATGTTGTAAGTACCCAATACGCATTCACCGTAACCATTTTTCGCTTCTTCAGAATTCCTTTTTCTCACTCTTACCTTTGTAGCAATTCTTTCGATCACTTTCCTATAGTTAACCCAAGGTGGACCCAGCCCTTTCACCTTAACCATTGACCATCCCCAACCTTCACACATTATAATTCAAACAACAGAGACTTGTAGTAAACTTTCATTGAAAGGTAGAGGTGAGTAGAGCAAACAATCTATTATTTAGTTTTAGAGCTCCCGGTACTTACGGCATATGGCATTGCACCATGACATACCCTGCTCGTAGCGTATTGCACTGTGGGGTAATTGAAAAGTCACTCCGTGCTCTCGGTCTAGGCTGCCACGGTGCTTGTCTCCTTCCTCACCATTCTACCAACCCCAGGAAAAGCAAAACAAAAACAAAAAACAAAAACAAAAACACCACCTCCTTAATTAGCAGACCTATAAAATTCCCAGCCCCGAACCTAAACTCAGCCCACAACTTATTTCACATAGCAAAGAACTATTTTTTTGTGTGTGGTTGTAAACATTTATTAATGGAAAAAGAATGTTTTTCCTAAAACAGCTACATAACACTAAGATTATTCAAATTTCTAAATAATCCTTTTACAAGAGAGCCTGCTAACTTCCTTTTCCTTTATTTTCTTTTTTGAGACAGAGTCTTGCTTTTTCCCCAGGCGGGAGTGCAGTGGAGCAATCTCAGCTCACTGCAACCATGGCCACCCAGGTTCAAGCGATTCCCCTGCCTTAGCCTCCCGAGTAGCTGGGACTATAGGCGCAAGCCACCATGCCCAGCTAATTTTTTTTGTATTTTTATTAGAGATGATGTTTCACCATGCATGTTGGCCAAGATGGTTTCGATCTCCTAACCTCGTGATCCGCCCGCCTCAGCCTCCCAAAGTGCTGGGTTAGAGGTGTGAGCCACAGCGCGCAGCTTCTTTTCATACATTAACATGTGGAGCCTATTTTAAAAGCTCTTTAACAGTGACTTTATCGAAACACCTTCCTAGTTATTCATATAATGTCTCTTCTTTTTTTTAATTTCTTAGTTGTTTTTAGAAAAACTTGAACACTGATGAATTTGGGCTGCTATCAAATCCTTAAGAAGCATTTTTGCCAAATAAGATGGGCAAATGTCCTACATCTGCTAACTATGACATGAGAGGCCATGCACTTTTGAAAAATGAATAAATAACTATTTCCAACCAAGCAAAGAACTACTAATGACCTTTTTAAATGCTGAAAACACATCCTTGATATTATTCTTTTATGCCCCCATCCATCTGGGCAAGAAAAAATGGAATGGATGGAGCTACATGAGTTATGCTGTAGCCCAGTAGAAGGCCACAGTCAGCTCCGGTTTTGGATAACCAAGTTTTTTCTTTCTTTTCTTTTTTATTTTCTGGTACAATGGTCATTCAGCCTGCTGAGCAGAAAAGTGCCTGCACTGGGACACGTCAAGCTATCCCCGACAAGAGAATGACTGGACTCATAAAAACACGCGCCTTCTACAAATGTCCGATGATCACAGGGTCTCTTCATTTCCTGCTCCCATGAGTCTGGCTCTAGTTTTAAGTTGACTACAAGGGGGTGCCTTGAAGATCTCATCTTGAACGTGCTTATTTTCAGTGTCTGGCTCTTTCTGGGCATCACAGGTGTACAATATAAAGATGTGTTTGGCTGGCTGGGCACGGTGGCTCACACCTGTAATCCCAGCACTTTGGGGGGCCGAGGCGGGCAGTGGGCAGATCACGAGGTCAGGAGATCGAGACCATCCTGGCCAACATGGTAAAACTCCATCTCTGCTAAAAATACCAAACTTAGCTGGGCATAGCAACAGGAGCCTGAAGTCCCAGCTACCTGGGAGGCTGAAGCAGGAAAATTGCTTGAACCCAGAAGGCAGAGGCTGCAGTGAGCCGAGATCAGATCATGCCACTGCACTCCAGCCTGGGCAAAAGAGCAAGACTTCATCTCAAAAGAAAAAATATTTGTTTGGCTGCAAGTAACAGAGAGCTCAGCCTTCACTGGTCTCAGACAATGGAAACTGGCTTTTCTCACCGAATATGAGGCATCTGCTCTGGTGGTTCTGCTCACCCATCTTGGGGTCTCCATGGCTCTTTTGGCCTCATCCCTCGTGCTTGCATCATGGTCTTAGCCTCATCTGTCTCTGTGAGCATCACAACTATGTGCAAGGCAAGGGGACCGGGTAGAGGCATCACCCAGCTCATCTGCTCTTCTTGCCAAAAGAGCAAACACTTTCTTGGACGACCCCTCCCTCTTGGCAGAATTCCACTAGCATCTTATTCACCAAAACTGTGTACTCAGCAACACCTAGATGAACGTGAGGCTGTGAAAAATCTGTGTATTTTGCTTCTCCAGCCCCTCCAGTAGAGGAAGCATAGCAGAGGGGGTAGGAGTGCTGGAGGTGGTGTTTGCTGTAGAGTTTATAGCCACCCAAGAGGAAGGAACGTCTGAGATGTACAGATTTGAAGTGGTTGGGATTTTGCTGCTGGGTCTCACTGCTTATCAGCTGCACAATGCATGAAACCTTGGAGAGAAAAAAAAAGTTAGTTAAATATTTAGATGATTTGCCAACACAGGGAACTTGCCATTGGTAGCAAAGATTTATTAAGCAGGCTACGAAATATGATGTCATTAAGCAGTTGGAAGGCATGACCTCGTAATTAAGACAGGAGAAGGTTTCTATATGGGTAATAAAATCTGGGCTCCAATTGAGCATTTATTTCATTAATATTTATCGCGTACCTACTGTGTGCCAGGTACCTCATGAACTAATCCCATTAAACAACAAAAAAGTTTCCCTAGTGCCAAATCTACTGGTAATAATAGCTCCCATTAACTGGACACCGACATGCTACCAAGCTTGTGCTAAGCATTTTACATAACAGCCTATCCTCACAAGAACTCTAAGAAGTAGGTACAATTGCTCTCAATGTATACATTACAGTGAGGAACCATCCCAAGTGTGTCCGAACTGAGGGTTTTCCAGGACACAGGACTTTGAGTGTTAAGGCAGAGAGGTCTCAGGCAAAGTGCTGGGAAATGAAGAAAGTGAGGCTGAGTGTGGGTAAATGACCCTTCCAGGGTCACAGAATCAGCAGGTGGTGCCCCCGGAATCCAACCCAATGCCACCTGTTGCCTGCTGCTTCCAGGCTGCAACCTCCCCTTGAACCCAGAATACTAACCACTTCCCTTCCCTGCCACTTCCAAACACAAAAGAGGTGACCCTCTTCCTAAGCTGTAGAGCTGTCAAGAAAAAAACCCAGTCCACAGGGGATGGGCTTGGGTGGCCCTTCAGGGGCAACACCACTGCATAGTAACGGCTGTTTTGATTCTTCAACACAATGGCCCGCATGCTCCCTTCAGTCCTTTCTCCAGCCCATTCGAACTTAATTGCCTGCAGACTGTTTCTCAGCCCTGGTCTCACATTAGTGTCGCCTGGGGAGTTTGCAACACACTGAAGCCAGCACCATCCATGGTAGAATCTGTAGGAGTGGGCCTGGATGTAGAGCTTCTTTTTAACTTTTTTAAAAATTGAGGTTATCTTTTCTGCAGCCGAGTTAATAAATATTATTATAAAGTTCAATGGATTTTACATAAGTTCACACCCATATAGCCACCCACCAGATCAAAATACGAACTATTTCCAGCCCTTGGGAAATTCCATTATGGGCCTGGATATAGTTTTAAACCCCCAGAGGTGATTCTAATATGACCTTGGCTCTAACCCAGTAGTATGCCCCTAAATAGGTCATTTACCCGCACTCAGATTCAATCAGATTGGAAAGCTACTGGTTTAGAGCCCAGATCCTCTGCGGCCAGAGACGATTCGTTTTCCAAAGATGACAGTGGCTACAAGTTCCTCTCTCACAGGACAGAGAAGGGAGAAAAAAATAATCCTCAGTAGTTCCTCCCGCTGTGTTTATTTGCATATATTCTTCTCCACGATATAGTGAGCATCTTGAAGGCAGAAACTGCATCTTTCTGAGAGCCTAGCAAAGGGCCTTTGCATAGTAAATATTTATCAAATGGAGAAAAAAAAAGAAGAAATAGACATGTACTGCAGAGTCACGTCTGGTGTCCATTTAGGTTCATCAAGTTTCTCTGGGAAGGCAGACAGAGCAGCATTCAGTCCTTTTTGCAGTCTCTGCTTTCTTTCTTTGACCTAGAAAGGGCGAGTTCAGGAAAATGTTGATTCTGGGTCTTGTTCTCTTGCAGAGTTCACATTCGGTCTGTGCATAGGTGACACCAATGACTTGTAGTGTAATCCTGCCGTGTTGAAAGCTGATGTCAACTGCTAAATGGGGGAAAGCAGTGTGTCTCGATGGTGATGTGTATGTATGTACACGTGCAGCCAGAAAATAAGCAGAGGACTCAGGAAATTGATGTTGTACTTGCAAGAGGCCACTGACATTTAGGAATGATCCATGTCGAATGCACATTGAGCTGCCCTGGGTCAACGGGGGAGGCATTTTTTTTTAATGTATAAAACTTACAAGTTTGAAAAATATGTATTTAGCCTGGAGGGCAGTTAAAAAGACTTTACTGTGTCAGCATCCCCAGATCATTTATACATTTTTCTGCTCACATATTTTATTCATAATGTCTATTTTATTCTCCTTTATTTTGTAAACTTGGTGTTCAACATTACTGTTTCTCTTAGAAAACAACCCCATTATCTGAACGAGGCCACATGACTGTGGATCAGCGACTCGGGCAAGGTTTAAAATCAGCACGATGTTAAGCACCTAGGAGGGCTTCAGGGTTCTGGCTTGAGTTTATTGTTGTATGGTTCCTGAAGTCAAGTCTTGCATCAGGGCAAGAGGTGGGGAAGAGGGCTGCGGTTTTAACAATGACAGAACACTCAGGGGCAAAAGACTGAAGGCCATTCAGGTTCTTCACATGAAGGGAGGACCAAGGTTTGCTCACCAACAGGCAAGACCAGGCAGAGTGCTCACATCACACCACCCCCTAAAATGGCAAATAGAGCAAGATACAAATCATTTGCTTTTCACGAATTCTCTGGGCAGCCCAAGAGCTCTTGGGAAATGACTGCCATGAGTGGAGGGCTCAAACCTTGTATTTATTCAAAGAATGACTGCTCTGTTGCTGTTAGGTCACAGATTGCTAGGCTGCTTCCAGAAGTGTTTCTACGGAAATCGGGTTCTGGGCTAAAGATGTGACAATTTCAGGATATTAGCTCTTCTTTCTGCCCTCCCACCCTACTTCCATCCCAAAGCATGCAAAGCCCTTGATTGAATGCAATGAAAAAAATGAATTTATCAAAGAGGAAGAGAAGGGAGGGAAAAAAAAAGGAAGAAAAAAGGAAGAAAGGGAAGAAACCACTGTACATTAGACAAGTGCTAATGGGAGAGTTCAGGAGAAGGAATTTGACAAAGAAGAAGAAAACATTTTATTCTCCAGGGCAACAAGCATGGTCTGTATTTCCAGTATATTTCATACACATCTCCCGAATTCACATGCTACCAGTGGAGTGAGATCGCCATATTAATATTGCTTCTTCCTCAACTGTGTCTGTCTGGCCTTTGCAACACACATGTGTCAGCCAGAAGATGTTGGATCTCAGTGCATCTAACCTTCCTGTCATTCAAAGTCATCTGAGAGTGGAAAGAGTAGGAACCCTCCTGACTTGTAAGGAAGGGCATTTGCAAACCTTCATTTAGTGTGCTCTGTGCAACACAAATCACAAAACCCAGGACACAAAAGCAGGGAGGGCTCATGATCAAATGAGTATAGATAATGCTTTTAACTCCATCTCATTATTGGTCATTCCCAGTGGATGTGAGAAAATGAATAGCTCTGAAAGGCCCTGAAATAAAGAAAAACTGTTAAGCATCTAACATAGTAACTCCCAACTCTATCTGACCATGGAACATTTTTTTCTCCACCTGGAATTCTTTTAAATGAGTATTCTAAAGAACATACTTTGAAACAAAAGGCAAGAGCCCAGGAGTCAGGAGACTTGATTAAAGACTAAATTGCCCTTGTGGGTCAGCTAGTCCAACTTTTCATTTTATAGATAAGAAAATGAAGAAACAGAAGTTGTATGGTAAGTGGAGGGTCACAGAGGCAGAATTAGAACCAAATGACCCAGGATAAATGCATTTACCTCTGTGAGCTTCAGTTTCCTTGTCCCTGTTGGACTAGATCAGAGGATATCAACTGTTAGCCCTGAAACAGTCTCAGATGTGTCACCAAATTCTGAATAATGCATGTATTTGTTGCCTGTTGCTGTATAACTAATTACCCTAAACTTAATGGCTTAAAACAATCCTGTTTATTATATCACAGTTTCTGTGCATTGAGAGCTCAGGCGCCAGTTAGGTGGACCTTCTGCATCAGGATTTCACAAGCCTGAAATCCAGGCATTGGCCAGGGCTGCAGTCTAATCTGAGGTTTGACTGGGGAAAGATCCACTTCCAAGCTCTCACACATTGTTGGTAAAATTCATTACCTTTCAGCTCCAGGATTGGGGATTCTGGTTTCTTGCTGACCGTTGACTGATGACTACCTTCGGCTCCTAGAGGCCATCTAGTATTAGACCTCCACCATATCATGTTCCCCAACCTGACCACTTACCTCATCAAAGCCAGCAAGGGAGAAAGAGTCTCCTTCAAAATGGAGGTCACCATCCTGTGCATTATAGTCATGAAACTGACATCTCATCTCCTTGCCATATTGTATTGGTTAAAAGCAAGTTACAAGTTCCACACACACTCAAGGACAGGGAACTACACAAAAACATGCACATTAAGAGATGGGGATTATGGGACCATTGTGAGCTTCTGGCTGCCACAATGTGCAAAATTTATTTTTACTGAAAATGAGTATACCATTACAGAGATATTTGGTGGGGTAGTCCATAATGCTGAGATGATCATCTGATATGCTGTAAACCAAGGTATACCTTTCAATAAGCTAAAAGTAAGAATTATAGCACAGAGCACAATTGCCTCTCACAAGGTGTAAACTTCTAAAAGCAGCTCGTAAGAGGAATATTGCCGATAGTCAAAATTACCATTAAAAATCTTTTAAGCCATTCATAAAGCACAGTACACTTATGTTGTGTATTACTATATCGTACATTAACTTGAACTGTAATTCTTATGCAGCTGAAGTTTAACAATTATTCAGCCAGATTGAAGGAATGTCTATTCCAGAATCAGGGCATTCAAACCATCCTGCCTTAATACAAATTTCTAACAGTAAAGCAAATATGGATGAAGATATTAAAGCATCTAGCCTCTAGAGATTATTTCATTCTGTTTTAAAAGCATGCTTCAGAAACCTTAGGACATGCTAATAGGTTTGTTTGATTGGTGAGAGTTAAATGAGATGGAACACAAGAAACAAATCAGCCCACAAGAAAAAATTCACAGCCCGGCACACAGTAGGCAGTGAATTTTTGCAGACTGTGAATGTGCACCTTGATCAGACACTCACACACACGCACACTGCCTTTTGAAGAGCTGCAGAAAACAACTTGGCCACATGTATCCTGCTTGTCCAAGTTGGCATTTTCTCCTGTAGTTTCCAAGCAATTCCCACTCTCATGAGCATTGTGCCCATCTTCATGAGGAGAAGATTCTATAGTCAATGCCTTATTTGAATCAGCAAACAAGACAGCTTACCTGTAGTCAGGTGTGGTGGCTCACGCCAGTAATCCCAACACTTTGGGAGGCAGAGGTGAGACCAGCCTGGGAAACATAGGGAGATCTTGTCTCTACAAAAAATTAGCTGGGTGTGGTGGCACATTCCTGTGGTCCTAGCTACTCATGAGGCTGAGGCATGAGGATCGTTAGAGCCCAGGGAGTTGAGGCTGCAGTGAACTATGATCCTGCCACTGGACTTCCAGACAAAGGAAGACCCTATCTCAAAAAATAATTAAAAAATTTTTAAAAGACAGCTTACCTGTAATGATGCAATTTCACTCATAGGACCAGCCTACAGTAAGGGCAGATAGTATGTTCTGGGGGAAGTAAGTATGTCTCATAAGTATGTAAGCACATAAGGACCGGGCAGCAGAGCATCCTACTTAGCAACGTAGCACAATCACCCTGAACACTTTTACAAATACCTGGAGACGTGGAGATGTTGTAATGGAGGCTGCCTGGTAACTAATCGCTAACTTGTTCAGTTTGGGTGAAATCTGCCACCAGCATGTCTGTCTTTTGACGATATGTCACACACACCAAAATGGTGCAAAACCCTGAATGGCAGTGATTGTTCCCTTATCCTTCCTGCCCTAAAAAGAACTAGGGTTCTAAGTCTGGTGTCAAAAATTCAAAAGCGACAGGAGCCAGGCAGGTAACATATATGAGAAGAGAAGACAGTAGAGAGGGAAATGGAGTGGGGTGAAACGGCAACAATTGCTCTATCACTCTAAAAGAGTTCAGATTCGGAAACTTCTCCAAGCACTGCGTGGGTGAGACAGACAGGTTTACAGCTGGATTCAGCCAATGAGCACATTGTTCCAAGTTCTTAATTAAAGGCCCGCAGGTGGCAAGGTCTGTTTATATTGTCCCCCATATCCTAGATTTGAAAAAAGGAAAACATGATTACCCTGTGTGGAAACAAAATAGTAGGTTTTTTGTTGGCCTGACCACACTTAATTATTAGAGATTTGGGGTGATACCACATTCATTCAGACACCTCTGGGCAAGGTTAGGAGGAGATAAGATTTTTATTTTCATTTTATTTCCATGAAGGACTGTCTCTCAGTAATTCTCACTACTGTTATCCCATCTGGTTATAAGTGAAATACAGATTTGGGATATCATTTTTATCTGCACATATTTAAAATGTAATGTCCAAATATTATGCTGTTTGAAAAGAGACACCTGTCCAAAAAATTCCCGGGAAGGTTTCAGAGAGTGCACTTAAGCTCAGATTTAGACACAAGTAAAGCTCATTTTTCATTTTGCAGAAACCTTCAGACTAGCCAAGACTTGGAATACATGCTGAACATTTTGCAAATACAGCAATGCCTCATTTGTTTGACGTGGACTGTTCCATGTAAATGCATTTTCCACATAACTGAAGCCTATCCCAATGCACATCAAATCATACATTTATTTTAGCCATTTTGCATGGGAATGTTTCTGAGAGTGCATTACACACTTCCCTACCTCCTTAAATAGAATATGAGAAACATAATTTAATCTTTGCTATCTGACTCAGGGTCATAGTCATGAATATCAAGTATTGGGCTGTTCTGGGCTGAAATAAAGGGATGCCTTGGGGTCCCTACAGCATAAAAGGAGTTGTTTGACTTCACTTTGCAGGAGCTGAGGTTTCCACATTTTTTTAGAGTGTGCCTACCAGCTCTCCATCTCATCCTTCAGAGCTCTCATTATACCTAAAAGTCCTTTTGTTCCTACCTCTTTAAATTTGTCTCATCTATAGAATAGGAAGGTAAAGTGCCTTACTTGGTTGACCAGAAACCCTGGGTTATTTCCCCATTTTTAATACATTCTTGTACTTTGTTAACCTGCACAAGCTACTTGACCCTCTTGGCCTCTGTTCCACCATCGAAAAATGAGAGAATTAAACACATTCTCTAAAATCCACCAAATCTGCTTCCATTTGCATAATTTCATGTGATCTTTGGCTCTGAGATGAACAGACTTGTTAAAATTGTGCTTAAACATGGAGACTCTGGGTCCCAAGTGAGCACTTTAACATCCCCGTTAGAAGCAGAAGTCATTGGCTGTGTATTACCTTATTTGTTTATTGGTTCCATTATATTCTACATTGTTGAAGCTGTCAAAGGTGTGACCACTCAATAAATTGAACTACTATGCTGGCCAGTTGCAGTGGCTCACGCATGTAATCCTAGCACTTTGGGAGGCTGAGGCAGGCAGATCACTTGAGGTCAGGAGTTCGAGACCAGCCTGCCCAACATGGTGAAATCCCATCTCTACTAAAAATACAAAAATTACTCAGATGTGGTGGTGGGCGCCTGTAGTCCCAACTACTTGGGAGGCTGAAACAAGAGAATCACTTGAATCTGAGAGGTGGAGGCTACAGTGAGCCAAGATCACACCACTGCACTCCAGCCTAGGCAAGACACTGGTGAAGGAAAGAAAGAAGGGAGGGAGGGAGGGAGGGAGGGAGGGAGGGAGGGAGGGAGGGAGGGAGGGAGGGAGAAATGTGGGGGAGGAAGAGAGGGAGGGAGGCATGGAAGGAGAGAGGGTGGGAGAGAGAATGAGAAAGAAAGAAAGAGAAAGAAAGAAAGAAAGAAAGAAAGAAAGAAAGAAAGAAAGAAAGAAAGAAAGAAAGAAAGAAAGAAAGAAAGAAGAAAGAAAGAGGAAAGAAAGAAAATGAAAGAAAGAAAAGAAAGAAAGAAAAAAGAAAGAAAGGAAAAGAAAAGAAAGAGAGAGATGCAGTTTCAGTTATCTATTGCTGCATAACAAATCAACCCCAAACCTAGCAGCTTAAAGCCACAGTGGTTTGTTATTTCTTTATTTCTTTGATTCTGTGAGTCAGGTTCTGAGACAGCTGTGCTTGGTGGGGCATGACCTGGAGAAGCTTCCTTGACTCATCCACCTGCAAATGGGCTGAACCGAGAGGTCAAAGAAGTCCTCAGCCACATGCCTGGTGCTCCATGCTCCTCCACCTGATTGCTCTCCTTCCAATCTTTTTATAAACAGCCTCATTTCATAATATAATCCTAGCTTTTATTTATTTATTTATTTATTTTTGAGATAAAGTCTCACTGTCTCCCAGGCTGGAGTCAGTGGCACGATCTCAGCTCCTTGCAACCTTCCCCTCCTGGGTTCAAGTGATTCTCCTGCCTCAGCTTCTCAAGTAGTAGGGATTGCAGGCTCCAGCCACCACACCTGGCTAATTTTTGTAGTTTTAGTAGAGACAGGGTCTCACCATGTTGGCCAGGCTAGTCTCAACTCCTGACCTCAAGTGACCCTCCTGCCTCGGCCTCCCAAAGTCTTGGGATGACAGGCGTTAGCAACTGCGCCCCACCTACATCTAGCTTTTTTGCAACATCAAGGCGGGCTTCCCCACAGGAAAGCAAAAGCTGCTGAGCCTTTAAAGGATATGCCAAGAATTGACACACTATCACCTCTGCCACGTTTTCTTGGTCAAGTCACAACTCAGAGAGATCCAAATAAAGGAGACGCAACCCCACTTCTTGATGGGTGCAGTTAGTTCCACGCATGTGCAGGAGGAAGAGGAATTAGTGGCCACCATCTTTGGAAACCACTACACAGTTAAATAAATCTTCACACGATACTTTGGAAAACAAAGGTTTTCTTTCAACATCAAAAGTATTAATTGGTTTTGATGTGTGTGCCTAATCATTTTCTTAAGTAGTGTAGATTTGGTAAATAGCACTTTTCCTCTGGGAAAGGAATAAAAAGACAATCCACACTTTTAATTGGATCCTTCTCTTGAAGTGAATTCCAAGTCTGCATTTTCTCTTGTAAACACACAGCAAAGTTTCCACGTTTTGATCCTGTACTTGGTGAATCAAAGTGAAATCCTGGGAAAGGAAACATTACCTCTTTCTGAACTTTCTGTATAGGCGTGCTTGCCTTTGGTTGTTGTCAAAATTCTTTGAACGTGTTTGCCCAACAAACCAAATTAAGCAACTGCGATGTTCTGTGTGCTCTCTTGTCAAGGGAAGATAGGTTCCTTTCTCCTTTAGGTTTTTGTGGATTTCCTTTTTTTTGTTTGCCCTGTTGTTCATTTGTTCAGTTATTTATGCAGATTGTCTCAGCATATTCTATGTGTCAGGTTTTTAAAACAGGCAGTGAACAAGACAGACATCATGCCTCTCTCATGGAGCTGATGTTCTAGCACAGAAAGCAGATGATAAGGAAATAACTAATCCATTATAATTGCAACGAATGCTACAAAGGAAAAGCGTAAAGGATAGAATTTAGATTGTAGGGACCTGCCTTGGGATGAGAAATACACAGAGACCTCCTAGAGGAAGTGATGTTTCAGCTGAGCTCCGGAGGTGGGTGGGTGTCCCATAGGTGAAAGGACCATCGAAAAAGTTGCTGAGGTGGAAGGCATTCCAAGAACACATGAAAAGACCCCTTGGAAGGAAATGGATGCTCGTGGGTTCAAGGAACAGAGACAATCCAGTAACAGAAGCAAGGATAAAGATGTGTGTGATATTTAACCTAAAATAGCTATTTAAAAGTTGTGAAAACTTAGGCATAATACTCAAAAACTCTGAGACTGGGCTAAGGGATAGAAAAGGAAATGGTGACTGTAACCCTCGGTCACCCCCACTCACAAAAAGGCACAAACGGGAATCTCACCCACCATCTGGCTAATTGTCATTGAGCTTGTAAGTGTATTGATAACCTCTCTTAAGTGCCAGGCATTGTATTACGTGCTGGGAGTACGAAGATGAATAATAACAATAGGTTCATAGAAAAGATGAATTGATTGAGTGAAAAAGATAGGACCCTCCAGGAGCCCTCGGTGTACTTCATAGGGAGTTGGCGCTGGAGGATGGAGGAATGGAGAAGGCCCTGAAATGCAGGCAGAGAAATGATGAAACAATTCGGCGGGGCGGGGGGTCAGTCAGGTTAGATTAAGATCTTCAGCAGACCTGAAGACTGATCAGGTTACTATGCCCTCTCTTCTATCGACATGCATTTCAAAATAGTATTTTTATTTTTAAAATGACAAAAAAAAGGCTGTGCACTAAAAATAAAATAACTTCTTTCTAGGTTTTTTCTTTTGAATATGTAATTTTGGGTAAGTTCATCAAACCTGAACTCGTTTTGTTATTTATTTACTTGTTTATGTAGAGATTTGGGGGCCTCGCCTTATCAATGAGCTAAGTACCTGTTTGCCCTAACTTTGGGGCCCTTAGCAAGGACTTCAGTGTAAGAAATGGCAGAGAAGGCAGATTAATTCTACTGGGGTGTTGAGGTGGGGTGGGAGAACAGGAAAACTTCATATAGGAGATGTTAATTAATCTTTACCTTAAAAAGTGATATGCTAGTTAGGAAAAAGATTCTAATTGCTGTTTTTTAAAGTCCCTAATATATCAGAAGCTCAAATAAGAGAATTTACTTCTCTCTCACCTAAACCATCCAAATACAACCAGTTCCATGACCAGTGTGGTGGATTCACAGTGTCCTGGTTTCTGCCTTCTTTGTTGTCATTGCTCTGCTGCCCTCAACACATGGCTTTCATTTCGTGGTCTAAAAACAGCTGCTCAGCTCCCACCATTGCATCTACATTCAGTCTGCAAAAAGGAGGGAAGGAGATAAAAGGAAAGCATGCTCTTTCCACAGTTGCCACCCGGTTTCGCTTACTTCTCATTGGCCAGACATAGTCACACGGTTATGCCTAGCTGCAAGAAGCGCTGGGTACTTTGGGCTTTAGCTGAGTGGTCATGTATAGTACCCATCCAAAACTCAAGAGGTTCAACCGCTAGAGGAAGAAGGGAAGAAGCAACGAGCAGCTGCTGCCCCAGATGGCAGGTGGGGAAGGCCAGGACCGGCAGCCAAAGACAGGAGTTTTTAAGGAGCTTATGAGAGTTGCCCATGAGGTTTTACAATGCCCACTTCACAGAAGTAGAACACAGAAACACAGAAAGGCTAATGTAGATAAAGTGGCATAACAAGGCTGATAGTGGAATTGCTCCCACCATAGAGCAGGCAATAAAGAATTCCATCAAATAATAAAGCCCAGAAAAAGCCCTTCTGATTTTCATTATCACCATGCACTAGTAACAGGTAATGATTGGTGACAATATCAGCAACCAAATACTCCTCCTCCCTGGGGCACACATTCTCAGTGCTCCCCACCCCCATGCCATGCCAACACAGGAGGGGCTGGCAGGGAAGCCCAAGGTACACTGAGCCTGAATAAGCAGTAGGGCAGGAGGAGGGCAGTGGGGCAGACTTCGTCTCTATCCACCCGACATATACAGATAAACACACACACATAGATACACATATACATGCATGCATACAAACACATGCATATGCACATATACACATGCACACACATATGCACATAGGAACATGTGCACACATGCACTCACATACATGTGTACACCCTTATACACACATACTTAGGCACATGTGAACACATACACATGCACACATATACATAACTACATATACACATGTACACACACATACATATACATGCACACAACACAATGTACACACACACACACTTCTCAATACGGGCTGACATCTTTGCCATCGATTAATAAGCCCTATTCCCTAAACCCAGTGGGTTCTGGTATTTAAGTTCCTAGAGTTAGATTTTGTTCAAATGCTGACTCTCTTTTTCTGTATCTGTGAGTTTGAACATGTCAATGAGTTTACAGTCTATTTAGACCAGTGCTTCTCAAACTTCAGTCAGCAGGAATCAGAATCACTGGCAGGCTTAACACACAGACTGTGGAACCCCATCCCCAGAGTTTCTGATTCAGTGCTTCTGGGGTGGTGCACAAGAATTCGAATTTCAAAAAAATTCCCAAGTGAGGTCGGTGCTTTTGGTCTGGAGACCACACTTTGAGAACCACTAGTCTAACAGCAGGGAAAGAGCTTTTACCTTTTGTGTCAGGGACTGCAAATGGTTATAACAGAACTTGACATCATGGAAAGCTATGGGAGTTTTAACTGATTTTGAAAACAGAAAATGCATACTAATAACATTACATTATCTACTGGCATACTTTTCACTTTTCTTTCACAAAGCCTAAGTATTATTAACGCTAATAATACCTAAGCCTTTTTCACCAGCTCCACTCAATTTTAAGCTCAACAAGACAGGAACTAGTAAACATCTGGAGTCAAATACACCACCTGTCCCATCATGATGGCCCAATGCATATTTGTTGAATGCATGAATTTATTGAGATCTTACGATGGGCGAGTTATTGTGCTGTACACTTTATGGGCATCATTTCCATTCATCCTCAAAATAACTATGAGTGGGTTCTGTCATTGGTCTCACTTTACAGATGGGGAAACAGAGACTCATGGAAGTTAAGCCAGGGGCCATTTATCAAGAGGTGGCCACACTAGGATCTCACCCTTACTTTGCGTGACCCCAAGGCCTGCTCTTAATCATGCTCTCTCGTGGGGTCAGCAGCCTGCAGGCCAAATCCTGCTTGCTGCCTTTTTTTGTTGAACTCATGAGTTCAGCATAGTTTTACTTTTAAAATGGTTGAATATTATAAAAAGAATCTGAATAAAAGAAAAAATCTCATGACATGTGAACATTGAAATTCGTATTTCCGTGCGGCTCAATAAAGTTTCATTGGAGCTAGCTATGCCCATTTGTTTACCAGTATTTACATAAGCATTACAGGGCTGAGCGCGGTGGCTCAAGTCTGTAATCCCAGCACTTTGGAAGGCCGAGGCAGGTGGATCACGAGGTCAAGAGATCAAGACCATCCTGTTCAACATGGTGAACCCTGTCTCTACTAAAAATACAAAAAAATTAGCTGGGCATGGTGGCGCGTGCCTGTAATCCAAGCTACTCAGGAGGCTGAGGCAGGAGAATTGCTTGAACCCAGGAGGTAGAGGTTGCGATGAGCCAAGATCACGCCATTGCACTCCAGCCTGGGTAACAAGAGCGAAACTCCGTCTCGAAAAAAAAAAAAAATTACAAAGGACTTTTTTCTAGGGTTTTTTTTTAATATGTAATTTTGGGTAAGTTCTTCAAAGCTGAACTCATTTTGTTATTTATTTACTTATTTATGTAAAGAGTTTGGGTGAATCATGCTCTCATTGCAGAATTGAGTGGTTGCTACAGCACCCGTGTCACCCACAAGGCTGAAACTATTTACTATCTGACACTTTAGGGAGAAAAGTTGCCAATCCCTGTTTTTTGGTGCATGTCATCCTTTTCATAAGGAGAAATTGCTCCAGGTAAAAGTCATCACAATAAATCGTTTCTTTTATTTTTTTTTTAATAACACCCTGTTTCAATGAGCTGCCTACTATCCCACCATTAATGCTTCAGTGTTTTGGCTTAATGCTGGCTTCAAGTAGTTCTTTTCAAGAAGCAAATACCTCTGAGAGCAGTAGCTCATTATTTAGCTAATAACAGTGTGAGAAAGCAGTGTGGTGTTAGCAAAAGGCAATGGTCCAAGGAAAAGTCCACCAATATTCCCAAATGCAGCAATGTCTAGTTTTCCAGTCTAATTTCCCAGAGTGAAAGAAACTCATGTAGTCCAGGCCAGGGTACCAAAAGGTTCTTGCCAGGCTGAACTCCCTGGTCTCAGGCAAGATATGCCAGGGACTTACTTATCCTATTTGCTGGATCCCGAAGAATCAAAGATAAGGATTAGAATGGTTGAGTTCACACAGAGAATTGTTGATTATGTTTTATCCTTTTAAATATGTGTAAGTCATAGAAAGCTCTGCCGTCAAAAATATTGATTGCATTGATCTCTGCCGACCACAGAAGCATGGGGCTCATGTGGGCTGCAGCGGAAAGGCTGTGAAATACTTAAAATAAAGACGTTATCTGATGGAAGATGCTTTCCTCCTCCTCTCCCCTGCCCCGGAAGCAAGTTTGAACTGAAAATGCACAAATGCCAGTCAGCAAAAGGAAAAAGTACTTTTGCATCTCCATTTGAACATTAGCATGCAGACCTCGAGTCCAGCAGCACATTCTAGGGCAGCAAGAATACAAATTTCTGCAGCATGCATGGATTTTACAAGAAGTGTGTCGGAGTGAATTGTATTACAAGGCCTGATGAGCAATGTTAGTTTTCTTACAGAGAGCAGCCCCTTTATCATTTGAAGGAAAAAAGACATTGCCGATCAAAAGCCCTCTTTTTGCATGTGCAGCCCCTGTTCTGGAGCGAAGTATTTATGCATCATTCCCTTACTCGGCTCATCAGCCCTCTGTTCTGCAAGGTGGAGCCCCTACTCTGGTCAGCCCCTCTGATGAACATTGGCAACAATGTCTACAGCCCTGAGAAGTATGTGGGGAAATATGGGCATCAGTTTGAAGGCTCGTTGGTGGCAAAGATTTTCATCTTGTTGGTCTTTCTCAGAGCACAGGGCCAGACATGTAGTAGGGGTTCACCCAGTGTGTGTTAAACAGTGGCTGGATGAATAGGCTGAATGTAATACAAGGAAGAGAAAATAAGCTGGGATCAGAAAATGAACAATTAACAGCCAGAGAGGTGGGGAAGCCTCCAGAAACCAGCTGAGATTTGATCTAGGCCTTGAAGGACACATAAAAGTTCAGGAGGTAGAGAGAGAACAGGGCACCTTAGAAGGATCCTTTTAGCAGGAGAGGGCAAAGGATGGGTCTTCCCAAGCCCTTTCTGGAAATAGGCACTTTATACATCAATACAACTAAGGCTCTCCATAAAACACACCCAGACCTTCCAGAATTCAACATGGAAATACTCCCCAACAGCATTCAGAATGCACCAGAGTTTCATCCTGCCGTCTTTTGCACGATTGCTCAGGACCTGGCAATTAAGACAGTTGTTTCATACTGTGTGATGGTGTGAAGAGGATCCAAGGAGTGCCAGCAGATCAGTCCCAAACTAGCTTAGGACAGGGCAAGCAGGTCCAGCACAAATGTTGCACAGAATTTGCCAGGTGGAGGGACAGAGGGGGATAGAAAAAGTCGGCATCACAGGCAGGAACATAATGTAGCTTCCCTGGGAGACGAAGAAATGGTTGCTAGGCTCAATTCTGCTCAGCCTTTACTAAGCCCCACCAGGGCTGGGCACCATGCTTGGCATAGGGCATAAAACAAGGAAGTCAGCATAGGGGGCAGCTTGGTACAGTTGGTGAGAACATAGGCTTTGGAGGTAAATATTCTGTATTAGTAAATTTTCATACTGCTATGAAGAAATACTCATGACTGGGTAATTTATAGAGAAAAAGAGGTTTAATGGACTTACAGTTCCACCTGGCTGGGAAGGTCTCACAATCATGGCAGAAGGCAAAGGAGGAGCAAAGGCACATCTTACATGATGGCAGGCAAGAGAATGGTGCAGGGAACTGCCCTTTATAGAGCCATCAGATCTCATGAGACTTATTCACTATCATGAGAATAGTATGGGAAAAACTCACCCCCATGATTCAATTACCTCCCACCAGATCCCTCCCATGACATGGTCCTTCTCATATAATTCAAGATGAGATTTGGGGGAGAATACGGCCAAACCATATCATATTAATTCCTTCATTCATTAACTCATTCCATTCAATTAATATTTATTGAGCACCTATTATGTTTTAGGCACTGAGCACAGTTGTAAAAAGGCCGAGTAAAAGCTACCCTTGTAGAATTTATGTTCCAGGAGAGAAATGCAATAAATAAAGATTAGTGCTTATTGAGTTCTTATTACAGGCCAGACATTATCTCCAACGCTTTGTATGTGCATTAAATATAACATTTAAAACTCACAAGAAACCCGTAAGTTACTATGACATTCCCATTTTACAGATGAGAAAACTGAATTTCAGAGAGTTTAGAACAGGGATACAAGCATTGGCCTTCAGAGTCTGGTCTTTGACCACTGGGTTGTCCCATCATAGGACAGAGAGTGATCAGGGTTTGGGAAAGGGACAGACATTTACTAATATGACCCAGGAAGCCCCCTCTGAGCAGTGACTTTTGGGCTGTACCCAGATTAGAAGGAACCCGCCATGACCACAGTTTCACGACAAGGCTGAGAGTGGAATGGAGCAAAGCAGAGGGGTCAGCTGCCTGGATCTCATGTGGGCTCTGTCACTTACTACTTCATGCACTTAAGCGACTTAACTTCTCGGAGTCTGTTCATGCGAAAAATGGGGACAAAATCTTTAAGGGAATGAATGCAATGTATTCACCTAAAGCCCAGAGAGGAGCAAGCACTCAACAAATGTGGCCATTATTCCTGTTAACAAGACAATTGCCTGCTCTCCAGAATGTCACAATTGAGAGAGAGACTGATTGTTACTCTATGGTGTGGCTAGATACCAAATGTCTGTCATTCCCCAGACTCATTGACATTCTGGGTGTGGCACACCTCTAGCGTTTGCTTTCCCTTCATCGAGAGAAAGCCCAACCACCCTTGCTGGACCATCAACCTACACCCCAATGGCCAAGAATCTTTCTGAGCCTATTCACTACCATCGTCATCACTGCCAACACCACTGCCATCATCATCACTGACAGTCATCATCTTCATTGTGAACCTTAGCAAAGCACTTACTATGTGCCACGCTTTGTCCTAAGAGCTCGATCCTTGTTCTCATTCACTCATCATGTGAATCTCATTCACTCAACCATAGGCTTCTAAGGTTGTTTTATTATTTTCCATGTTTTTCAGATGAGGAAACTGAGGCATAGAGATGTGGAGTAACTTACCCACAGTCACACAGTTAGGAGGTGCATCTGAACCCGGGCAGTCTGGAGCTGCTGGTCCTGCCTAGAAACAGGATTTTTGCTTCTGGGCAATATTTTCCTGCCACTATTTGCATCTATTTTTCTTGCCTCAATTCAGACTTTTTACTTAAATGAACACTTTGTAAAACTACATCCTAGAGGAAAACCAGCTCTATTTGTCATTAAAAGGGGATCACTATAACAATGAAAATGCAGTCACAAGAAAACTGTGGCATCAAAACCCTTGCTAGACGTGTTGCCAGTCGAAGGCTCAGAGCTCACAGCCAGCTTTTTCTTGGCAGAAAGGGGAGATAACAGGTGTTAGGGGGTGTTAAAAACACATCAGCACAAAGCTCACCCTTTGACTTCAACAGAAAAAATAAAAAAGAATTAAGAAGGAATTGTCCTACTCAACTACCTGTCTTCTTCCAGGGTTTCCTTCCACTTTGGGAGAGACTGAAGTAGAGGGGTCTGGGGCTATGTCAGGGGACATGTTTGTAACAGGCTGTGTGTGCTTAAGCAAGACCTTGTGCCTCCTCCCAGTGATGAAGACATCGTTCCAATTTAGGGTCATCATCACCAAGAAGCAATTGGCTGGCCAGTGTGCATGCATGATAAACTTTTCTCTAGACAAATTAGAAATATAAGTCCCAATAGAAATGCAATTTCCATGAAGATACGTTTAGTGAATTTAAGAGACTCTTTCTTGGTCTTAAATTCATCCAACATTATACATTCAACAATTTTTTTGGAATAACCACAATATACCATCACTCCAGTGGGCACCAGGTTTTCAATAGTGAGATTGTTCCTTCTTACTTTAGAAAAATGAAAATATCCTCCCTTGTTATTACACAATGCTGATAGTAATTCATCTTTCTTCTTTTGTGTGTCAGTCTATAGCAAAATTAAAGTTTGGTTCCTTATATAGTTTTCTTTCATTTTTTTTCTGGACATTCCACTGTTCTGTCTCTTATATCCCCAAATCAGAGAACTTCTGGACTAAGTGGGTCCCTCTGAGCTCAAGTATGTTGGCACCAATTTGTGTAATGCTTAATAGAAATTCCTAAGCCAGCAGTTACAAATTGAGTGAAGGTAGGTGGAGAGACCAAGCAAGTTGATGTCTGATGCCTCATCTAAAAGAGCATCTGCTTCTCACCTCTGGGGAACTGTTGGCATGGAACAATGTGGACCTGGTGATGCCTGATTTCATGTGGTCTCGAGAAGGTGCAAGCCTGATTTTCATCGGGAGTCCCTGTGAGCTGGATCTAGCAGATAAGCCACAAGAAGGCTGCCATCCCCCGCTTTTTCTCATTAACGAGCTTGCCTTAAGTCCTGTCACAGAGACAGGTGGTAAAAGGAGGGAGGGGGGATGTCATGGAGAGAGCTCAGACTTCGGGCGGTGGATCTCGGGCCCTGCCATTCATAACTGGGCGATCTGGGACGGAAAGGACAACCTCTCTGGGACTCTGTTTCCCTGTCTGTACATCAGAGATTTTTATTCTATTTTGCCAATGTTATTCGAGATCAGAAATAATGTCTAGTGTTACAAGGCAGAGGACAGTGATTTTATTTTGCAAGTAAAAGACTTTGAGTGGCCAGGTGTCTGTAATCCCAGCACTTTGGGAGGCCAAGGCAAGTGGATCACTTGAGGTCAGGAGTTCGAGACTAGCCTGGCCAATAGGGCCAAACTCCGTCTCTACTAAAAACACAAAAATTAGCCAGTCATGGTGGCAGGTGCCTGGGAGAGGATTCTTTCCAGCTCTAAACTGTCAGCACTGAGAGTCCAGGTGTGTTCTCGGCACCCCAAGCCACTCCTTGGGGCTGAGGCACCCTCTGTGCTGCTGAGCCAGTGCTTGAGAGTCAGAGGCTGGCAAATACCTGCCACAACACACAGGGCTCCAGGTGACTCTTACAAAATGACCTTCCTTGGTGACATCAATTTGCTATCTTGGCTTGAGTCCCTGCCTTCTACTTTGTGAAGTCTGTAGAAAGTGCCCTGGGAATATTCGTTTGATGAATGAATGAATGATGTACTTAAAGTTTAAAGATTTAATGGAAAAAGAAATAGGTTAATAAATAAATAAATAAGTGAAAGGACTCAGTTTCAGTTTAAAGAATTCTTTCTTCCTATCAAAGCCACCCCATTTTCATTTCCTCTAAGGGCTTTTTTTTTTTTTTTTTCTTTTTTGAGACAGAGTCTTGCTCTGTTGCCCAGGCTGGAGTGCAGTGGCACGATCTCGGCTCACTGCAACCTCCAACTCCTGGGTTCAAGCGATTCTCTTGCCTCAGCCTCCCAAGTAGGTGGGATTACAGGCACGTGCCACCACGCCTGGCTAATGTTTTTGTCTTTTTAGTAGAGACAGGGTTTTGCCATGTCAGCCAGGCTGGTCTCAAACTTCTAACTTCAGCTGATCTGCCCACCTCAGCCTCCCATAGTTCTGGGATTGCAGGCGTTATAGGCGTTAGCCACTGTGCCCAGCCTCCTCAGAGGGCTTTATTATATCCTGCTGATCACATCGTTTAAGACCAACTGACTTGGAGTAAATCCTGGGCTACAGGGGCAGAAGGGTGCAGCAGTCCTGGCTCTGACTTGTGGTCCCTCCTGACCCCTGTGTTCATCTGTACACAGAGCCACAGGGGAGCTTCCCAGTTTCTTTCACTAACATATGACAGACATCCCTCTGTCTGGGCTCCTGTCACCCCCTTCCACAGCAGACATTTTCTTTTAGCTCCAGCCTTTTTGAGAGAATGCTTCCACTCACAGAAATGGTTCCAGCAGTGGGATCCTCAGGCAGGGATATACAAGAAAGGTTTTTGTGTCTCTGAATCATCAGAAAGCAGGCAGCCACCTCCACTGGCCACAGCACTCATGGCCCAATGGCAGGTGGGTCCAGTACAGAAGCCCTAAGTAGGAAGAGGGAGAAGGAGGCAGTTTCCTTTTCTATTTTTTGTTTTTTGTTTCAGACAAAGTCTTACTCTGTCACCCAGGCTGGAGTGCAGTGTTGCCATATTGGCTCACTGCAAAAAGCCTCAGAATTTTGGGCTCAAGCAATCCACCCAGCTCAGCCTCCCAAGTAGCAGGGAACACAGGCATGCATCACTATGCCTGGCTAAGTTTTTGGTATTTTTTGCAGAGATGGGGTTTCACCATGTTGCCCAGGCTGGTCTGGAACTCCTGAGCTCAAGCGATCCACCCACCTCTGCCTCCCAAAGTGCTGGTCAGATTCCTTTTCATCCTCAAAGCCTCTGATCACATGTCACCTCCTCTGTGAAGCCTTTGCTGACCTTTCAGGCAGAGCTAGTAGCTCTTTCTCCTGTGATCCTGTGGCACTTTGCCCATCTGCTATGATTTTGATGCATGACAAAATGCATTTCCCCTACTGTTCTCCTTTGTTAGCTCAAGAGCACCCTGGATCAGGAACTATATGCCCATGGCTCAGGCCTGTGTCAGGACAGCCAGTTCTGTGCTCAACAAAATTGGCTACTTGTATTCGTAAACAATCAAATAGCCAAAGTAACAATAAATGGAGTGACAACAGTCAATGTGGGTCTAGCCACGGCAAAATGCATGAATCTGGCAGAATTCCTGAGGCCTAATTATCAGGGAAAAGACTTGGCAGCTGGCATGGAATAATCCAGAAGCAGTGTTTGGCCTTGGTTAAACTGCGTTATGAACACAGGAACTGTGAAACTGGAGATCCATGTTCTTCCACCGGAAGCATTTTATTTTTTCATGTTTTTCTTGGTTTTTAAATACTTAGCTTACTGTCATTTCCCTGAGTTGAGAGCTCCAGCAGTTCCTGACTTGTCTTGGAGCACTGCTCTACTCTGTGCAATTTCACCTGGACTCCGCACGTCTCCGAGGGGAGGACCTGATTTCACTAGGGTATTTTCATGACTTTCCCTGAAAATCTAGATCTGCAAAGTCATTGTCTTAATCATTAGTAAAGAGAAAGGTAGAGAGGCAGTGCTAGGTTGAGGGTTCTGGGGAGGAAGCTGTACATGTGGATGTTGAACCCAGCCTGGGAGAGCAGCTGGCCGTTGTTCATGGACACCACTGCCCTCCAGTGGAACACACGGCAGGTCAGCTCAGGGAGGGCCACTCCTCTCAGGTCAGGGCTTCAGTGATGGGCCAGGAGTGTCCACACCTGTGTTCCTGCCATGAGCTCTGCCTTCCAGAAGCTCTCCTTAAGGTCTACACATCGAATAACTGAGACAATTGGCTGCATGGTGGGGGGACTGCTTTGTTTGTTGTTTCTTTGTTTGTTTTTAGTTGTGTGACTTTTTTGTACCAGCAGAAATAGGAGAAAAAAAAGCAAATGAAGGCCCTCCCAGCAACCTGGGTATCTTGAAGGAAGTGTCTTATGCCTGCACCACCCCTGCCTCTTCTTTCTCATCTTTCTGCTTTGAGAACAGGAGAGAAAGGACAGTGCTGGACTAATGCATGGCTAATGGTGGAATTTTAAATATTAGAGGGACAATGACTTTTGTAGGATTTGTCCCCATCTCTTCACATCAACAAACATTCCATGATTGCCTTTGATATATCTAAGCAAAGGAATTTGGAGAGCTAAGCAAAGGAAGACAAGACAGGGACTTCTATCCTGGTGGAGTTGCACTATTAACAGTTAAGCCATCTCAGGTTGTAGATAGTTAAGATCTCAGTATTTACAAACTTACCACTTGGAATTTAGTCTCTTCCTCAGCAATGCCCATGATAGAGATACAGTAACTTATCTTTTTGCTGTACATGAATTTGATTTGTGCTGCAATATTAATGGGAAGGGGTGATTCGATTGGTCACTAAGTGCCCTTAGAGACCCTCCCCGCCAGCATCCACCTCCCAATAAGTCTTTGCCTCCCTCCATGCCTCACTATGTGCATCGTATTGCTGATGATGTGATAGAACAACTGTTTGGTCATAGGGATGTGCTATCAAGTTGGAGGAGGAAATATTATTAGTAAGAGCTGGAATATCCTATTGTAGAAAGGTATTTGTAGGAAATGTGTGACTCTTGAAGAAAGTAAGAATTAGGAGAAACCCAGGAGCCTGTATCAGCAGGCCTCTCTTCACAATTTTAGTAATCCAGGAAGATCTTACGCTACCTGCCTTGCAAACTGGCGAAAGGTAGCAGGTCTACGATTATAATGATCAGAATTCTCTGAGATGAAAATTAGCTCCTGTGATATACAAGTTCAGATATCCTTGGAAAGATCAAAGGAGGAAATATTTGAAATAGAGCTTGTTCTGGAAATATTTGAAATTGAGAAGTTCATGGAAACCGTACGTGCAGCGGGATATGTATAAAGTCTGATGAGGACATAAATGAGAGTGCCTATGAGCCCACATTCTCCAACCACACCAGATACACCCCTGATAGTGAGACCATGCTTGACCACCTACATTTGTTCATTCTGTTGGGTAGAATTTATCAAACCAGAACACACAGGCCATGAGTTGTTCCTGCAATCAAGGAAGATCTCCTCATCATCTGGACACTGGCTGTGGGATGTCAAAGAATTCTCAGGCCCCTGAGTAACTAATGACGTAGAGCCATTAACTCTATTATCCATTTGAAATGACAAATGCATTGGTCCAAAACCTACAATGCTTCCTGGAAGACCCTCCAAGTGATATAACAAAGGTTATCTTCCAGAGATGCGATATTAGTCCTGTGGTTGCCTGTTTACTCCTTCATTGTTACAATAAATATTGACTGAGTGCTTGCTATGAGACAAGCACTGAACTAGGGCTGGGGAATCATCAGTGAACAGTCAGAGAAAGTCCTAGATTGCAAGAGCTTAGACTCTAGTTCGAGTAGAGAAAATAAACAAGACCACTTCAGGGTATGATAAGAGCTTTGAAGCCATTGAAACAGGCTAAGGAGTCTGGGTGGAAACTGATTTAAAGAAACTGGCCAAGGAAGTCCTGACCAATGTGAAACCCTTGTAGTGAGGAGTGGTCAGCCACAGGGAGAGCAGCAAGGGCTAACAGTCCATCGCAAGAGTGCACTTTGCATTTGAGGAACAGAAAGGTTTTGTGACTGCAGCCTTCTGAACTTGGAAGCAAGTGAGGGGTCAACCAGAGCTGGCCACGGTGGTAAAGATATGCAAAGTGAGGCCTTGGGAGGCATTTAAAGCAGGGGGCTGGGATGTGTGCTCGTTACATTCAGGGAAGATAAACCTGACGCTCACCCCTAGAGTCCAACACACTCTTCCATCATGATCAGTAGGAGGAAATGTGTGCCAAGATTGCTCAATGTCCAAGATTGCAGGTAACTCCCAGATGAAGATTTTAGCTTCACGTATGCTGCATTTTATTAAAAAATCCGCATAAACAGATAATCCACCTCTGTTTGTAAGTAGTTGGAATCTCAGTACAGACTTATCATTTGTAATTTGGGCTCCTTATTCCTGAGCTACTTACATCTCAGAGACGTAGTAACTTGTCCTCTCTGCAACGCTGATCAGAAGGAGTAATGTGAACTGTCCCGGACACCTGTGCATTAGCCAATGAATGATTGAATATTGATAAGCCTTTGACAATTTATTATTCTACATACAGAATCAATAGCAAAGCATTTTCTTTTTTAATTTAGTGAGGAATTAGCCTCTTTCTATTCTAATCATAAGAGCATTAAAAGTTATATGGTTCCTTTTTCCCACCGGTTGCCAGGAAGCTCATCTACAAAGTGAATGGTTAATCACAGTAACCATTCTAAGTTTTATTATTAAGATATTTGCCTTATCCTCCTTTTTTAGCTTTTTTTATTTATTTCCTTTATATGTCACCTTAAATCTTTTTGTAACTAGAGGTGCAATATCAATTTTTTAAATTGCATGTTTCAAGCAATAACCCTAGCCTACTTGACAGATACTTTAGAAATTTTATATCCACCAGTGGCAGGGTGTGAATAGTTAATTGAATCAGCAATTAAATATATCATTATATAAAATTTCTAGAAAATGTTAAGCTTTGGGACTTTGGCCAAGAATTTATCACCTAGGCAAGTATTTCTACTAGAAAATCAGGTTCTTCCATAAATTCAAGATCTGACTCTATTGCCATCGCAAGGGTTTCAGGCTTAATATAAACCAGGAATGTTTCTCATCACTTGAATGCATTTGCCAAAGAACTTCAACTTCTGTCTCCTTTCCTGTTGAACTTTAAAAACCGGAGAGGCAACTGTCTGTCGAGACTGTTTTGTCTAGAGCAGGGCTGGAGGCAGGAATCCAGCATTATAAGTTTCAGTTCTTGGTCCCCAACTCAAAGCTATGGGAAGCACCTTCATTGTACCTTGTTAATTGCAAAATTAACTTAAAAATAAAAGAGTCTGTCTTCTCTTTGCTTCCTATGAAGCAGGATGTACGGGGGCGGTGATTATACACAGACCCCAGGACTGTATTCTGTGATCTAGCATCGAAAACCATTTATGACTGGATTTAACTCCGGAAATCCCTGCTTGCGCCTTTCCTCTGATCATCCATATCAATTTCAGTCTCATGACTTCGGCATTTACTGGCACAGCTGACTGTAAACACACCGCAGCCATTAACCAGATAATCATCCACATGTGGAATTTGGCCATAAACGTGGGCCTTGCTTCTAGACTAATTATATGGATAATGGTTGTGGGGAAGAAAAGCAAGGAAAAATGTGAAATTCTAGAAGATATTCTAGATAGTTTTCTGTAACTTTTGTAAAAACCAAGAAATCAGCTAAAAATAGCAAGCACTTGATTTTTTAATAATATATCTAAGAGGTGTCCATTGAAGGAAAAGAGAGGGCAAAAGAGAAGGAGAGAGAGAGAGAAAGGGAGGGCAGAGCCAGACACATTAATGGGTCCCAAAATGTTAGTTTGTATCATTAACATTTTGGGATACATTAATGTTTACTACAAAAATTCTGGATCAGGATTGATAAACTGAAACCCCCAGTCCAAATCCAACCCACTGCCTATTTTGTAAGTAAAGTTTTATTGGAACACAGCCATGCCCATTTGTTTACACATTATCTATGGCTAATGTAATGATACAATGGCAGAGTTACAGAGACTATATGGTCTGCAAAGTCTAAAGTACTTCTTTATTATCTGGCCCCTTCCAGAATAAGTTTGCCAGCTCCTGATCCTGACTTTTTTGTCTCTACCTATTTATCTTTTACATAGTCTTTGCACATTTTTTTTTAATTTTTTGGTTTGAAAGAATTATAAATTCATAAGAAGTTGCAAGGAAATGTAAGACGAAGACCCGGGCACCCTTCCCAAAGCTTCCCCCAGTGCTTGCATAACTATAGGACAATATCAAAACCAAAGCTAGTTCAGATTTCACCAGTTCAGCTGCAATCATTTTGGGTGTTATGTAAGCTTTTTAAACATAAAAGGGATATGAAACGAAATGCCTTTAACGTTAGGAGTGTTAATAATGAGAAGTCCTCAACTGATGGACTAAGAGAAAGAAAAGTGAATAAGGTTAGTGGAGCCTGAGAATCTCCTAAGAGCCCAGTATGATCCAACAGTCCTAGGAAAACCAGACCTATTTCCTCTATACCAGTAGTCACTCCTAAGTCATAACAGCCAGCACATTTGGGTGGAGATTGTATGTTTTATTTTCTCCTAAACTTACAATCCTCTCTACTTACTTTCTTCTGCATCATCCCCATCATCTTGACACTAAACGAAGAAACAGAAAGAAAGACAGAAAATGTGTGCATGAAATGTGACTAGGGAATCAAAGATGACAGAGCTTTGAAAAGGCCCAGAAGGTCTCAGCCCCTCCAAAGCAAGGGATTAACAAGAAAGGTGACGTTCAGTTTATTCAAATATGTTTATCTGACATCTGTCTGGATTTCATCTAAAGTGTGTAGGCTCCTTCTGGATCCTTCCCCACAAGGGCCTGGCCTCAGTATCATACACTTTGCGTGGGATGAAGTTCTCAAGCCTCAACAGCTAAGGAAAGCTGCCAGGATGTCTGCCAAACCGTGTAAGATGGAGAAACACCCCAGCTCTGAATTCAGCCTGCTGTGAATTCTGTTATAACCGATTGGTTATAATACATGGACAGAGTTACCAAGTGTCTACTTTTGGATATACTAATATTTGTTTGTGTTGAGTGAGGCTGGGCTAATGAGCCTAGGTTATAGGTGTTTGGGAGAAGTATGAATACAGTTGGTAGGGAATAGTGACAAAGCTTTTGTTCTGTTTTGTTTTTAACAAAGGCTATTTAAGAAGCTGGAATTATAAAGCGTTGTGGTCTGAGAAATTTAATAGGGCAGCTTGAACGGAAGATAGTAACTAACTGGGGAGAAGCCACAGAAGTGGCTTCTGAATCCTCTCCTGGACACTGGAGGCTTGTGCCAGAAAAGCAGAGAGAACTGAGGTGCTTGGTTCTTCTTCCAGGACCTGGTGGGAGCCAGGAGATGTGATGTGAGCTAGCACAGCTGGGCCAGGGGTAACCAGAATCCTGTTACCAGTGGCACTGCCAACCACTCATGATCTCTGAGGGGCAAGGGAAGAGGACCAACAGGAGAACCAGGCAGGAGTCAGAAGAAAGAGGAGCAGGAAGGAGCCAGGCATAGAGAATGGACAGCAGGTGTCAGACACTGATGTGTGTGGTAGAGGTGGTCACCGGGGATCAAGGGGAGTCAGTCTCTCAGCCAGATAATGAATATTCACTGAATTCCTGCTGCATTAGTCAGAGTCCCCTAAGGAGACAGATGGCAAATTCAAATTAGGAAGATGTGTAAGGGTTATGACAACCAGAATGTTTTTCTGGGTGGAGCTGGGGAATGCGAGAGGACCACAGGGACAGGGCAGGAAGCCATTCCTGGTGGCAGTAGAGCTCTTGACACCTCTGCACTCAATGGGTCAAGGGGAATGAATGATGTTCAGAATCTGAGAATAGAAAGTCATTTGGAGAGAAGGGACAGTGACACTCAGTCAGCCATTGGAACAAGCTTGGGACAAGTGTGCAGGGATGGAGCCAGGAGGACAGAGGCCCCATCGTCACTGCCCTCCTCTGGGCTCCCATTCACTGAACACATCCGAAGCCAGAGGGCAAGGAGGCCTCCTATGAAGAAGGCAGGGTGGAGCAAGGCAGATGAGCTGGAGGGCACCCCACTGAAGATTCTGGCACAGCTACCACTGGCCAGCCACCGTGCTGAGCATGGGACCCACCCTGCTGAAGCCTGAGGGTAAAAATAAATCATCGTGAATGAGCTGAAGCCATGAAGAGGCCCCAGTGCCCTGGAGTCACCTAACAAGGACAGCCTCTAGCCTAGTCCTGGGGGTCCAGAAAGATGCTTCTAAGCCTTGAGCATTTTGCTAAAATAAGAATGCATGGCCAGGCATGGTGGCTCATGCCTATAGTCCCAGCACTTTGGGAGGCGGAAGTGGGTAGATGACGAGGTCAAGAGATCGAGACCATCCTGGTCAACATGATGAAACCCCGTCTCTACTAAAAATACAAAAATTACCTGGGCATGGTGGCGCATGCCTGTAGTCCCAGCTACTCAGGAGGCTGAGGCAGGAGAATTGCTTGAACCCAGGAGGCGGAAGTTGCGGTGAGCCGAGATCGCGCCATTGCACTCCAGCCTGGGTAACAAGAATGAAACTCTGTCTCAAAAAAAAGAGAATGTATTAGCTAGGCAGAGAACAAAGACGAGCGTCAAAGGCAAAGACAGCAGCATGTTCAAATGTCCTGGGATGCAAACATCATGTTTCAGGTCGGAGGGGAAAGGGCAAGAAGAATGAAAAAGGTGATAGCAGAACAGAGGCTGGTCACACGAGGCCCTGTAGGCTTTTTAAGGAATTCACACATGATCCTGTGGGGGATAAGGAGAATTCAAAGTATTTTAAATGCAGAAGGGATCTTAAAGGGTTTGTGTGTGCATGTGCACACACATGCAGGCATGCATGTGTGTTTGGAGTGAGGCGTAAGGCTAAAAGCCAAGTGGAATGAAGAGGTGAAACTGGAGATGCCTAAGAAGCCTGAGTAGTGTGCTAAGCTAGTTCAGGCTGGATTAGGGAGTAGTTAGCTAGGGTACCAACTATTTCCTTTTCTTGTGTAGTTTGCACTGAGAGATCTTTAGCTGCAAGATGAAAAGGCACAGAGACCTGACGGCTATTTTCAAATCCTGGCAGATGCACTGTAAGAAAGGAGGACTCAATTTGTTTTGTGTGTCTAAGAAGCAACAGGCTGTTCCTTCAAGACCACTGGCATGCAAAACCTACTGCATCTGGTGCCGGCCTGGGCACTACCACATCTTTTACTCCTTCCAACAGGCCAAGATCCTTCCTTCTTTCAGCTCCTGCATTAACTACACTGGCGTGTGTGTGATTCTCTCTCCCAGGACTTCCTGGGGATGCCTCCTTCTCAGAACTCAGATCTCAGCTCCAAAGGTCTCTCCCTTCTCTATCCCATAAGCTCCATGAGAGCAAGCATGCCATGTGTCCTGCTCACTCTTATATTACCCTCAGTATCTAGAAAAGAGACGCTTATGTTGTGGATGTTCATTATTTTGTGGATTGAACAAAATTTTTTTAGAGTTTTGCAAAATCTGATGGAAGTACTTAGGAGGGACTAAGTGTCCTAATCTTAGAGGTAAAGAAGTAGAGACAAGTTAATTAGAGAGAGCATTGAGTTCTAAAAGAGGCTAGATTATGGATTGAAAACACAATTGTTGCCTTTGAAGAACAATTTTATCAAGCAGATTTTGAAGTGGGGAAATGGAAATGTCCTGGTTGAATGGGAGGTGGGAGGCCCAGAGCACTCCTCTAGGTTTCTCTGCCAAATATGGTTTGAAACTCTTGAGCTACATAGCTCTTATGTTTCCTTCCTAGCCAAGATGCAGTGACTTTATCTCTAGCATGGGCAGAAAGATGACTCTTGCATCTCCACTTGGGAATAGATAAAAGCCACCATCTCAATGGCCAGATCACTAGGAGAAAAATCTCTAGGCTAGAGACTTCAAAATGGCAGTCTACAGGATTAAGTCAGACCACAGATTGGACAATATTTGCAATGTTCTTGAATTTGGCCAACGTTCTTGGCCAAAATCTAATGACCACATCCAGATATTCCCACACACCAGAGCATCTGTTCATCCTGGGTTTGCCTTCCCTCATTCATCCATGTATTCATTCATTCATTCAGTGAAACGTGTTGATATAATGGAGAATAAAGCAGATATAAATGTTGTCCTAAGGAGTTTGCATTCTAAGGGTAAGACATGAATAAAAAATAAGTCATGGAATGCATCAGACAGTAAGCCCTGAGAAAAATAAAGAAAGGAAAAAACAACAGCTTGTGGGAGGGGATTAGGTGAGGTCAAGGGATACAGGGTTGGAGAGGGTCTCACTGTGAAAGGAGTCATCTGAGCTAAGACCTGAGGAGGTGAGTGTGAAAGCCATGCAGACACTGAGGAAGGAGCAGTCTAAGCAGGAGACCAGCCAGTGCCAAGGCCCTGAGGTGGGAGCACTCCTGGTATGTTGTGAATGGGGGATCGCTAAGGGGGGTCAGCATGGCTGAAGCAGGGTGGTGAAGGCAGGGGGCTGTGGTCAAAGGGAAAATGTGAGGAGTGAGGGGTCTGACTGAAAATTGCACTTCCAGTGTGTGGCCAAGGGGAGAAGCATTGATCTGGGGCCTTGTAGAGAGTGTAAAGAACTGGCATACTCCAAGTGAAATGGATTGTGAACAGAGGAATGACGTGGATTTACTATTTTTAAAGAATCCTGTGTTGAGAATAAACCATAAGTACAAGTAGATACCTAGAGACCAGTTAGGAGGCTATGGTAATAACCCAGGTGAGAGATGACTGTCTTCTTAGACCAGTGGTCCTCAAAGTGGGTGTTTTTTTTTCTTAGAGGTGAGGTTTCTCCACGTTGGTCAGGCTGGTCTCAAACTCCTGACCTCAGGTGATCCACCCACCTCAGCATCCCAAAGTGCTAGGATTATAGGCGTGAGCCACCGCGCTCTGCCAAGGTGGGGTTCTTAAGTAAGCAGCATCAGCATTGCCTGGAAAGTTTAATTGTTTTGTTTTGTTTTTTTGTTAATCAATGAGAGCTTCTTATGTTGCTCAGGTTGGCCTTGAACTCATAGCCTCGCCTCCTCAAGTGCCAGGACAACTGGCCCAAGCCAACACGGCTCCTGTGGAAAGTTTTCTTAAAGAAAACTTTTTTGTCTCACCAGAGGCCTACTAAACCAGAAACTCTGAGGATGGAGCCAGCAACCTGTGTTCAAATCAAGTCTTGAGCTGGTTCTGATACACAGTAAGATTTGAGATCCACCACTGCCTTGGACGAAGATGGTAGTCATGGAAGTGGTGAAAGAGCTTGGTTCTGGATGTTTTAAATATAGACTTGGACAACAGGGAAAGGCTAATAGAGTGGGTCCCTAAAGACAGGATCAGACGTCTCCAGTTTGCCCCTGGCCCCACTCAGTCCTTTATGTTCCTCCCTGGACCCTTTAGGCATTTGTCTTTGTCCTCTGCCCTAGACCTCTGGATGAAAACGGTAGAAAATGCAATGGGAATCCCAAACACTTCTATGCAAAAAATTGCCTTGGGTCATTTCCTTTTGCATGGAATAATCATCGCAATCATTCTCTTTTGCAAGTGTGAGAAGGGAAAAGTGAAATGTCTGTACTGAGGCTTTGGGGGAGGGGTGTTGAGGAAGGGAAGGAACCAATGAGCTCATGATTTCCTATTTCCAATCTGGCTCCCCTTTCCCAGAGGGAATACTCAGGACCTGCTGTTACTTCTCACAAGCATGAGAGAAAAATCACGTTCCAACCTCATCTGCCAGGCGGCAAAAGTCTTAGCTGCAAACTGCAGTTCCCAAATGCAACTCTTATTAACGTCGCTATCACATTCAGCCCAGACAGTGACCCATTCTGTCGCCTGAAAGAATCCGCAATTAACATGGGGAGTCTAATCAGGATATTAACGAGTTGGGTTTTGAATTCCTATAATATTTTCATCCGTTTTTTTAAAAAAACTCATTCAACCTACATTAAGCTTGGCAAGTGGATTCTGTGGGGTGAGAAGTGACAGGATTTGCGAAAGCTTTTATTTTCTCATCAGGTAAAATGCAAGCATATGGAATATTCACTTTGTTTTAAAAGAAACCTTCATTAAGAAATGAAAGGTTGAGCCTGTGACCACTTTGTTAGAGGATGACTGAGCTGCAGGAGAAAAGATGAGGGCATCAGGAAGAGAAAGTGCACTGCCAAGGAGGGCTGAGAATTTCCACCACTTCTCCCTTCCAGGGCTGGTTATTCCATAGCTTCATGCCCAGGGAAATTACACACGCAAATCAGACACTCCAAAATACACAGAAGATTAAATCAAGTCAATATTTGGTTTGTAGCTAGTATATTGTATTAAATCTAAGAAGCTGCGGATTACAGGATCTGTCATTATTTAGGACCCTTTCCATGAACAAAACAAAAAGGAAAATGCTCTGAATTCATTGTAAGATCTCATTGATTGGAAGATGCATTCTGATTTTAGTGATATTAAGATGTCTGGGGGTAGACAGTCCAAGCTGATGGGTAAGCGCAGTGAGGCCAACACACACCCATGTTCTTTCTACCTCTTTCTACTCCATCAGCCTTAGCTTCCATGTCTTGTCCTTGTGTCTGCAGCACGGTGGTAGATGCATCTTCATACCTCACCTGTACCATGCAAAAGGAGAGAGAGTGTAATCAGCCAGGACTGTATCAGAGAAGTCACAGAACCATTTGTAGATATCTCTCTCTCCTCTCTTTCTCTCTGTACATATGCACGTGTGTGTAATGTATTATAGATCTATGAATAGATCTGTGCATATACATATATGTATGTGTACATACACACATACATTCCATACTTGAGTAAATAAATACAAATGCATATACATATATACAGAAAGCAAGAGAGAGAATGAGGTTTACACAGTTGTGTGGCATGGCTGGGCAAGCCTGACACCTGCAGGGCTGGCCAGCAAGCTGGAAGCTCACAGGCAGGAGCTGAACTTGCAATCCAGAGGCAGAATGTCTTCCTCAGGAAAGCTCCCTTTGGGCCTTGAGATCTTCAACCGATTGAATGCACTCTGCTTGCATTGTTGAGGATAATCTCCTTTGCTTAAAGTCAATTGCTTATGGACTTTAATCACATCTAGAAAATACCTTCACAGCAACCCCTAGAGACTTACTGGTTGAATATTGAGGGACTATTGCCTTGCCATGTTGACTCATAAAACCAACCCTCACAAAAAGTGCCATGATTTTTTTAAAAGTCCCTCCTAACAAGGTTTTGCCTTTTTCATTAGGGAGGGACCCATTCCTTGTAAGTTTCATTGAACAGAACTATATCACATGACCACCCCGATTGCCATGGAGGCTGGAGCTGGGGTATGTAGTTTCTCAGCCACCGTAGGAGGGATGTACCCAGGGATGGCAGCTGTGAATGGATGCTGAGTGAGCCAACCCATAGGATCTTCCATGACCTATTTACGGAATGTCTAATGACTACAAGAGACTGAACAACCACGTGTGGCTCAGATTCGATTCTTGTTAATCATTACCAAAGATAATTAAATACCATTGACTCCCAATGTGAAAAACTCATTTCCCTTCCATGCATGGCAGCTGAAACTGCTTTTCGATGTAGAGTAGGGCTATAAAATGCCTTTTAAAGTGTTTAGGCTAAAATGGAAACCCTCTTCAAGAAAAATATTTAGGAAGCGCCTTGGTAGTAGTTGTACGCTGAAGCAGACATTGGGAAACTGTCATGTGAGTCGCTTAGGCATGAATCACTGATGACACTGGTTTTTCAGTGCTTCCCCTAGCTAAAGCACAGGCTCAATGCTATGTTATCCACGTCCCTGGCCAGGCAGCATGAGGTGTGGTCGTGAGAAAGTTAAAAAACCTCTCTGACCCTCCATTTCCTCACCTGCAGAGCAGGGACATGCCATAATGTGGCCACGAGGTCAAACGCGGTCCTGCTAACTCCTGCAAGGTGCCTGGCCTGTCGTGGGCATTCTTCAGCCGTGAAGTTATTGTTACTGTTTCATTCATAATTTATCTGAGCAAAGAGAATGTCTTCATAATTCGTTCCACATAAATTGAAGGGTTTTATTATAAAAAGAGCGATGGGCCTGGGTTGGAGGAGGACTTAACCCTACCGAGCCATAATGTTCTCCATCTAAGGTGGGATGGTGAGAACAATGGAAACATTGGTGAGACCCATTCACCTCTTCAAGGAGGGTCTCCTGTGATGACTGGCTGGGTCCTCCCTACCAGAAAAAGTAACACAATTAGTATTCTGTCTTCCAAAAGGAGTCATTCAGGCACTTCATGGTTAAATAACTTGTCCCAGGTCAAACAAGTAGTAACTGCCCATACTAACTTGAAATCAACAAGGTGACTTTGCCTCCTAGGGGCCAGCTGACAATGCCTGGAGACATACATGGTTGTCATGACTTGGAGTGTGGTGGGGGGGACTGGCATCTGGCAGATAGACCCCATGGATGCTGCATAACGTCCTACAGAGCACGGGACAGCCCACCCCCCACAAGAAAGGAGCACCCAGCTCCAAATGTCGGGAGTACTGAGGGCGAGCAGCCCTGCTCCAGAGTCCCTGCAAGCCTGGACTCACAGGTTTTCATGAGGGTCAGATGAGGCCAGCATTCTACAAACATCAGGCAGGAGCCAGGCATGCATAGGCAGTGATCAGAAGCACTGAGGAAGCCTTCTTAGCAAAGTACAGACGTGTTGGCCAATGCGTAAACTTATGGAAGTGGGTTCCAAGTCTCTCTCTCTGAATCATTGGCAAGTAGCAATAGAAGACAAAGAACTAAGCGCAGTGTAGTCACCAAACTAGCTGTGTCCCACCTCTAAGTTAAATACTCAGTCCATAAGCTCAGGTGCAGAGGAAATGTAACGTTCTCTTATTTTTCTTCAACTGAACTTCTATTTCCAATCCCTATTCTTCATGGCAGATACTTCATCTTAGTCAATTCAGGACTCCTTCCAAGACATACAGCGAATACTGGGGCAGGCCCTATGCAGGGCGTGGTGGGCATATTCAGGCCAGGGAAAGAAGGTTCATTTACCAAGGTGGCTCTAGAGGCCTGAGTTGTCCCCAGCCTTAAGCTCTCACAGCGTTTTCTGGTTGCCAAGGGCCAGGGCATCACTGGCTGTTCCTGAGCCACTCTGAACACTGAAAGGCCTCATCACGTGTATTCTGCCGTCAGACTTGCGAGACAGCTATGTCCTTCTCACACTGGGGCACGTGGGAGCTCTGTAAGGCGGCCACAGCCAGCCATATGATTTTCAGGGCCCAGCGTAAAATGAACATTCAGGGTCCCCTGTTCAAATATTAATAGGAATTTCAAGGTGGCAAATTGCATGAGGCCAAGCACAGAGCCCTGTGCAACTGCATGAGTCAAATGCCCGTGAAGCTGGCCCTGGAATGGCCCTCAGGCCCATCTGGTGAGATGCTCCTCTTGGCCACTGTGCTGTCAATCCTCCCTTCCTGCACTGGAGCCTGGGGAAGCCGGGGGACTCGCTGCTCTCCTGGGCACTGCTAGGGGAAAGGATGCAGGTTTTTGCTACTCCTAAATCCATGCAAAACTATCAGGATTTGCATCATTTCCCCTTCCTCTGGAACACCAGGCAGCATCTGACTCCCCAGGCCACCTGCAGCTCTCATCTGCCCCCCACATCCCGATGTGTGTCTGCTCAGGCCCAGCACAGAACGTCTGCGCTTTAGTCAGGCCTTTTCCTTTGCCTGAGTTGTCTCAGGAATCTTGCTTTTGCAAAACCTGCATTTGTTCAACTCAAATTCCTTTTCTTTCATTTTTGGTGTGATTATCTCTCCCCAGAAGCAATAAATGCTGATGCCTGGTTGGGAGGAAAGCAGGCAATGCAGGAATGCTAGGATAAAACAAGGTGATTCTTCAAAAAGTTATTGCACAATGTGCAGTGAGCCCTACATCATCGTCCTTTCAAAATATTCTACACTGGTCATTTCCAAAGACGAAGAAACTCAGTGAGGATTGCATGGGAGAAATTGTGGTGGGCACTCCTGTAAAGGACCCCATGTAGGCTTTAAGATCTCACTTAGAATATCCAAAGGACTATAAATCGTTCTACTATAAGGACACATGCACACGAATGTTTATTGCAGCACTGTTTACAATAGCAAAGACCTGGAATCAACCCAAATGCCCATTGATGATAGACTAGATTGGGAAAATGTGGCACATATACACCATGGAATATTATGCAGCAATCAGAAATGATGAGTTTGTGTCGTTTGTAGGGACATGGATGAATCTGAAGAACATCATTCTCAGCAAACTGACACAAGAACAGAAAATGAAATACCGCATATTCTCACTCATAGGCAGGTGATGAAAAACGAGAACACATGGACCCAGGGAGGGGAGTACTAAACACTGGGGTTTATTAGGGGGAAAAGGGGAGGGCCAGTGAGGGGGGGAGCTGGGGAGGGATAGCCTGGGGAGAAATGCCAAATGTGGGTGAAGGGGAGAAAGGAAGCAAAACACACTGCTGTGTGTGTACCTATGCAACTTTCTTGCATGTTCTGCACATGTACCCCAAAACCTAAAATGCAATAAAAAATTTTAAAAAAAAAGATCTCACTTAGATTCTCTCTCTTCCAGGAAGTCTTCTCTTATTTCACCCAACTCGGGGTTGTTCATCCTTCTGAAGCTCCTGTAACATAACAGCTGTGCCTCTAGCCCTCTCTTTCTGTCTTCTTTGTCTTGTAGACCTGAGAGACAGCAGTGAGTAATGGGACAATCACCAAGCGTGGGAGAGGGATGGAGATGGGGTAGGCTCTGCATCTGTGTTTGCTTGTACAAAGGGCCTAAGTTCTCCAGACCTCAACTTCTCAATCTGAAAAAAAAAAAAAATGAGTGCAATTATTCCTACTCTGCTGGCTTGTTTGTTGTTGTGCTTGTCGTTGTCATTTTTAATTTTTGTTATTATTGTTATACAAGTTTCAGGTCTGCTATTAGATGTAGGCGCCTTCAGGCCAAGATCTTATTGACCTGTATGTTCCTAGCCCCCTTTTATTCCAGCATAGAGGAAAGTCCCTGGCACATAGCAAATGCTCAGTAGTATTTGTTGGGGCAGTGAGTAAATTCCCAGCCTCAGTTTGCTGGTCCTTGAGAAGGTAGACATGAAGTCAGGACACACAGCTTCCCTTATCCACCTCCAGTCACCACCCTTCCAGAGCATTTGCTGAGCTCACTACCAGGGAATGAATGCAACAACATTTGTTGGTATGCTGAGTTGTGTCAGACTCTGTGCTAAGGTTGGAGTGACCAATAATCCCAGTTTGCCTGAGACTGAGGGACTTCCTGGGACATAAAACTGTCAGTCCTAAAACTGTGATAATCCCGGAAGAAGGAACATTTGGTCACCCTTGCTAAGACTTTTCATGTATTATCTCTTTCTTTTTCTTTCTTTCTTTCTTTTTTAATAGAGATGGGATTCTCCCTATGTTGACCAGGCTGGTCTCGAACTGCTGGCCTCAAGCAATCCTCCCATCTCAGTCTCCCAAAGTGTTGGAATTACAGGCATAAACTGTGGCGCCCAGGTGCATTGTCTCTTATCTATTTTAAATATGCTTTGTTTCTTAGAATAGTTTTTTATTTATTTATGTCTATATATATATGTATCTTTTTTTGGTGGAAGCAGGAAGCAGGGGGACAGAGTCTTACTCTGTCACGCAAGCTGGAGTGCAATGGCATGATCTCAGCTCACTGCAACCTCCACCTCCCAAGTTCAAGCGATTCTCCTGCCTCAGCCTCCCAGGTAGCTGAGAATACAGGTGCCCACCACCACGTCCAGCTAATTTTTATATTTTTAGTAGAGACAGGTTTCACCAGGTTGACCAGACTGGTCTCAAACTCCCGAGCTCAGGTGATCAGCCCACCTCAGCCTCTCAAAGTTCTGGGATTACAGGTGTGAGCCATCACACCCGGACAGAACAGTTTTAGATATACAGAAAAATTGAGATGCTTGTCCAAAGAGCCCCCACATGCCTCACACCCAGTTTCCGTTATTTGTAACATCTTACATCAGTACAGTAAATTTGTCACAACAACAAATGAACCAGCACTGATATGTTATTATGAACTAAAATCCATACCCTATTCAGATTTCCTTCATGTTTCCCTGACTTCATTTTCCTGTTCCAGGCTCACACCCACAATACCACATAGCAGCACATAAACTTGCCATGTCTCGTGTCTCCTTGGGCTCTTGTTGGCTGCAATATCTTCTCAGCCTTCTTTTCTGTATTTGATGATTTTCACTGTTTAAGGCTTACTGGTCAGGTTTACTGTAGCATCTCATTTAATCCTCATATAAACCTTAAAGAATGGGTACTATTGCTCCAGTTTCCAGATGGGGTTGCTGACACTTAGGTCAGTGTAACCAGCAAAGGGTTGAATGGTAATATGAGTTTCCATTGGGGGCAATGATTCTTTAATAACATCAATATCATAATAACTGTTACCTTCAGTGCTTGTTCTGTTCTATCCCAAGTACCCTGCAAAGAAGCCTGTACAGATTACATTATTTCATCCTTACAAGCAGAGTGGTGTAGACGCTCACGTATGCCCATTTTACAGATAAGGAAATTAAGGCCAAGAAAGGCTAAGTCCCAGGCACAAGACTTGCAGCTGATGGAAGAATGTAGACCCCAATCCAGGGCCTTTGCAATACTTTATGCTCTGTCTTTCTAGGAAATACTTCCTTCCTACTAAAGACTGATCCATTTGGGGGAATATCTGCCCCCACCCCCTACCATGGAACATCTACACCAGGGTTTCTCAGACTTAACTGTGCCTACTCATCACCTGAGGATCTTGTTAAAAATGCAGATTCAGTAGGTCTGGGGTAAGGCCTAAGGACCAGTATTTCTTCTTTATTTCTTTTCTTTTTTTTTTTTTGAGACCGAGTCTCATTCTGTCACCCAGGCTGGAGTGCAGTGGCACAATCTTGGCTCACTGCAACCTCCACTTCCCGGGTTCAAGTGATTCTCCTGCCTCAGCCTCCAGAGTGACTAGGATTACAGGCGCATACCACCATGCCCAGCTAATTTTTAGTAGAGATGGGTTTTCACTTTGTTGGCCAGCCTGGTCTTGAACTCCAACCTCAAATTATCTGCCCATCTCGGCCTCCCAAAGTGTTAGGATTACAGGTGTGCCCCACCATGCCTGGCCAGGATCTGTATTTCTAACAAGATGGCAGGTACGGCCACACTGGGAGTAGCGAGGCTGGACACTGTCTCCTACCTCACATTTTCCTTTCTTTCCAGTACAAACACGGTAACTGCTGTATAGCCACACAAGGCAGTGGCCAGAATTCTCAGGTCACTTACTGACTCTCTGGACCTCCAACTGCCAACAGGTAAACAGAAACTGAGGCACTGAGAAATCCCAGACGCTACCAATCCGAACAACCAATTGGCAACTCCAACCTCTCCAGCAGGGTTTGTTTAAAAAAAAAAAAAAAAAACATAATGAGCCCAGGTGAGGCTCATTAGAGCCAGCCTGGAATTCTGCCAGTGCTACCATAAGTTTTATGCCAACCCTTGATTTTCACATCAGTGGCAGCACTGACAAGGAAGCTGGAAGGCAGGCTGAGATGAAGCTTTGTACCCATGGAGCCCTCCTCCCTCCTCCCCTTCCAGGAGCTCTTGCCACGAGGTGAGACGGTTGGCTTCATCAAATCAGAACCGGCTCATGAGTAACTTTCACTGTCCTCCCCTTTCTAACAGGCTGGGCCCCAGGTGATCCTAAAAATTAAATAAAGCTCAAAAAACGAGACACTTAGGAGAGCCGGGCATGAATAGCCCATCCCCGGCTCCAGCAAAATTCTTTACTTCCCTTGTCAACTTCCTTGGAATTCCTTTGGGCCTTTGACTAGTGGCAAAGTTTCACTCCAGAATCTCACAGCTCTGGAGTATTTCTGCCAGAGGGTCCCAGTCCCCTGCATGTTTTCTTGTTCTCATGCAAAATTTCAAATGGGCAACAGTAGCCAGTGCTGTCTTTTCTCCCTGTAAATTGAGATATTTACACGGATGCAATATTTTCAGAATAGGAATCTAGGCTGCCTCTCAAGCTTCCAGATACTTCCCAAATTGCAGCTAAAAATTCTTCTCCTCCTCCTCCTCCTCATCATCATCCCTTTATCATCACTGTCATCACTGGGATTTACTGCATGTTAGGCACAAGGCTTGCATTTTGCCTGTATTTTCCCAATTAATACGCACAACAAGGAAGGTCATATTGTTGTTCTCACATTACTGAGGATAAAACAGGCTTAGGTAAAATAGCTTCCCAAAGCCACCCTACCACTGAGTTGAGTTGACCATCCTATCCGCTTGGCCACTAAAGTGAGGTAAAGGGCATTTTCACTATCCAAATCCACCAAAGAATTTTGGATAAAAATTGATTGACTTACAGTTCTGGCCAAAAGTCAAGAACTGATCATTGGTTTTTATATGACAGAGAGACTGACAAAGAAAGAGAAGGGAAAAATCATTAAATTCACAAAATAATGCCCTAGAGGTTTATAAATGAGGGCAAAAAATGACATCAACAACACTGTATTTGTACTAATCTCTAAAAGCAAATGAACTCCAACTGGCTATGTTAAAAGTAAATGTATGTTGACATGTATGTACTAACCTAATATGAAAAAAAGTAACCCCATTGGAAACGTTAGAAATAAAATTTACAAACTTCACTTTCTCCCCTGAGCAGTAGAACCTATGCTCTGATAAAATTCCGCAACTTAGTCATTTGTTTATTTAAAATGCATTTGTTGAGCATCTCCTATGAGCCAAGGAGTAAAGATTGTGTAAAAAAAATGAACTATGTGAGTAGATGGACAATTCAACTAGCAAATGCAATGCACTGCGATTGACAAGTTTGAGTGTTTGTGTTAAGAGTTATTTGTGTGCACACAACAGAAACTGACTGGTGAATCCTAGCAAGTTCAGCATCTCATGAGAAAAAAGAGCATCTAATGCAGATCTAAGGGAAGTAGTCAGGGAAGCCTCCTGGAGGAAGTGACGTTTCAGTCGAGACTTGAGGAGGAGGCAGAGGAACCTGTGCCAAAGTGTGGGTGTGTGTTTTTGTGGGTATGGAGCAGGGCAGAGAGGCTGGCAGGCAAGTGTCCTCAGCAGGGGACAACACACGTGAGATGACAGGGAACTAGGCACAGAAAATTCTTTCATGAGGCAGTCACTGGAACCACCCCCACCATTGCCTGTTGCACACCTGGAAACAGCTCTTGGTGATTGGGAGAAAGGGGGCTAAGTGAGAAACAACATCAGGAAATAACCCTCGTGGTCCCCTGTCCCCCAGTGTAGACCATCAAAGAAACGCTATGCTGTAAGAAATCACAGAGGAAGGAGGCAGCACAAATTAAAACTCCTACTATCATAAGCGTCTAGCCAGCATTTTATGAAGCTGCCTTGCGAGGAAGTACTTCACTCTAGGAAAAACCCTCCTGGTTACCATGACTCAGAGAATGATCTGCAAAATAATTCACCAAATTAGAGTTTGCCGAGGGTACCTTTGTAAATCTGATCCCGCCTGCCCGCCCCCCCCATTCTGTTGATTATATCTTTCATCCCCAAGAATGAGGCCAAGAGCCTCCTCCTTGCCCCTCCTCCCCTCTCTCTGTAATCCTCACCCCTCATTTCTCTCCTCTCCCCACTTCTCAGCATTCTGCCACCCCTAAGGCTGTGGCATGATCGCGCACTGCTTTCAGAGTTTATTAAAAACTGCCACCCTCCCTGTTGACCACTGGGCACTCCCAGCAGCCCCTGGGGCCATGGTGCTAGCAAGAGCACTCCGCTCACTCAAGAGGGGCCGTCCCACTCTGAGGACAGGGACCCCCTTGCACAAATAAGAAGAGTCAGCAAACAGTTAATGGTTTAATCCTTTGCAGAAAAAGTCAAGGCAGACTTGTGATTCTTGATGTTAATGAAGGTGTCACACATTGTCTAGAGAAAGTTGTGCCTGGCAATCTTCCCTTTTTCGGATGCCTACCCCAGTGACATTTCATCTCACATCCACCTTAATGAAATGCATAATTAACATATTCTAATTGTGCTGAGCGCTGCGATGATTTTGACAGAACTCACTTTCCATGTCTAATTTGATGCTAATTTAATCTGTTCCTCTCCCGCTGACATGACCTTTCTTGATTGAGTTTCACTGAGGAAATTTTTTGATGGATTGATTTATCAGCATTGCAGAGACAACAAAGGCTCAGGGTGCATGACAGAAAATAGGAAGGGAACGGCCCTCGAAGCCAGCGCTCTGAACTTGCCGACTGGAATGTCCTCTTTCCAGAGACGGCTTATCTGACCTACTGATGGAATTTGAGAAATGTGACACCTGTGTGTGGGTTTGATCTCTCCGGTAAAGACAGTAAATATCTTATTGTGGTTATGAAGCTTCGCATGGAAAACTTCTCTAGGGCTATTCGAAGGAAGCCTAGGCTCCTCCTATGTACCAAAACCCTAAGCACGTGTGGCCAGTCCACAGGTTGATGGCCTCTTCTGGCCTTGCTTCCAGGGTAGAGTGTTTGCTCATTCGCTTTAACCAGGAGAAAGCATGAAGAGGCGGAAGTGCCTATCTCAAATTAAAATGGAGACACGTCGAATCTGCGTAGGTCATTGAGGGTGGGTTTCCTACTTTCAGATGTTTTGTAGACATCTACAAAAAGGGGGGTGGAACCTAGATCTTATGGAGGCCTTTGTAGAATGTCCCCCAATACCCACCCCCAACAGATACACAGATTCTCAAGGCTATTAATATAAACATCTCTTTGTCCCGTTCCTGATCTTTGTAGAAGTAGTTGCTCGGGAGATTGATGACAGTCTTGGAGTGTCCCAGTTCTCACATGGTCAAGTGGCTGAGGGCATTAGACTTCCTCATCCTGGAGATACAGGGGTCAAAACCAGAACCATAGCTGAATGGGCTCCTGGGAGAGCAGCCCCTCCCACTACCTTATACAAAAGTGACTGCTTTTCAGCAGCTGTGAAGGCTCAGATTCCCAAGGGCTACACCAAAATTCTTGGGTTCGGCACTATTGTCATTTGAAGCTGGATCATTCTTTGTGCAGGTGGCTGGGGAGTGTCCTGTGCACTGTAGGATGTTGGGAAGCATCTCTGGCCTCCACCCACTAAAAGCCAGTGTCACTCCCCTTCCTGAGTTGTGATGACTAAATTTGCCTCCAGATTGTGCTAGATGTGCCCTGGGAGGCAAAATCACCACTGGCTGATAACTGCTGTGGCAGAGGGACAAGTGACAGTGCCTGTGACCCCCACATGTCTGCATAGCTCAACACCCCCCACTTCCTCTGCCTAGTGTCACCTCCTCAGCTAGACCTTGTCCAATGGAGCAGACAACTCTCTGTCCACCCCCACAACCCCTCATTCAACTTCTCCCTTCTCCAAAGCTAATGTGACTATACTGTATCAAATATTGATTTATTTATTGTCTGTCTCTACTCAATAAACCATAAGCTTCATAAGGCTGAGATCTTGTCCATCCTTTTTTACTTTTTTTCCAATTTTTACTTCAAGTTCCAGGGTGCGTGTGCAGAATGTGCAGGTTTGTTACACAGGTAAACTTGTGGCATCACTGATTGCTGCACAGGATCAACCCCCCACCTAGGTTTAAGCCCAGCATCCATTAGCTGTTCTTCCTGATGTTCTTTTTTTTACTTTAATTATGGTAAAATACACACAACACAAAATTCACCATTTTAACTGTCATAAAGTATATGATTCAGTGGCTTTGAGTACATTGACAATATGTGCATTCATTCCACTGTCGAGTTTCAGAATATTTTCATGACCCCAAAAAGAAACTCCCATACGTGTAATGTAGTAAATTCCTATTCTTGGCCTCTTCCCAGCCCCTGATAACCACTAATCTCCTTTCTGTGTCTATTGATCTGCCTATTCTGTGCATTTCACTTCAATGGAATCTTACAACAAGTGAACCTTTGTGTCTGGTGGTTCCTCAATAAGATAAACACAAAGTAACCACATGACCCAGCAATTCCATTCCTAGGCATACATGCAAAAAACACCGAAGACAAGTGTTCTAATGAAAACTTTTATATCAGCGTTCCTAGAAGCACTATTTGCAATAGCCAAAAGGTGTCCATATGCTCATGAATGGATAAACAAAATGTAGTATATCTATACAATGGAAGAGCCATAAAAGGGAATGAAATGTGGATACCTGGCACAATATGAACCAACCTTGCCCATGTTTTCATCATTACATCCTCAGCAGCAAAAAGGCCACCTGGCACATAGTAGGTACTCAGTAAATACAGGTTGAATAAATGAAAGGCATATAAAAGTAAATGAATTGAGGGTAGTCATGAACTGTGGAGGGGTCATTCACGTTAACTGTACTGCTTTTAATTTAGGGGAAAAAAGAAGAAAAAAATAGATCCCCCTTGGGGGCTAAGGGAGGGATAGCAGGGATTGTGGGGATAGCGGAAGGACAGCATTAGGAGAAATACCTAATATAGATGATGAGGTGATGATGCAGCAAACCACCATGGCACGTGTATATCTATGTAACAAACCTGCGTGTTCTACACGTGTACCCCAGATATTGAAGTAGAAAAGTAGAAAAAAATAGACCCTCCCAAAATAAACAAAGAAACAAAAATGAACCTGATATTGAGCTGGAAAATTTGGTGGAGGAGACGATCACTATATGTGAAAAATTGTTGAATCATGGAGGGGAGCTGGTTACAAAAGTGTCACTAAAACTTCCCTGCTTTCTGTTCTGTTTTGTTTTGTTTCAATGTCAAGCTCTACTTCTTCTTCCCAAATGTTTATTTCAGAAGCAGATAGTGAGGGTATCCATAGTAAATAGATATTTTCCTTCAAAGTACTCTCCTGGGAGGATGAAACATTTATTTCAAAGTGGTTGCCCTGACTGCAAAGATTTTTGCAAAATTTCTTCAGGAGCTGCCTTCTGAGCCCCCCAAGGATACCAAGCTAACGAGACTATCATCATTATAATTACACTTCATCATAGATGAAAAGCAGTTTAACTCAGCAAAATGACCTGGCCTGCTTCACTAGTCTTTATTCTAAGGGGCTGCTGGCTTTGTTCAAAGGCTAAAATCTCTCTGCAAAGCCCAACTGAGCAGTGCCCAGGTGTGCCCCCAAGGCAGGGCCAAAGTGGAGCATGGTCTAAGGGTCCAAGCTACTGAGGTCTCAATCCTTGCTCTGAGAAACTGTGCCTCAGTTTCCTCATCTGTAAAAATTGCATAGTAATAAACCTACCTCAAAGAGTTCTCTTAAAGATTAACTTAGTTAATAATACATATGCCAGGAAGTGAAAACAAGGCTCACCACATAATGAAGTCTTTTAGATATGAGCGCTTCTTATAAGAAATGTGTCTGAGCCTTTTCAGTAATTGTGTAGTGGCCAGATGTATAACCCCAGCACTTTAAGAGGCAGAGGCAGGCAGATCACTTGAGTCCTGGAGTTCAAGACCAGCCTGGGCGACATGGCAAAACCCCATCTCTACAAAAAAAAAAAAAAAAAAGAAAGAAAAAGAAAACTACATGGGCATGGTGACATGCACTTGTAGGCCCAGCTACTCTGGAGGCTGAGGCGGGAGGATCACTTAAGCCTGGGAGGTAGAGGTTGCAGTAAGCTGAGATCACACCACTGTACTCTAGCCTGGGTGACAGGGTGAGATCCCACCTCAAAAAAAAAAAAAATGTAGCTTTCCCAGGTGAAGTCTGAAAGGGGTATTTGCTATTTTTTAAAATAATTATTAAGAAATCAAGTGTGCAGTTCTAATGCTCATCTTCAGTGGTGGATTCATTCCTATGACTGCTGTAACAAATTACCACAAACAGTGACTTAAAACAACACAAATTCATTACCTTGCAGTTCCAGAAGTCAGAAATCGAAGTGAGCCTCAGAGAGAAAAAAATCAAGGTGTCAGCAGAATCAGCTCCTTCTGGAAGCCCCAGGGGATTGTGTTCTTGTCTGTTCAGCTTTTGCAAGCTGCCTGCATTTTCTGGCTCAGGGGCCTCTTCCTTTAATTACTCCAACCTATTCTGCCATCCTATCCTACTAATGACTGATCCTCCTCCCTCATATAAGGACCCCTGTGATTACATTGGGTCTACCTGAATAATCCAAACCAAGCTTCCTATCTCAAAATCTTGAATTTAATCACATCTGAAAAGTCCCACTTACTATAGAAAGTCACATCTTCACTGGTTCTGGGGATTCGGATGTAGACATCTCAGGGACATTTATTAAGCCTATTACATATGACTTCATTTTAGGCGGAAAGTGGTTCTCAGTGGAGGATATCAATTTCTTTCTATCTCTCGGTGCAACTCTGTTGTGTCATTTTGAGAACAGAAAAAAAATGTGGAGTTAGCCACTGGAATCCAAGGTTGGATGGACCTCTAGGATGGTGAAGTCTACTGTAGTTTTCTTCCTGAGTGGCTTTGTAAAGATTTTGTTATGTTTGGCCAGCAACCCCAGGACTGGAGTTATTCAAGGGGTCTAACCCCAAACACATGTCACGCGAGAGAATACCAATTTGGCTGTAAGTTTCATTGTGACATTGTATCCTACTTGATAGGTTTAAGATAGCACAGTCCCCTAGTGCACCTGGCTAAAGTCGTTCTTACATAGCCTCCATCAGGTCATGATTTTTGTTCTGTTCTCGGATATTTTTGCTGCACCCAGCGAAGTGCCTAGCACCTTACAGGATTGATACTGAGAGTTTCTACAGTGTTTAAAGATAACTGTTTTTCACAAAGATGAAACACATTTTGTCTATTTCACCAGTACCCCGCCTGGAATATCCTATATTTCTCTGAATTTTAACCGTAACCTGTGGCCATCTTGAAACTTCCAGCTTTTCCAGTATGAAACTGGAAGACAGACTAGGAAAACAATGTTGCTTCGAGCAATGCTAGCTCACCACATCGTTTCGTTAGAATAATTTGCTTCAATATGATACTGGGCAGTTTTGATAAATCAGCATCTGGGGAACAAAGCTGTTATGAAATGACTTACTTAAACGTTCCAGCCATAATTTTTGGCCTCAGAATATTGCTGGGTGTTTTTTCCTTTATCAATCTAAAATGAAAATGTAACATTTCAGTTGCAATTCATTAGAAAGAAGCAAAGAAGGGGCTCTTTGCATTTGATCCCCAAATTGGACGAGAATAACTTTCATCAGCATCTGATCTGCCAATACTCAGCTTTTTTCTGGAATCTAAAGTAAATAGTCATTAATTCACTGGTTTCCCTTATTGAGTGAAAAGATTTTTTTTCTGTCAACTGTGTTTTTATCCAAAATCAGCGATAGACTATTTCGCATGATTAAAAACTGGGGAGGTGGGAATTGACATTTCCTTTGAACTCCAAACAAATGACAAACTTCAGAAAATGCTTGATGAAATACCGCAGTATTATAACCCAAAGAATTTATGATGGAGAAAAATATGAAGAAAATAAAGAATTATTTTACAAATGGATTCTAATGATACTTACAGTATGTTGGTTTTAGTGTTTACAAGTATTAATTGATTTTTTGTCAAAAAAGCAAGTTACATAAATTAACTCAGTTATCATCAATCCAAAATTTTGAAAGACAAAATGTAGCAGGTAGAATTCTAAATCTGGCCTCTCAGATTCCTATCCGGTGTTTATTCAAACACTTATCTAGGTGCAGCTTGTGAAGGGATTTTACAGATGTGACTACAGTGTCAAGTCAGTTCACTTAAAATAAACAGATGATCTGTATCACCCGAGTCTCATCCAACCATGTAATCCCTTTAAAATCAAAACTTTTTCCCCAGGTGGTAGCAAAGGGAGGCCTCTTCCTCAAGGAGGAAAACAGGAAGAGAATCAAGGTCAGAGAGATTTGAGTTCAAATTTTCACCTATTGATTTTATGACCTTTCAACAAGTTTCCTAATACCCTGTGCTGCCCTTCCTAATTTGTGCTACTAATCACTTCCAAAGTTTAATGGAAGGAATTAAGAGAGAGACTGTACACAAAATATTTGGTCATGTGCCAGACACATAATATGTGCACAATAAAAGGTAACTATCATTATTTTAGAAATTATTCCCTCTATAAGATTATCATTCACGGACTCTCTTGCAAACTGTATTCTGATTCTAAAAACCATGTGAATTCACACAAAATGACACAGAAAAGCATAATGCAAGTGTGGAATATCTGCCATGTGCAAAGTTTGGTTGGAGCCAGTTTTTCACCCCTCTGCATTCCATTTTGGCCCCTCTCCGAAGCTCTTTTTTTCCTCTATTTATTGCATAATGACCAACACTATGAATTGCCTGAAGCCCAGTTCTTTTTTTTTTTTTTTAAGATGGAGTTTCGCTCTTGTTACCCAGGCTGGAGTGCAATGGTGCGATCTCAGCTCACCGCAACCTCCGCCTCCTGGATTCAGGCAATTCTCCTGCCTCAGCCTCCTGAGTAGCTGGCCAGTAGCAGGCACGCGCCACCATGCCCCGCTAATTTTTTGTATTTTTAGTAGAGACGGGGTTTCACCATGTTGACCAGGATGGTCTCGATCTCTTGACCTCGTGATCTACCCGCCTCGGCCTCCCAAAGTGCTGAGATTACTATCACCAACATTCTCCACAAAATTTAAGTAGGTTGTGCACTGGTCTTACAAGGGTCCAATGAGGAAATAGTTTTATAAACTAAGACTAAATTGATAATGCCCAATGATGACTTAGCTTTCCATATGCACTTCATTAAAGGCATTTGATGCCTTATCTCTAAGAAATAAGGTGGAAGGCTGGGTGCAGTTGCTCACTCTCCCAGCACTTTGGGAGTCCAAAGTGAGTAGGTCACTTGAGGTCAGGAGTTCAAGACCAGCCTGGCCAACATGATGAAACCCTATCTCTACTAAAAATACAAAATTTAGCCAGGCATGATATATATACCTGTAATCCCAGCTACTTGAGAGGCTGAGGCAGGAGAATCACTTGAACATGGGAGGCAGAGGCTGTAGTGAGCCAAGACTGTGCCACTGCACTCCAGACTGGGCCACAAAGCGAGACTCTGTCTCAAAGAAAGAAGAAAAAAGAAAAGAAATAAGATGGGAATTTTAGGCATCAAGTTCAAAGATGAAGGAAAAATTATTTGGAGTTGCAAATGCCTTTGGTATTATTGAAACTTGACCCACATGGCCAGTAGCCTCCACCATGTCCAGTAAATGTCATCTTCCTCTGTTGCTAATCCTTCTGCTTATATATGTTTGCCTAATTATTGCCCTGACCACTGTGAAAAGATTTTCCCAAGTTCCTTTTTTCTCATATAAATAATTTATATTACTTAGAAAGAATAAGGGTAGTGCATATTTATTTATAAAGGACTAGAAGACAAGGAAAATTAAAATAGAAAAAGTAAAAAATTATCTATAGTCTCACCCTTCATAGAAAATGATGGTCCAGGATATCAGTTAAGGAGGGAGGGGCTAAAGGTTGGTAAATCAGGTTGGAAGATGGCCTAGAAGATTTCCCCTGAGGCTGCAGCTGCATAGCAAATACCCAGTGATACCTGGGAGTGTGAAGGGGTTGCTGATAGAGATGAAGGGAGGAATGAAGTCTTGATCCCTAGCTATTCAAGACCATCTGCAACTGCCCACTCTCAGTATTTTGTTTGTATTTATCATGTGTGTATACACATACCTGTCGTAAAATGATTTAATTTTTGGTAAAAGCTGAAGTCAAACCTACATATTGGTTTGTAAATTGATTCTTCCTAGCCTAAAATTGTAAACATCACTCCCACACCACTAAATATTTTCTTCTATATTCATTTTTAAAGGCCATACAAAAATATTCCACAGACCAAATACACGTTTTATCATTGGCGTATGGTTGTATATTTAGGTTGTTCCCAACTTTGATTCTAATTAACAGCACACAACTGAGCACTTTTATGACCAAACTTTTGCATACATCCATGATTTATTCCTTAAATTCCTGTAAGTAAAATTGCTGGGCCAAGGAGTTACATATTTTAAGACTTTTCTGAAATAATTGTGTCATTCAGTTTCTCTCAGATTCATCATCAGGCAGTTGAAACGAGGTTATTAGAAATCCATTTAGACAAATATGAAACTGACATCAAGCATCAGCTGTCTTTAACATAAACTTTTTGTTGATACCAAAGAGTAGGGGGGAAACAACTGTTTCTATTTGGCCAGGACAGAGGGACTTTCAGGCATGTGGGTCTTTCAGGGCTAAACCCAAGACAATATCAGGCAAATTAGGACAGTTGGTCACCCTGTCAGAGAAGAGCAGGGGCTGCCTGACCATACTGAAAGAATTCAGTGTAATGCTCTCCTAGGCACCACTGCCAGAGCCATGGTCAGAACAAGATAAAGTTTAACTACAACATTAGTGGTAACATGGAAGAAGGCAAGTAGTGAGTTTCAGAAGCCATGTTCAAGAACTTTGAAATGTAAGGACATAGAAGTAGGGGGTAGAAAATATAGACTAGAGAAAATGCAAGCTTCTAAGAGTACAATGACAATTTCAGGAAACATTAGGAGACATGGTGTTCTCGTGGTGACCTCTATTGGAATCAGGTTTGCCACTCCAGTAGTGTTGATTTGAAAACGTCTAATATTCTTTCTTTTAGGAGATTTTCTTGATAGTTGCAGAAATTCTGATTGGAGTAGATGAATATCTTGCTATTTTGGCTTCTATAGTAGCAATATAAAATTCCACTTCTTCTTAACTGAAGAAAGCATTTAAGCATAAGAAGATGACTCAAACTAAGCCGCCGCAAAGCAGGTGAAGTGCTCAAGACATTACAGTGTTTTCTCAATTTGAGTCATATTTTCATTCTCTTGAATCAAAGAGTCACTTGACCAACATGATTTCATCATATATGTCTTGCCTGCTTTTTATTATCACACAGAAATTCAGAGACAAAATCTCTAGAAAGGTGTCATTAACTCAAGGAAGACAAGGACAGAGTTAGGCCAGCAATTAGACACTCTGTGTACAGTTTCATATGCAAGCAAGCCCTTCCTTTCATTAATATTGATAAAAAAAAATAAGTATCATTTGTGCATTCCCTTTTATGATATACAATTAATTCTAATTTATTTCCTTTTGTATGTAAACATCCATGTTTTTCTTCTGACCTTTTCCTCAAGTCTTACATCACTTTTAATGGCTGCATATTGGAAGTGGTCCCTGGAGAAGGGATGTTGCCTTTTAATGGTGGTTTTCCTTTTTTTTTTAATTGGGCAAGGGGGTTGGAAGTATTATTTACTCATTATGTGGATTCCTCTAAAAATGGTCCAATAGAGTATGGATTCATTTATTCATTTACTTAACAATTATTTATTGCCTAGCGTATACCCAACACTGAGGACAGTAATGAGCAAGACAGTTCTAATTTCTGCCCCAAGGAGCTTAAATTGTAATTGGAAAGAGTTTTTGTAATAAGCAAAAAAGAAAAGAAAAAATAACTACAAATGATAAGTGTTCTGAGGGAAATTAACAAGATTCTAAGAGAACACTTCAGGGACAAGAAAACTTCTTTGGGCAACATGGCCGAGAAAGTCCTTTCTACTTGCATGAAATGTTCTCGGTAGCATCGTTCATAAATAGCCAAAAAATAGAAGCATCAAAATATCCTTCAGCTAGTGAGTGGACAAATAAAATGTGATGTATTCATACCATGGAATGCTAATGAGCAATTAATAAGAGATGAAGTACTTGTACATACTATTACAATGATAAACTTCAAAAACATTAAGCCAAGTGAAAGAATCCAGACACAAAACATGTTTTGTGTGATGATTCCATTTATATGAAATGTCCAGAAAAGGTAAATCTACAGAGATACAAAAGAAGTAAGTCATTCCTCAGGGCTAGGAGTAGGAATGAAGAGTGACTGCAAATGGGTACTAGGTTTCTTCTTGGGAAGAAAAAAAATGTTCTAAATTAGATTATGGTGAAGGTTGAACAACTGAAATTATACTAAGTACCATTGAATTGTACCCTTTAAACAACTGAATTTTATGGTATGTAAATTCTATTTCAATGAAGCTGTTAACAAAACCAAAAGAAGGTAGGATGGAAGAAAGAGCACAAAGAAGAAAGGATTTCCTAAGAAGGTGACATTTGAACTGACATAGGACTTGTGCAAAGGGGCTGGGAGAGAACACTCCAGGCTGAGGCTGGGAGAGAACACTCCAGGCAGGAAGAGTCTGCATAAAAACCTAGTGATGAGAGAGGGTTTGGCATCTATAACAAACTAGTGGAAGGCAAGGATGGCTTGAGTATGTTGAGCAAAGTTCGGAGGCGGTGAGAAAAGAAATTGGGAAAGCAGGTAGCAGCAGTAAATTCACACAGGACATTGCTTTGCAGGCCTGATACTGAGCGTACCTCATGTGCTACAAAGATCTTGAGAGATTTTAATTGATGCTTTGATGTATAGTTGACAAGTTGTATATATACAATGTATAGTTGTATATTCTTTTCTAACAAGAATAAAATCAGCCAATACTGTTGACTTACTATTCTATGGATTTTACACATACTGGCTAGTGTATTCTTCACAATAACCCTATGAGGTAGGTATCCTTATTGTTATAAGTAAAGAAAGTAAGATACAAAATAATTTACTCAAGAAAGCTGAGGGATAATTATGATCTGAGCCCAGTAAGTCCAGAATCAGAGCTTGAAATCTTAACTACTGCCCCACATTTGAAAGCAGGACTGGCTTCATGGGAGTACAACCTGTGCAGTCACACAGGGCCCTGTGCTTAGAAGAGTCCCATGCTTGCTTTAATAGTCTGTTGTCACCATCTTTAAATGCTTAAAATTTTTTAATGCTTAAATTGTGAGAGACCTCACATTTTCATTTTGCACTGCATCTCACAAATTATGTAGCTAGTATTACTTGAACAGTTTTTTGGAGTTTTTACTACCAAAGGAATTATTAACCCATTGAAGATCATAGATAAGCTGGCCAGGGAGAAAAGGCAAACCCTTAGAATTAACACACTATGTCTTATGTGAGTCCATTTGGGGACAGAACTCCCAAAGGGATCCATAAGTCCAAAGGGTTAAGACTCATTGATTTACCAACAGCCACCATTCTGATATTTGGGAATAGCTAGGTGATGGAGTGGACTCTTATTATTCAGCTTCCTGTTCTCCTACATCTATTGATAAAGGGTTGCATTGGCAACACTCTTTCCAGAAAACAGGAAAAAAATAATAATAATGATGAATGCAAATAAACAGAAAAAAATAAATTCTAAATAAAAGATTTTCTTTAGTGTATGTGCATGTGTGTGTGCATTTTTCTCAAGGGACCTAAAGTTTGTCTTTTTCACTATCATTATAGTTTTTTAAATCCCTAAAACACAAAAATCAAGAACAAAGAGACAGTTTTGTGAATTTATACTAATAAATTTCATCAAATATATCACTTATTTTCCACCAGTTTGCATGAATTCAGTTTCTCTTATTTCAGAGGCTGATTTGAGTTATTGGAGAATTTTAACAATCACTATTACATAGGACAATACTGTGCATACAATAATTCCACAATAAATTCTTGTCACTTGTTAATTTTGACTTTATAATTAATGTATCAATAATTTGTTACTATTATTATCTTATAATCTGGGCTTATTTGCAACTAGAAGAAAACTAAAGTTTAACAGCAAGTTTTCAATTGTATTTAAAACAACCCCAGGCCAGACACAGTGGCTCACACCTGTAATTCTAACACTTTGAGAGGCTAAAGTGGGAGAATCACTTGAGCCCAGGAGTTCAGACAAGTCTGGGCAACATAGTGAGACCCTGTCTCTATTTTATAAAAAAAATATATATATACCCCTAATTAATTTCTAAGCTAGTAAAGGCAAGTAATTTTTAAAAATTGAGCTCTTGGTACAAAATTTTCTAGAAATGTTTGTGCTCAAGAAACAATTACATACTCATGAAAATGTGATTATCCACTTTAAGAATAATAGGGATTAAAATAGGCCTCTGAATTTGATATAGTGAAATGATTGTTCTTCCTCACCTCACACACACAAAAGAGGTGCTGCTTTCTTTGTATGCTTCATTGTACAACCCATGAAGTCCCTAGAGCTTTGAGCTACCAAACAAGTGATATCTGTCTCCTGGGGCTCTCGCAGAGTGACCCCACAAGGAGACCTTCTGACTTCGTTTATTCTTAGAGTGAGGGATTCCATACAAATAGAAGATGTTGTGACACAGGCCACCAGAACCCAATACAGAGACAAGAAGATATTTCTATGAAAACAAAAAATTAATTCTACCCTAAACTAAGGCTAAGCTTTCCAAAGCAGAAAACTATTCCTGGAAAGAACCAGGGAGAGATGCTGTAGTTTCATTTTCACATTGACTACCGCAAACTCAAGCCTCTTTAAAAGAGCCATAATGAACCCAAGACACAAACGCTGGCTGTGAGGCAAAAACAAGGATTTTCTCATTTGTCATCTAACATCCTTGTAATTTCCCAGTTTTAGCCTGTGTCTTTATGAGGAAAGAAACAAAAACAAAAACAAAGCAAAACCAGCTTTGCACTGTTTTCCCGTGGTCACTGAGCCTGGGTAAACTGGAACAAAATCCTAGCAACTGAGACCAGGCAGAAAAAAGTTTCTGCGGTTCTTTTTTTTTTTTTTTTTTTTTTTTTTTTCCAAACAGTCTCACTCTATCACCCAGGCTGGAGTGCAGCGGCAGGATCTCAGCTCACTGCTACCTCCGCTGCTCAGGTTCAAGCAATTCTCATGCTTCAGCTTCCCCGGTAGCTGAAACTACAGGCATACACCACCACACCTGGCTACTTTTTTTGTGTTTTTAGTAGAGATTGGGTTTCACCATGTTGGCCAGGCTGGTCTCGAACTCCTGACTTCAATTGATCCACCTGCCTCAGCCTCCCAAGGTGTTGGGATTACAGGCGTGAACCACTGCACCCAGCCGTTCTTCATCTTTTTTAAAAAAATTTACTTCCAACTCTTTGATGATAAAATCCACCAAGTGGATTTTATAAAATAAAATGGCAAGTTAGATTTATTTGGAGAGAGTAGCAACCATTCATCCATTAGAGACTTTTTTTTAATGGTCCTGTGCCACTTGATGAAGCAAAAATAAAACTTCACTCAGCTGGCACATGATCTAGGTGACAGAATCCTTTGTCTCTACCTTATAAAATGACTGCTTTGAATTTTTTTTTTAATTTTAAAAACGAAAAATCCTTTGAATGTTGTTTATTATTTTAGTAATCAAAAACCAAATATCTATCATGAATACATGTCTAAGAAACAGTAACATGAACCAATCTTTTCAAAATGGCCTACTTTTTCTCGTTCAAAACATTCCCACACTAGTATTTCTCTTCCCAGTTGCTCTGTTAGCCTTATCTATAAATGCTATTTTTTGAGGGCCTACTGTATGCCAGTTGTTTTATAGACATTATGTCATTCAATCCTACCAACAACTTTATGAATTAGGAGTTACAAATTTGCTTTTGCAGATAAAGAAGCTCAACATCAGAGACCCTCATTCATGAAAAGGGTGATGAAAGTCTGGGGTCAGAGTGGGGCCAAACCCATCCTGGCTCTTTCTTGCTGGGTGATCTTAGACAAGTTATTTTACCTCTCTGTACCCGAATTTCTTATCTGTAAAATGAAAGAAAGTAGTACATGCCTACAATTCCTTAACCATAATTTTCAAATCAAAAAAAATCTCTGAAAATTAAAGTGTTTTCATAAATAGGACAGCAGGGGACATACTTACACAAAAATATTGCACGTTGTTTATCTGAAACTTACATTTAACTGGGTGTGCTGTATTTTCACTTGCTAAATCTGGCAACACTACTTTGGCACCCACATTCCTTTGGCATAAAGATTAAACTGTGCTGGCAAGAGGCTATTACAATCTTTATTTGTCCCACGTGGTGAAGATCTGAGCAGCGGGGGCCAGCAAATGCAACGGCTCTGAGCCATGTGGTTGGTATGTTCGAGGACAGAGAGAAGGCCACTGTGGCTGGAACAGAAAGATGGCTGGACAAGAGAGGGAAAGGAGATCAAGTCAGAAAGGCAGGCAGGAGTCAGACAGTGGAGGGATTTGAGCCAGGCTAAGTAAGGATGGCAAGAAGTAAGTCCAAGGTCACACTGATGGTGAGCAACAAAACCGGGATTCAGCCCTAAGTCAGGCTTGTCTGTGCATTGCTGAATCTCTCAACAAACATCGTGGGGGAAAGTCATCTTTAAGACATCATTTTAAAGACGTCTTCAGGCTCTGGAACTAATTGAAAGATTATCAACATGGCAGCCTATCAGCTCCTGCATTGGCTTTGGTACTAGAAGGAGGTATAATTACAATGGACTTTTAAGTTCAAGGTGATAAAAACCCTTGCCGAGTTTCTGTGCAATAGGAAAGCATCCTCATGAAAAGATTTCAGAGTGAAGGGGAAAATGATACACTTTGTAAATGTAGTATAAATAGAATTAACATATAAGACAATGTAACGATGATAATTCAGTATAAGACAGTGTATGCCATTTTATCACCTATCTTGCACACTTACAGTTACACAGACATCACCTCCTTTGTGTCCTAAGGTGTAATTTACACAGTGCTAGAATTGGTGGAATGTGGTCTTCTGGTCAACCTACTTTAAGTAGTCTGACCATGACTTTTACTTTTGTTAACCAAAGTCAATAAATATTTCTTGAGCTTCTACTCCATACGAAGCACAGTGCTGGGCATAAGAGACCTAGAAGAAGACAAGATATGGTCCTGAATTCACCATATTTATAGTAACTATATATATTTTTTGTTCCTAGAATGTACAACAAGTGATATTCCATGGTTCCAAGATGGTGTGATTTTTGCCAGGGTTTTAATAGTAACACTAACAGATAAACATTCTTACAATGTGCTAGGCACTGTGCTAAGCATTTATGAGGATTATTTTACCTAATCCTTAGAAAGCTCCAGAATTTAGCATTATCCCCATTTTTCGGGTGGGGAAACTGAGATTCCAGAGATTAAGTGTCTTATGCAAGGTCCAGGTCTTGTAAACAGTAGACCTGGAGTGTCAAACCCAGGCAGTTTGACTCCAAAGCCAGCTCTTTTAATATAAAGTTGTGCTATGACAAACCTGATATTAAAAACTTTTGTGTCCAGGATAATGCCAGAAACTAAGCTTCCTTCTATTTTAGCTAAGATGAGATGGTTTTTCCACACAGCAGGGCTGCCTCAAACCTCTTCTTTTTCTCCCCCTGGGGGGCTAGTTCAGGCTTTTCTTTTGAACTAGTGAAGCATGGGAAAAATCCACTCGTACTGAATTCTCCACACTGGCTCTGTACCTGCTGCCTGCCCAGCCCCCAGGATTTGCCCCAGCGTGGCTGTGCTCACTGTCAACACCAAAGCATCATTAAATAAAGAACACCCCCCAAAGCTCATCAGATTCTTCTGCACTGGTGCACACACCCCGATGATGAGCATACTCCTCTATCATTTGCCCAGGATCTCTGAATTTAGATGCTGGGTCAGGAAAGAATGACATTTTTGCAGGAAGCTGTTCTTTGGGAGAAATGATATTTTTTAGCTTCTTCCTCAGGCCTGCAACATAATAAGCAGGTATTGTCCTGGTGATAAATGATAGTTCCTCTGAAAAAAAAAAAATTACAACACTGTGTGTCATAAGCCAAGGCTTCTCCAGCATTCCTCTCTGTTGTGGAGTGGGTATAGATCTCGCCACAAAAATCAGAAGTACCTGCAAAACGAACTCTCTTTTGTATAACTCAACTTGAATTTTTTGTTTCAAATTCCCATTGATTTCAATTAATGGCAAATTGTGTCTCAGTCATTCTTGGGGTTTTCCTTCACCCTTTCTTTTGACCAATAGTTTATAAATGGGAATAATACCGCCCTTAGTCAGCTTTCCAGAAATTATTTCGGGGGATCGTTTGTCACAAAGATTGAGAGGTGACACTGTCATTTATTTAGTGGTCAGAGGCCAGAGGTGCCAAATATCCCATAATGTACAAGACAGTCCCACACCATGAAGAACTGTCTGGCATCCTGACTTTTGAATGTCCACTAGACATTCATATAGGTGAAACATTGGTTTCTAACTCTCCAAGCCTACAGCATAAGTCCATTTGACTTATACAGACAAAGCATTCTTCACACAGTTGGATTTTGGTTTTTTGTTTTGTTTTGTTTTGTCTGTTTGCTTGTTTGTTTATTTGGAGACAGTTTCACTCTGTCACCCAGGCTGTAGTGCAATGGCACCATCTTGGCTCACTGCAACCTCTGCCTCCCAGGTTCAAGCAATTCTCCTGCCTCAGCCTCCTGAATAGCTGGGATTACAGGCGTGCACCACCACACCCAGCTAATTTTGAATTTTAGTAGAGACGGGATTTCACCATGTTTGCCAGGCTGGTCTCAAACTCTCAACCTCAGGTGATCCTCCCACCTCAGCCTCCCAAAGTGCTGGGATCATAGGCGTGAGCCACCACACCCAGCCTCTTCACACAGTTTTTATATGCTCTGAATTGCAGAGAAATGTAAATACCCTATAAGTTGAGGGAAGACTGCTCTTTAACTGTACCAAAAGTTGTTCAGCATATCAAAACTCGTGTCATGAAGGCAATACTGTGAATGGCGTTTGATTCTCTCACACAACACAGCAGTCCAACTCTGTATTTGTGGCTGTTGAATTCAATGTTTCTATGTATAATCATAAGCATCTGATTGCTCCACCATGTGTTCTAGTGTGTCATGCCAAAGTATTTAAACGTTGGAATGTACATTAATTCATTATAAATACTTTCCTCTTATTTGCCCCTTAAAAATTGTGCTTGTAGATAAGGGATTTCAGATGTGGACAGGAGGAGTTGGCAGACTCTGCATAGCCCACCCATTCCTCTGAACACTCATCTCCACACATCAGAAGATGGCCTCTGCTATCACCTGCCTCCCTCAGGTGCCGCTTTTCCTGGCCTCAAGACATTTTCCTGAGTTTGGGATCACACTCACAGCCATGCAGCATTCCAGGATGTAATGAATGCCCCAGAAGCAGCCCTTGACCAATGGTGCAGTGAGTGGGTGGACAATATGCCTGTCACCCTGTAGGTGGGATATGCCTGAGGCGTGTTCTGCAGGTCTCCCAGAAGTCCCCAGTGGGAATGAGCCTCGATCTCACATCCTGGATTGATGGGCAGAGCTTTGATCCCACATCCTGGATTGGTGGGCAGAGCCTTGATCCCACATCCTGGATTGGTGGGCAGAGCCTTGATCCCACATCCTGGATTGGCTTCTGGCCTTTCCCTATCTTGCTATACCATCACCCTAGCTGTGCTTCCTGGGATCATCTTCCACATCGGCTACTAAAATTCGTGACTTTGTCTCAAGGTCAGCTTCTGAGAAGCCCAACCTAACATATGCCATTATCAAGAATTTGGTTCAAAGAGGGACACTGATTATAAGAGGGTTAAAAGCCAGTGCTCCATACACCATCAAGATTTGGAATTTTGTTCAATGCCAGGGAGCGTATCATTGAGATATCGATCACCCCTTTTCATATGGCGTTGAAAGTCATGCAGACACAAACATCTTTTGTGACTGGGCATGGTGGTTCACACTTGTAATCTCAGCTACTTGGGAGGATGAAGTGGAAGGAAGCCTGGGAAGTCAAAGTCACAGGGAGCCAAGATTATGCCACTGTGTAACAGGGCCTGAGTAATAGCAAGACCCCATCTCAACAACAAAAACAACAGCAAATTTGTTTCCCCACTTTAAATAGAAATCTGATTCATAGAACACTCATTCTTTCATTTAAGAAAGACTTATTGAACATCTATTATATACCATGTACCAGGCATCGAGTGATGAACTAAACAGACAAAATTATTTTTTCTATCAAGTTGGGAGAGGCTGATAATAAAAAGCAACCATATGGAGGGTGTTAAATAGTAATAAATACCTCTGAGAAAAATGAAACAGGAGAGGGGAAGAAGGAGAACTAGAGGTGAAGGTGGTTTTTAAAAAACAGGCCAGGGATGTGGCAATAAACACTCAGCATTAAGACCAAGTGTTTGACTCCTTTCTGGAAGAGGGGTGGGCACGGTGCAGGCTGGCGGGCTCTGGCTGGGAGGAAGGTGCTTCTGCTCGGCTCAGCAAGGACAGCTGTGTGGGAAGACAAAGCCCAGTTAGCAGTTCTTCCAATTTTCCAGAGGAGACCAACAGCCTTACCACCTGCTCGGAGAGCTGCTAGCAAGCAGGGCAAAGTTCTCCACATATTTAAGAGTTCAAACTTCCCTTCCCGCTCAGCGTGTTCAAAACACGAGTTGGAGAGTCATGCTGGTGCCCTCTCCTCTCCATCCTGCTCCATGCCTCCCCTGAAGCCATTGCTTTCTGCCTGAATGACGGCAAGGGAAGGAGAGGGGAAGAATGTAAACAGAAAACAAATCACAGATTAGGACTATCCGGCCCCACTTGTCCAGCCAGTTTGTTTTCTCTTCTTCTCGACATAGCCCGAATGTTGGAAGCATTGCCTTGCAAAGTCAGTAGTCGACAGGGAAGGTTAGGATTTGTTGTTCCTTTGAAAGCTGCAGAATGGGATGTTGCTAGAGATCCCAATGGGAAACTTCCCAGATAGGAAAGCCATATTGGCTGGTGGAGTGCCGGGGCTTGGCATGGGGGCACTGCCTTGGCAGAGCTGTCTTGATGTTTATGGAAGGCATTGCCAACACCAGCGGAACTTCCAGCAGGAGTTTTACGACCCTTTTTCATCCAAGCCACTATTTGGGCAGATGCCTGATTACTTCTAATGACTCCATTTCTGTGGTGATGGCCAAGTCCTCTGTCATCCTGCCGTGGCCTGGAATGGCCCTGGTTTTAGAAAAGAGATGCTCCTTGTAGCGCGTGGAGGCACTCGTGGCTGCTCTCCCAGGTCCTGACCTCCTGTGCCAACAGGCAGAGCAGCCAAAAGCAACAATGCAAGTGTGCAGAAACCATTTCTAAGACAGGGGGATCATTGGTTTGCCCATTACTAAAGATGCCCAACTCTTCACTAGTTAAGAAAACCTTTGTTCTTTCAAAGTTTGTGTATTTCTCTAACTTCTGAGGAAGCCAAGGCCTGAGAATGAAGGCAACTTTGGTCACAACGACTGATGGTTGGGCAAAAATGATTGCCCCGTTTTCTGGTGCTAAAACATGCTCCTAAGTGTCCAATTGGCTTCTAGCCATAAGCCAAGTGATGTGTACATGTGTCTAAAACAACTATCCCAGCTTGGGGGGTCAGGGGAGTCTCTAACTTATTCACTTAGTATGTACCCTTAAAATACACATGCCAGGGTTTCTAAACTGCCACCTCCCTGTGACCCCATTCCCATATTGCTGGAGGATGGGGGAGGTCATAGCATCTGAAGTTTTGCAAGTGGAGATTTTTACTTATAGTAGGTGAAATGGAAACTGACGAATACCTTAGGACATGCATGGGTGCCATTTCTGCTAAGAGGTGAGCAGCTAGATGCTGGATTCTGACAAAGCAAAGGTATGGTCCCCCGCCTCAGGTGACGGGCAGTGGTCACTGAAGTGAATGCTGACAATGCTTACTCTACCATGTGGCTTCTAGGCTTTCAATGGATGTTCTCCACTACTCTTCTCAGCCAAATCCACCCATCTAACTCCTTCCAAGCCTTGGTCTCTCTTCTTGAAAAGTCTCTCCAGCTCCCAGAAGTCAGGGACTTCCTGGGAACCCACTTTCTTCTCCCCTAACTCAAATCCCTGCTGGTCTGATAGTCCAGGGACCCTTCTTTTTCCAGAGAGCACTTCCTCCTGTTGCCTCTGCCACAAAAAAACCTTTCACCCTCATTGTTCTTTGTTCTTTTATAATCCTCGACCTTGGAGATTGTTTAGGCTCAAAGCCAGAATCAACCAAAATTCAGTTCCCTTTCCTCAAAGGCAGAGAGGGCTTAGCTTTCAAACCTTCCGATGTCACAAGGAAAGGAAGGGGGAGTACAAACTGCTCAGTCTCTGTGTTGAAATAGTCTGAATGCCTATTCACCTGAAAAAGAGAGTTACGTGGTCCATTCTCCAGGAGTGTATTTTGGAGTAAGTCACAACTTACTTGGTCCAGGATTCACTGCCCACTGTAGAGGCAAAGTTTCTCAGATTCCTTTATCAGTGCCAGGAACCAAGCCATTCAGTCCCACAGTCCATGGTTTTACTGAGAATTTTTCTGGAGAGTTCATAAGTTATTGTCATTCTGCCTGTCTGTATCTGTCCACCTATCATAAAAATTAGGTAGTGGGAAAGGCGTTCAGTCTTTTTAAGGAAATAAATACTCAAAAACTAGTTTTTGTCTTTGTGTGTGCCAATACACCGCTTGATTCCAAACATAACCATTTCGGTGCCTAATTACGTCTGCCTGGGATCTAACACTGGCTCTGCCTCTTACTACCTTGGTGGAAAATGGGTCAATCTCTGCGAGTCTGTTCTCTTCTCCCAACGCAGAGTGCAAGAGGCTTTCCTCATAAGGCTGCTGTAGATGTTAAAAGAGAGAGGCTAGGTCAAGTACATGGCAAAGAGGAAAGACCCGTTTCATATTAGACAGGGCTATTGTTATTATTAAGTTGGGACAAATAAACCACACTCTGTTTCGTTTTTTCCCTCTTTGGCCTGTAATGTTTGCTCTTGCACATTCTTAAAAGCAACAGAACCACATGTCTTTTCAAACAGTAATAATGATAGATATCAGCATGCCGTTCTGTCTCTATGCGAGGCAATTTGCATGCATTATTTCATTCACACCTGGCAACAATTCCATGAGGTGCCACTACTATCAGTTCAACTTCGGAAAGGAGAGGCTAGGGCTGTGCGACTTAATCAAGGGCATTGCCCTTTTCAATGTAGATGCCAGGATCCAAATCTGGTTCAAACTCCTTAGCTGATACTCTTAACCAATCCTGCATAATGCCTCGTTATTCAAATGCCAAATAATTCAGCATTTTGTAATTCTGCAAGAACTTTATTCTCGGGCCAGCGAGGTGGCTCATGCCTGTAATCTCAGCACTTTGGGTGTCCGAGGTGGGTGGATCACTTGAGGTCCAGAGTTCAAGACCAGCCTGGCCAACATGGCAAAACCCTGTCTCTACTAAAAATACAAAAGTTAGTCAGCCATGGTGGCTCATGCCTGTACTCCCAGCTGCTCAGGAGGCTGAGGAATGAGAATCGCTTGAACCCAGGACGGGGAGGCTGCAGTAAGCAAAGATCAGGCCACTGCACTCCAGCTTGGGCGATAGAGCAAGACTCTGTCTCAAAAGTAAAAAAAAAAACAAAGAACTTCATTCTCCTGAATCCAGAAGGGATCGACTTCACTGTTCCTGTGCTCTCACTTTGTTTAGCAACCCTAGTAAGTAGGCACTGCTGGAAATAAAGTTACAGAAGTTTCTCTTCTCCCATTCTTTTATCCTTTTTTTAAATAAGCTGGGAGCTAGAAATGAAAACCAAAGACAAATCTATTTATTTTTATTATTTCAGGAACTTTGGATATTAAAAAGCAATGAAACACTGATCCACTGAAGTGATTTCTGCACACTGGTTTATACGTGATGTAATGTCGATTTCACAATTTGGACTCTAAAGTTGTTTTCCTCCCCCGCCAGGACAGAGACTCATGACAGCAGCTCGTAGAAGCCCCCACAGAGACTGCCATCCAATGATTCGTTTGGTTCATGGTTTTGGGGGGGCTCATGTTTTTTCAGTTGGAGGTAGGGTTTCTTCTAGGGGAGGTTCAGTAACCAATGGCTATAAGATCTTTACACAGAATGATTACTGCTAAACCAAACCAAAATAGCAACAGCATTTTGAACTCAATGGTAATTTTTTTGTTTGATTGTTTTGTTTTGATAAAGAGTCTTGCTCTGTCTCCCAGGCTGGAATGCAATGGCATGACTTCGATCCATTGCAACCTCCGCCTCCTGAGGTCAAGTGATTCTCCTGTCAAAGCCTCTTGAATAGCTGGAATTACAGGTGCCTGCCACAACCCCCAGCTAATTTTTGTATTTTTTTTTTTTTTAGGAGAGTTGGGGTTTCAACATGTTGGCCAAACTGGTCTTGAACTCCTGACCTCAAGTGATCCACGCACCTCAGCCTCTCAAAGTGCTGGGATTACAGGTGTGAGCCATTGTACCAGGCCCCCATAGTAAATTTTATCACATGATATTATCCAAGGATGAAGCCACAAACTGATAACAATATAGGATAATATTTTTACCTTTTGTGAGCAAAATGAGGGGAAATAAAGATGGTGTGAGGGTTTTCAACAAGTGACATTTGCTCAATATAAAGTATTATACTTTATTTGATCCAGATCAATAAAGTTTATTAAGCATACTTTGTGTGCCAGGCACTCTTCTAGGCATTCATGAAAATGGAATCCTTGTTCTCACGGAGTTCTTATTATATTGGGGATAGACCGACAATAAACAAATAAATATGGACTGGGTAGATAGCAATAAGGGCTATAAGAAAAGCCTGCATGAGGGCATAGAGGATTCAGTAGAGGCCTGGCATGGTGGCTGATGCCTGTAATACCAGCACTTTGAGAGGGGTAGATCACTTGAGCTCAGGAGTTCGAGACCAGCCTGGGCAACATGGTGAAACCCCATCTCTACAAAATAAAATATAGCCAGACACAGTGGCTCACACCTGTAATCCCAGCATTTTGGGAGACCAAGGCAGGCGGATCACCTGAGGCCAGGAGTTCAAGACCAGCCTGGCCAACATGGTGAAATCCATCTCTACTAAAAACACAAAAAACAAAAATACCTGGGCATGGTGGTGCATGCCTGTAATCCCAGGTACTCGGGAGGCTGACGCAGAAGAATCACTTGAACCCAGGAGGCAGAGTTTGCAGTGAGCTGAGATGGCACCACTGCACTCCAGCCTGGTCAACAGAGCAAGACTCTATCTCAAAAAAGAAAAGCCCCTGAAGAAAGAACAGCTTCATGTGTTCAAATATGACAAGGAGGCCAGTGTGCAGAGGTGAGGGAGAGCAGAAGAGAGGCAGTGAGGTTTTTGAGGATCTCATGAAAAGCCTGTTAGGGTCAGCATAGTTTTTATTTCTACTCTGAGCTTGTGTGTTTTCTGCTATGTTGGTGATGGAAAACCCTTTCTTTAGTGCAAAGATAGTAAAGCAGTCTTCTTTTTTGTTGGAAAGTCATTATGTCAATTCCTTGAAATTTTTTTTAACCTGGTCTGTGAAATCCAGAAGTCTGGGAATGTCTGTGCCAGGAGACGTCTGGCGGCATTCTGTAGGTGGGAGTGTCACGGTGTCGTAGGAAGTTCAGGAATCTGAAGTCTGTGTCCCAGCCGTCCTCTGTTTCAGACACGCTGGGTGACATTAGGCAAGGAATTTCTATTCCTGGGTTTCACTTTTCTAGTCTCTAAAATGTGGAGAGCAGCTTTAAAGAATCCTGAGTCAATGAGGGCATGAAGGACAAAGAAAGCCTGAGAGGAAAAAAGGGGAAGAGTGAGGCAGATGGACTTCCCGGAGGAGGGGTCCTGGGGAGCTGTTCTGGGCAGGCTCTTTGTGAAAGGACAGCCCTACTCAGTCTCTATGTGGGAAGTCTCAGGGTTACCATGTCCTCCTCGAATTTTTCAAAAAGAAACAGAAATCATGGTTTTTATGTGCAGTCTCTCTGTTCATAAATATTAGCAACTGCTTCATTTAAAAACTAAACAAGGCCAGGTGTAGTGGCTCACACCTGTGATCCCAGCACTTTGGGAGGCCGAAGCAGACGGATCGCTTGAGCCCAAGAGTTTGAGACCAGCCTGGGCAACATACCAAGACCCTGTCTCTACAAAAAATAAAAAATTAGCCCAGGCATGGTGGCGTGCGCCTGTGGTCCCAGATAATCAGGGGGCCTAGGTGGGAGGATCAGTTGAGGCCAGGAGGTCAAGGCTGCAGTGAACCATGATGGTGGCACTGCCCTCCAGCCTGGGCGACAGAATAAGACCTTACTCAAAAAACAAAATGAAACAAAACCATGTAAGCCCATAAAACACATGTTTGGCTTGGGTTTGGCTGAGGGATGGCACATCCATTTCCTGGGGTTGCTACAACAAATTACTATGAACTCAGCTGCTTAAAAGAGCAGAAATTAATTCTCTTGCAGTTATGGAGGCTGGAGGTTGGAAATCAAGGAGAAGGCAGGGCCACACCCCCTCTAAAGATGCTAGAGATGAATCCATCCTGGCCTCTTCCAGCTTCCAGTATTCCTTGGGTTGCAACCCCATCACCCCAGTCTCTGCCTCCTTGTTCCCACGGCCTTCTCCCTGGGTGTCTGTCCTCTCTTCTTATAAGAATGCCAGTCATCAGTCTTCAGGCTTCCCTCATCTTAGCTTGAATACATCTGCAAAGACCCCATTTCTAAATAGGGTCGCATTCACAGGCATTGGAGATTAGAACTTGAGCATATCTTTTTGGGAGGACAGAATTCAAGCCACCATGATGGATATGGCCTCTATTATAAATTCTTCATTGTAGATACAATGAAATTCTTCATTGGCCTAGGAATCTGGGAACCACAGAATGATTAAAAGCTGCTCTGTAAAGTTTACAAAATCTGTCTCTCCAGGAAGTGAATGATGAATCTGAGAGAGTTCATACGGGTTTCTAAACAGGATTGTCCTGGCTGCGAGACCCAGGTCAAGTCAGACACACTCCACTCTTCAGAACAGTGTTAGGCAGCGTATTCGTTTCCTGTGACGGCTGTTTGAGGGACCACACACTGGGTGACATAGGGCAACAGAAATGTGTTCTCTCACAGCTCTGAAGGACAGAGTCTGCCATCAGCAGTCAGCAGGGGCTGGGCTTGGTGGCTCACACCTGTAATCCCAGCACTTTGGGAGGCCGAGGCAGGTGGATCACTTGAGACCAGGAGTTCAAGATCAGCCTGGCCAACATGATGAAACCCTGTCTCTACTAAAAAATACAAAACTTAGCCGGGCATGGTGGTGTATACCTGTAGTCCCAGATACTCTGGAGGCTAAGGCACAAGAATTGCTTGAACCCAGGAGGTGGAGGTTGCAGTGAGCCAAGATTGCACCACTGCACTCCAATCTGGGTTACAGAGTGAAACACTGTCACAAAAAAAAAAGTCAGCAGGACATGCTCCCTCAGAAGGTTCTAGAAAAAGACTCGTCCTGCCTCTAAATTTCCAGTGGCTCCCAACAATCCCTGGTGTCCCCCAGCTTGTGGCAGCGTCACTCAATGCCTGCCTCCTTCTTCTCCATGTTTCTGTCTCCTCTCCTTGTCTTACAAGGACACCAGTCATTGGATTAAGGCCCACCCTAATTGACTCTGACCTCATCTCAATTACAAATGGAGAGACCCTATTTCCAAATAAGATCACATTCTGAAGTTCCAAACGGCCATCAATTTTGAGGTGATTCTCTTCAGTTAGTACCCAGTTCAGGCTAGGTACGGTGGCTCATATTGTAATCCCAGAACTTTGGGAGGCCAAGGCAGGTGGATCAGTTGAAGTCAGAAGCTCAAGACCAGACTTCCCAACATGGTGAAACCCCGTCTACACACACACACACACACACACACACAAAATTAGCCAGGCATGGTGGCATGAACTTGTAGTCCCAGCTACTTGGGATGCTGAGGTAGGAGAATCACTTGAACACAAGAGGCAGAGGTTGCAGTGAACCGAGACTGTGCCACTGCTCTCCAACCTGGATGACACAGCAAGACCTTGCCTCAGAAAAAAAGAAGAAAGAAAGGAAAGAAGGAAGGGAGGAGGGAAGGAAGGAAAGGAGGGAGGGAGGGAGGGAGGGCCTAGTTTATTCACCCAATACCAGTTCTATTGTCTCCAGGGTCTCCTCCATCTGCCTGACTGTGTGACTCTAACTTTTCTCTCTCCTTGAGAGCCTTTGCTGGCCTTTCCATTCAGCCAATTTCTTAAGGAACTTCCATCAACTTCCAAACGCCACCATCAATTTAAAGCTCAGCTTCAGCTGGAAGATGTCTTAGTGGTGAAATGGTTTAGGGAGAAACGAGGCTTTATTTCCTCCGATATTTTTAAACCCCATAGCTCCTCTTTCAGACTTTCAGCTGCAGTGAACCTCTCTGAAAATCCACCTCCTGGAAACATGGGATAGAGCCTTCAGGGGAGGAAAAGCAAACCACTTTCTCACTTTCTATGTCCCAGGGAATAATGGACTTCAAGAAAAGTGCTCCTTACCTTTCCAGCCACATTCCGCACTGGACTTTTCTAATCACAGCTCTTTATTAGTTTCCTTTCCATAATGTCTCCAATGAGTCTTTCTGTTGCTTTACATGACAAAATACAGCAAATCCTCAGCTTGTTCTTGTGAGAAAATGGAAAAGTTCACAAGGAAAGAAAATGACATAAGATGAGGGAGCCATGATATTCAAAAGTAAGGAGATTAGATAATGATGCAATTAGAGCCCATTTCTATGGTTTTCTATAACTCTGAACATTTGCTGACGACTGACTGGTTTGGTATTTATTCTTACATCATATCAATTTAAAATCACCCTCTATGCTACGTCCACAAGGAATGATAAATTGTGAAGAAAATATGTTCAGAAGAATTTTTTTAATGGGTTATCTGATGTTGACCTGCGATGTTACTATGAGGCCATCCAACCATTCTGGTCTTTTTTTTATTATATTATTTGTGTTCCAAGCATTCTAAATATTTAAGTGGCCTTTCTTCTTGTTCCTTAATGAGAGTTTTTTGCATCTGGCACATAATAACTGACTAGAAATGGCTTTCTCCTTCTTGTGTTCTCGATCCCGTGGAAATGGGGAAACCACTGAGAAAAGAAATGTTGTCAACCCAAAGAGAGACATTTCAAGTTAGTGGAAGTGATGAGAAATAGTGGCATTCGGGATGTATTTTCAAATTCAAGCCAACAGGATTTTCTGGAGGCTTGGCTATGAAATCTTACAGAAAGCAATGAGCCAAACATGTCATTACAATTCTGAGTGAGGGTTTTATAAAGTCAGAGCTTTAGGTCAAAAGCACCAGCTTCCTAGAGTCAGGATGTGAGCGGGCTTCAGATGGGGCCTGCGTAGAATTCTTCCTAGACCAAAGGTTCCCATTACAGTGGCAACTCCAAGTTGGCTTCCGATTAAAAGGAGACCAGATCACCTCGGAGTATATGACTGCTTCCCAAAGTGTGATATATGTACTACATGTACTAACAGGAAGATTTTATGTTTTACAAAACCTATTTATTTTCAGCTTTATTTTAGATTCAGGGGTACATGTGCAAGTTTGTTGGTTTGTTATATAGGTAAATTGTGGGTCACCGGTATCTGATTATTTTGCCACCCAGGTAATAAGCATGGTATCCAATAGGCAGTTTTTCCATCCTCACCCTCCTCCCTTCACCCTCCAGTAGGCCCTGGTATCTGTTGTTTTCTTCTTGGTGTCCATAGGTACTCAATGTTTAGCTCCCACTTATATATGAGAATACACGATATTTGTTTTTCTGTTCCTGTGTTAATTCACTTAAGATAATGGCCTCTAACTCCATCCATGTTGCTGCAAAAGACATGATCTCATTCTTTTGTATGGCTGTGTAGTATTTTGTGGTATCTATATGCCACATTTTTTTCATCCAATCTACCACTGATGGGCATTTAGGTTGATCCCGTGTCTTTGCCATTGTTAATAGTGCTGTGATGAGCATATATGTGTATGTGTCTTTATGGTAGAATAATTTCTATTCCTTTGGATGTATGCCCAATAATGGGATTGCTGGGTTGAATGGTAATTCCATTATGAGCACCTTGAGAAATCTTAAACTGCTTTCCACAGTGGCTAAACTAATTTACATTCCCACCAGCAGCATATAAGCATTCTTTTTTCTCAGCAACCTCACCAGAATCTGTTATTTTTTTGCTTCTTAATAATAGCCATTGGCACTGGTGTGAGATGGTATCTCATTGTGGCTTTGATTTGCATTTCTCCAATGGTGAGTGATACTGTACATTTTCTCATGTTCTTGGCCACATGTATGTCTTCTTTTGAAAAGTGTCTGTTCATCTCCCTTGCCCACTTTTTAATGGGATTGTTTCTTCACGCACCCTTGTCAGATGCATAGTTTGCAAGTTTATTCACCTTTTCTGTAGGTTGTCTGTACACTCTGCTGAAAAGAAAAAAACACTTTTAAATTTTTAAATAGTCTTATCCCAAGTCATAATCCATGAGACTATGGTTTTGATGGGTGTATTTTTTAAATGTATTTTGGGGTATTTATTTCATTGAGAATTACATGACATATACACAGGTGTACACACACACGTGCACAGAAACACACGCCAGCCCATCAAACCCAGGAGTGCATAGATTATAGCCTAAGGGTAAGACTAAATTAAAAAAAAAAACTGGTCAATTTTTTAAACCATTAGGAGACTAATAATAAAATTGATTCTAGAATACAGCAAAAATTGTGAAGGTGGCCTGAAAATGATTGCAAGTTGAAGAACACAGAATTATATCAAGTCTTCTCTGCATGCATATGAAAATGACAGAATAAAATTCAAATTCGGTTAGTGAAAAATCCTTCTTATACACAGTCTATGTACTTCTACAAATCAAGGCGACAAACTAGCATAAATGCAGAGATGAAATGACAGGATGTGAGGGGCGATATGAGTGGTACTTATTCCCCAAATGAAATAATGACTTACTAAAGGAAAGTTGAGTGAGGAAAAACATTGATAATTGTCCAATAAATCTTTCCATAACCTCCCATTAGTCATCACAGCATTTCAGCCTCTTTTTTACCTAGGAAGGGAAGTCACATGCAACACGCAGGCGAGCCGTTGCTAAAGCCGTGCCGGGGGCCACAGCGCTGCTGGCTTTGTCACCTCAGGGTGCCTGTGAGTTTTCTCCTTTCCTGTAGCATCAAGACCATCAGATGGCGTAGAAGCCCATTTTAAATTGCCATTTGCCCTTCTTAGAACTACTGGGAAACATTCTTGTATGCACCAAAGTTACATTTTCTGCTCTGGCTTTGGGACCTGGGTCAACTTAAGTTACCTTCTCATTACCAAAGGGATTTGAAAACAGTCGTTCCGAGTACTCACTCGTTTGACAGTTTGCCTTCGTTTCTGTTTTTACTATTTCAGCACAGAACTGCGAATCTCATACTCTAACAGAGGAGAAGATACTTATCAGATAAATACGTAAACATCTGGCAATTCAGTTTGGTGTTACCAAGAAGTACAAAACGTTGTTAAGGTCTATATTAATGAGGAGGCCTTGCCTTAGAAGTCCTGGGAGTCAGAGAAAACCACTCCAAGAACTTGAAGTGAGAGGCCAGGCATGGTGGCTCACGAATGTAATGCCAGCACTTTGGGAGGCCAAGGTGGGCAGACCACCTGAGTTCATGATTTCTAGACCAGCCTGACTAACATGGAGGAACCCCTGTCTCTACTAAAAATACAAAATTAGCCAGGCATGGTGACTGAGGTAGGAGAATTGCTTGAACCCAGGAGGCAGAGGTTAGGGTGAGCAGAGATTGTGCCATTGCACTCTAACCTGTTCAACAAGGGCAAACCTCTGTCTCCAAAAAAAAAAAAAAAAAGGAGAAAAAGAAAAGAAATTGAAGTTTGGGGAGAAGATAGCCAAGTGAGAAGATGGGAAATGAACATTCCAGGCAAGGATACCAGTTTGAACTAAATCTCTAAAGCACAAAGGACTTCGTGTGTTTGAAGAACAGAAACAAATTTGTCATGTCATGCTTAGGGTGGCCAACTGTCCTGGTTTGCTCTGGACTGAGGAGTTTCCCAGAACGTGGGGTTTTCTGTGCTAAAATCGGGAAAGTGTTGGCAAACCAGAACAATTGGACCATCCTTGTAATAAGCAATAGGAATAGTGATGTTAGACCAGGCTGGAGAGCTGAGCAGGGGCCATGCATCTGAATCACCACTGGTCACTGCTAGGATTCCACCATCCTGTCTGACTCCTTGGGACCTCAAGAAAACAAGGATATTCTCTTCTGCATATCTTCCCAAAATTTAGAGGCTTAAAAAAAATTAAGTATTATGATCTCTCACAGCCTAGGAATTGACCTGACTCAGCTAGGACGTCTCATTTAGGGTCTCTCATGCAGTTGCTAGGGCCGGAATCACTTGAAGCCTTTACTTCCAGTTGGATTTCTCCACTCATAACTGGTATCTCAGCTAGAACAGCTTGGCTCTTCCTAGAACAGCTGAAACAATTGAGAGCTAGCTAAGCATCTCCCCTTCACCTCTCTTTTGCTTGTACGTGCATGTGTGTACACACTCATGTGCATAGCCACCCCATACAACTAATCTGGCTTCTTCACAACATGGCGGTCTCAGCATAGTCAGCCTTCTTACATGGTGCCAACTTTCCCTAGAGCAAGCACTCTCAGAGGCCCAGAGAAGTTACAAAGTCTCTTATGACCTAACTTTAGAAGTTACCTCTTTTGCATTCTATGGGTCAAAGTGAATCACAGGCCTAGGCCAGATTCAAAAAGACTGGAAATAGGCTCTTCTCCATGGGAAGAACAGCAAAAATCTGTGGCCATCTCTCTTCTATAGATGCTTTGGGTCAGTGTGCCTCACAGAATCATGGTATACTTTACTGACAACAAGATATGCTTGTCCTCATGAAAAGAAGCAAGGAGTCATTGCAAGTCTAATTCAGACATGTATATTTTGCACGAGACGTGTGTAAGTCAAGGGCTCATTCTAATACTGCATCATTTTATAGTCCCTTTCAAGAACCTCACACTTGCTCTCTACACTGCATCAAGGAATCCAGCATGATGGGCTAGAGAAGGAGCAAGCCTACCAATGAGATCTTCAACCTCAGTTCAAAAATGTCTTCCTTAGGTACTTTCTTCTTGTGACATGTTGGGGAGTTCTACGTCCCCTTGTGACTTTCTTACAGTTCCCAAGCAAATCAGAGCTCTCTCACTCCATAGCTTGGAAGCAAGACTACTCCTTGGCTCTTCCTTGTTTATACAGAATCTATTGACTATCCGATATCAGCAAACTTACTCTTTAAAGGGTGTGATGGTAAATATCTTAGGCTTTCAGGGTTTTGCCTTCTCTGTTGCAAGTACACAACCTGAGGGTTATAAACTTGATTTCAAAAACAGGTTGCTGGGCTGGGTGTGGCAGCTCACATCTGTAATCCCAGTGGAGCCCAGCCAACATGGTGAAACCTCATCTCTAATAAAAATACAAAAAAAAGCCAGGCATAGTGGTGCACTCCTGTAATCCCAGCAACTCAGGAAGTTGAGGCAGGAGAATCACTTGAACCCAGGAGGCGGAAGCTGCAGTGAGCAGAGATTGTGCCACTACACTCCAACCTGGGAGACAGAGCAAATCTCTGCCTCAAAATAATAATAACAACAATAGAACTTAATACAGAGCACAAGCTAAAGGATTAGCAGAGGAAAATGTCATTCAAATTCTCCCTCACCTTAAACTTGAAGCCAGAAAAAAGAAAAAAAAAACACTCTTCAAATTTGTACTGAATTTGTACTTTTAAGCCCCAACAGGTTTTCTCCCTGTTTCAGTGTGTCTCTGAATATTCATAACAAATTTAAAACCCTATGTAGTGTTTTTCACATGACAGGAGTTCGATGACTTCATTTGAAAATTAAATCAGTGTTTGCCAAAATGTGAAACACACACCTCTGGTAATAAATGAAATTTGAGGTAAGATAGCTAATGAATACTCTTTGTTTGAATTGTCTATTTATTGATCACAAAACTTATTTTAATATGTCTTTAAAAATATATAACTGTCTCATGGAACCTATTACCTTACAGATGTTGCTTAGGACAAGCAAAAGAAGATATTTACACTTTTAAAAAGTCTGTTGAGGTAAATAGCACAGTGCTTGCTACATAAAAGGTCCACAATAAGCCAGGCATGGTGGCACACATCTGTCATTCTGGCACTTTGAGAGGCCGAGGTGGCTGGATGGCTTGAGTCCAAGAGTTCGAGACCAGCATGAGCAACAGGGCAAAAACTTATCTTTACAAAAAATGCAAAAATTAGCCAGCCGTATTGTCAGGTGCCTGCAGGCTGAGGTGGGAGGATCAACTGAGCCCAGGAGGTGAAAGCTGAAATGAGCCGTGATTGTGCCACTGCATTCCGGCATGCGTGACAGAGTGAGACCCTATCTCAAAAAAAAAAAGTAAACAAATAAAGGCCCACAATAAATATAGAATGAGTGGATAAATTAAGTTGTCACTCAGATTATTAGGTTAATTTGAGTCATGGAAAATAATCTCACACTAACTCAAGGATCTAGTATTTCAGATGTTCTTAAGAACAGTCTGAAGTTTGCAGAATGGAAGAGATGAGCTTGTTTAAAGTCGGTCAGTTAGAAGTGGACAGTCTCTTGGGATGTCTTTGCCAAGAGAAGCCCAATGGTGCCATAAATCAGGATGCCTAATTGAAGCTATGCTTTAGGAACTAAACAGCAACTAAATTAAATGGGAAAGTTTCTAAGGGACACCTTTGATATCATGGGGGGAAAAGTCAAAACAACCCCAAGGGTCTATGGGAAAAAAATAGCTTTCTTCCAAAAGGCTTGCTGGTTAATAATTATCAAACACATCTGTGATTCAAACCCTCTTTCTTCCAAAGGCTTTATGATCTTACCATAGACTTCCCTCCTTGAACATCATGAGCCAAAGCAGAAAGATCACTGAGGTATCACAAATGCAGGAAACCATGGAAAAAAGACTTGGAAAGGAAATGTGTAGCAAAAACTTTCATCCTGCCGAAAACTAGTTTTATGAAACTGATTCTCAGAATAGATGGCATAACGAGTATCTGTTTACCCAGTGAAAGTAATTTAAAGCATTTCAGCATCAATGTCCCCAACTTCAAGAGAAGCCTAACTTGAACTTGGAGATTGATGGTGGAAGAGTTGTATGTGTGTGAGAGTGTGCGTGCATGCACACGTGCACGTGTATATAAAAGGTTTATTTAAAACTATGGTAAATTCTTTCATAACAGTGTTTCCAAAAACATAGAACTCCTACCTTCAATAGAGGTGATTTTAGGTAAAATGTGAACAAAAAAACAAAGCCTTTCTTATTTTAGCAGTTACGTAGTTTTTTGTTTGTTTGTTTTTTATTGCATTTTATGTTTTTGGGGTACATGTGCAGAACATGCAAGATAGCTGCATAGGTACACACGTGGCAGTGTGATTTGCTGCCTTCCTCCCCTTCACCCACATCTGTCATTTCTCCCCATGCTATCCCACCCCAGCTCCCCCTCCCCACTGTCCCTCCCTTATTCCCCCCAATAGACCCCAGTGTGTAGTGCTCCCCTCCCTGTGTCCATGTGTTCTCATTGTTCATCACCCACCTATGAGTGAGAACATGCGGTACTTTATTTTCTGTTCTTGTGTCAGAATGATGTTCTCCAGATTCATCCATGTCCCTACAAAGGACATGAACTCATCTTTTTTGATTGCTACATATTATTCCATGGTGTATATGTGCCACATTTTCCCAGTCCAGTCTATCATTGCTGGGCATTTGGGTTGGTTCCAGGTCTTTACTATTGCAAACAGTGCTGCAATGAATGTTCGTGTGCATGTGTCCTTATAGTAGAACGATTTATAGTCCTTTGGATATATACCCAGTAATGGGATTGCTGGGTCAAATGGAATTTCTATTTCTAGGTCCTTGAGGAATCTCCACACTGTCTTCCACAATAGTTGAACTAATTTATACTCCCACCAGCAGTATAAAAGTGTTCCTATTTCCCCACATCCTCTCCAGCATCTGTTGTCTCCAGATTTTTTAATGATCGCCATTCTAACTGGCGTGAGATGGTGTCTCAATGTAGTTTTGATTTGCATTTCTCTAATGACGAGTGATGATGACCATTTTTTCATATGTTTGTTAGCCATGAGTATGTCTTCTTTTGTAAAGTGTCTGTTCATATCCTTTGCCCATTTTTGAATGGGCTTGTTTGTTTTTTTCCTGTAAATCTGTTTTAGTTCTTTGTAAATTCTGGATATCAGCCCTTTGTCAGTTGGGTAGACTGCAAAAATTTTTTCCCATGCTGTTGGTTGCCGATTCACTCTAGTGACTGTTTCTTTTGCTGTGAAGAAGCTGTGGAGTTTGATTAGGTCCCATTTGTCTGTTTTAGCTTTTGTTGCCAATGCTTTTGGTGTTTTGGTCATGAAGTCCTTGCCTACTCCTATGTCCTGAATGGTTTTGCCTAGATTTTCTTCTAGGGTTTTTATGGTGCCGGGTCTTATGTTTAAGTCTTTAATCCATCTGGAGTTAATTTTAGTGTAAGGTGTCAAGAAGGGGTCCAGTTTCTGCTTTCTGCACATGGCTAGCCAGTTTTCCCAACACCATTTATTAAACACGGAATCCTTTCCCCATTGCTTGTTTTTGTCAGGTTTATCAAAGATTGTATGGTTGTAGATATGTTGTGTTGCCTCTGATGCCTCTGTTCTGTTCCATTGGTCTATATCTCTGTTTTGGTACCAGTACCATGCTGTTTTGATTACTGTAGCCTTGTAGTATAGTTTGAAGTCCAGACTCAATGCTATCCCCATCAAGCTACCAATGACCTTCTTCACAGAACTGGAAAAAACTACCTTAAACTTCATATGGAACCAAAAGAGAGCCCGCATAGCCAAGTCAATTCTAAGCAAAAAGAACACAGCAGAAGTTACATAGTTTTATATAAAGCAAAATAAAAATATACTTAATACATCCATGATGGTATGAATTACTGCTTAGAATGAGGCAAAGTTTTTTTAAAGTACGTTAATTTCCCTAAAAAGAATATTAAGAAAATAACTGAACATAGGGGTCACTCTCAAACATGGCAAAATTTATAAAAATTGCTTCCCAAATGGCTGAGGATTGTGAAACACTGTTCTATAGCACAGTTCGGACTCTTTCTAACATACAATGCAAAAAAAGGGAGTTTGCATCCTTTGTTTAATAAAATCCAACAAAAACTGCAAAAAGAATACTGGGGCAGAAGGTAGGGATGCAGAATTCACTTTTCAAGTTCAGATTATCCCAGCTGATTATCGAAGTCATCACTTTGATGATGAGATTCTGGAAAAATGAATCTTCATTGCCCACATTTCACCTTACAAGCAGGTAACCACTTTTCTGCATATTTATGAAAGATTTATTCTGTGATGGTTCAAGAGGATGACAGTTGTGCACATCTCACTTTAAAAATAACTATCATTATTATATTATCACTATCATTAGTTTCATTAGGAAATCCTCTCTATCCCAACAAACTAGAAACCACTTACAAGAAAATAGATACTATAGTAATGACTATGCTGGTCTCGTCAATTCAGACAGTATTTTGAGTCTGTCCTATGCAGAATCCTGTGTTAGTGATTCTAATTCAGGATCTAGCATTTTGTAGCTCAGTGATTTTGTGAGACTCGTTCATCCACGAAATCTTGGTTGTAACATCTGTAAAATAGAGATAATGATTCCCACTTCAGGTTGATAATTAAATAAGAGACTGTATAAAATACCTACAAAATACCAATCATGAAGTAGGTCCTCAGCACGCGTTAATTGGTCCCAGTTTTCTAGCCCTCTCCACTTTCTCTTCACCCCGTCACTCACTTTAGCAGTTCACCTGTACGTCAGGTCTCCCATACATCATCCACAAAGCCCTCCCATGCGAAAGGTAGAATATGAACCCATTTGCTTACCAGTAAATGTCTACCACTGCCTCTAATATCATTTTCTGGAATCCAGCTTGTATTAGCATTCTGAATCATTCATGCCTTCATTCAACAAAAATAAATGGACTGCCTCCTAATGTCCTGCACCACGCTTGCTTCATGGAAAAGAAACAAGCAAGTAAATGCATATGTCAGGTACAATTTTCACAAAGCACCAGCCCCAGCATGTGAAAAATATAACTTGCTTCATTTTTATTTTATAAATTAATTTAATTTTTCTTGAAGCCCTCATTATATCTAGAGGGAAAAAAATGCCTCCGTTAACGAAGGGTCTTCTTGGCTAATTCAGGGATTTCCTACTTGCCTTTGCTTGCGTTGCTTCTATGACTTAGGCAGAGGAAGTCAAGGGAGAAATTGGGGATTTGTCTGCTTCTCAGTGTTCATTTCCTCCCCATGACCTTTGGTGTCTGTGTATGGTCCCTACTGGCAGGTAGTAGGGACTGCGCTTCCCACACTGCATCCACAGAGATATCCCCATTCCCAAATACACAGGGTTACCCTCTGTCCCTTGTCCCTGTCCCGTTGTGGGCATTTGCTTTATCTGCCAGTTCTTTCTTCTCAGTTGAATTCTGTACCTTTTTGGGGGACAAGGAAAATGTTGGCTCTTGCAAAAAGCTATTCTAAGGCTACAAAAATCGAGATAGGCTGACTCAAACCCTTCTTGCAGATAGAGCTCTGGTGCTTCCCAGGGCTGCAAACTTACCTGGGGAATATTTCCATGCCCTCCCTCAGTCTAACCCAACCTGGGGGTAGGCAGTCAAACTTCGGAGTTCTTTTCAGAGACCTATCCCAGTGCTTTACTCTCTTGTGTTCCTGAAAGGCTCTTTTTCCTCCCCAAATCCTGACATTCCTTCCCCGCTGGTGCTGGTGTCGGGGCTAAGTAAGGATATAGGCTGGCTCAGGAAATGTTCCCCCAAATCTGTAGTGATTTGGCCATGCCCTTGGCCTTTGACTCTCTAAAACCCAAAGTTCTGTTCCTTTGCCCTCAGGCTCAGGTTCCTCCATGACTATCTCCCATCCAAATGCAGAACAGTCCCAGTGGTTAAAAGAACTGGAAAAGGGGGAAGAAATCAATGAACCTGTCCCAAGATTATCCCACCATATGAGCCAACACAACACAGAGTGAGAACAGGGGCCCAGAGGGAGCACAGAGCAGCTGCAAGGGGACGTCAGACAAGACAAGAAATAGAAGCTTCGAGGTAATGACATTCAAATTGCTCTTCACGAGCCCTGGTGGCCTTTCCCAGGCACTCCATGGCTCCCTCTGGGCCACAGCTTCCTGTCTGGATTATATCACTCAGCACTGCAGGAGATGGGGATCATATAGTTCTGAAGATTAATTAATAGTAACCACTGCACATGTGACTGCAAAACCCCAGACTCTCATGACCAAAGAGACAACCTGGTGTGTGGGGAAAGACGGAGTCCTGTGGCTTGGGTTTGAGACAGGACTTCTCTAGCTCCCTCAGTTATATAACTTGTCCACATCACTGCTCCTCTCAGCCTCAGTTTCCCTATCTGCAAAATGGGATACCACTTCTGCTTTTACAGAAAACGGAGACTTTCTGAGACTGTCTTTAAAAATGCTTTATTGGCCGGGTGCAGTGGCTCAGGCCTATAATTCTAACACTTTGGGAGGCCAGGGCAGATGGATTGCCTGAGCTGAGGAATTTGAGGCCAGCCTGGGCTACATAGTGAAACCCCAACTCTACTGAAATACAAAAAATCAGCTTGGTGTGGTGGCGGTCACCTGTAATCCCAGCTACTCAGGAGGCTGAGGCATGAGAATTGCTTGAACCTGGGAAGCAGAGGTTGCAGTGAGCCAAGATTGTGCCACTGCACTCAAGCCTGGGCAACAAAGTGAAACTCTGTCTCAAAAAAAATAAAAAGAAAAAGAAGAAGAAAGAAAATGCTTTATGTACCAGAAAAACTACACAAATATTAGGCATCATTTTTAGTGGTAGTCTGTCATCAGCCTGAATATAGACCTAATCTTGGGATGTATCTTAGAAGTTCTATAGGGGTGAATAAATCCCTGATTTTTATTTTGTAACTACTTAATTGCTATTACAGGCATGAGCCACCATGCCTGTAATCCCAGTACTTTGGGAGGCCAAGGTTTGTGGATCATTTAAGGCCATGAGATCAAGACCAGCCCACCTATTTGGCGAAATCCCATCTCTACTAAAAATACAAAAATTAGCTGAGCATGGTGGCTCACACCTGTAATCCCGGCTACTCGGGAGGCTGAGGTAGGAGAATCTCTTGAACCCTGGAGGTGGAAGTTGTAGTGAGGCAAGATTGTGCCTTTGCACTCCAGCCTGGGCGACGGAGTGAGACTCTGTCTCTGAAAAATAGTAACAATAAAAATAATTAATACAAAAAAAAGCCCTGTTTCCATTTCCTCGTAAACACTCCATTTATTTAAGATTGCTAATTATTTCAATCCTGGAAATTTATCAGGATAAATGATTAACTGTTCCTTTAATATAATTTTAGGAGGTAACTAAAAAGCTAGGCTTCCCAAAGTCAGCCAGATCCTACTTTGGCAGTTTGACATGTTCCGGAACACTCCTCTGGTGACATGTGAGTTCCACCTGGGGCTCTGCATTTCACCCTTTTGCTATTTTGGAAACCTGAAGACATCGGAATGGTGCCCAGGGCAGGCCCCCAGAGACAAAAATGCAAGACCTTGGCCAAGGGGAGGTGTGAGAGCTGACCAGATTTCCCAGGAGCTGGGAGAGGCAGAGATTTCTTCCAGAAACAAGGAAATTTATGTGGGGAGCACACAGTTGGGAGCCGTGAGCCAGTTCTTGCTTACAAATAGCAGGAAAGGACGAGACGGGGAAGAAAGGAAGACATTCATTACTGAAGGCGAGGGATTTGACTGGCCCTGGAAACTCCAAAACTGCAGTCCCAAATTGCTTCATGAACGAAGCCATTCACTATTAGCCGCATGCAGACCATTTATTTAAATCAAATTAAGATCTGAATACAGCAATTTTAATCATTTAATTTTTTGGTGGGGAGAGCATCATACAGTCTGTATCTTCTTTCTGGATAGCTTCGCTTTGGCGAGCAGTGTCTGTGAATCACGCATTGGGTTTGCCATCTATCGTCATGACATCTAATCCCTCCCTGACCACTTCCTAGCTGTGTGACTTCAGCAAGGGGCTTGACCTCTCTGGGCCTGTGTTCAATTTTATAAAATGACTGTGATGCCTGCTTTACCCTTGAAGTTGTAAGTAAAAATGCTCCCTGATCAAAAATGAGATACAGTAATAAGGATCCAGGTGGTACCAGCGTTACTTAGCATCCTCAGTGCTTTTTTCAGACATAAACAGAGGATATGTCTAAGTCTACAATTAAATGACACTGTACTTTCTCGTTTTAAAGAATAAAGGAGTCAACTCAGAACCAGATACATGGAGAAAGCATGCCACATATAATAGGAATAATATAAAAAAACAGGAGGTGGAAAGAAGCTAAGCCTTTCTTACAAGGGATTTTTTTCTTCACTTTGGAATGTCATATTATTGACCCGATATTTCAGCTTCTCAGAATTGGAAAATAAAGGAAAACTGAGAAATGAGTACTGCAAAGACACTGGCTAAGTATCTGTTTTCACCCCCACAGAAAGAAAAAGGCTAATGGAGATACTGGTGCGCCCCAAAGGAGCACTCACGCCTCCCTCGGTGTAGAAAAGGCAGATCACAGCTGTCAAGCGGTGAAGGGACAATGCTCCATACTTAGCAGTCATGGGAAGAATGGGTATACCGTTCTCAGTCATGGGGCACGACAGCCATCCTCACAATTCTTCCTTAATAATTCTCTTATCTGCTGTCACCCCAGAGATGTTCTTAAGGACGCTGTTAGAGCTCCAGTTTTAACCCAGGGTTCCCAAGCCAAGCTCTACCTGGTCAAGCAGCACTTGGTCCACGGGGAGCATCACTCATTCATTCCATCAATTTGATTTAACTCCTTCTGAGCCACGGACCAGGGATAACCAGGAGGAACAAAGCCCAGGCCCTGCCTAAGGAGCCTGGAACTTTCCCTTTCTTTCTTTTTTTTTTTTTTTTTTAAGACAAAGTCTCATTCTGTCGCCAGGCTGGAGTGTGCAATGGCACCAACTCGGCTCACTGCAACCTCTGACTCCCAAGTTCAAGCGATTCTCATGCCTCAGCCTTCTGAGTAGCTGGGACTACAGGCACGCTCCACCATGCACAGCTAGTTTTTGTGTTTTTAGTAGAGACGGGGTTTCACCATGTTGGCCAGGATGGTCTTGATCTCCTGACCTCATGATTCACCTGCCTCAGGCGGGCGGATCACAAAGGTGTAATCCCAAAGGTGCTGGGATTACAGGCATGAGCCACTGCGCCCAGTCAGAACTTTCAAGAATCTGAAAAAAAAAGCTGGAGAGGCTGGAATCTAGTGAGGAAAGCAAGGAGAATGACCTAGACAAGCCCGGAGAGAAAAGGAAAGACAAGATCACTCCAGACACCAAGGTGATGTCCCACCTCTCACCCCGAACGAGGACGTTAGACCCATGGTCTCAGGCCCACCTTCCTCTTTAAACCAGTGTTCCAATTGCCTGTGCCCCCAGCCTCCGGATGAGCCTGGCTTCCCCACTGGAGAAGGCTGGGCCCTGAGTCTCACACAGTATTTCCGCAGAACCCACCCCTCACCTCTTAGCGTGGCTTGAGTACCTCAACTGCCTCGGCAAGGCTCTGCATTTATGTAACAAGCCCTGCTCAAGCATTTGTAGGCCTCCTGTTTAGAAACACACAGCAGGGGCAAGAAAGAATAAATATGGAAATCAAATGTAGAAACTTCTGGCTCCTGCAACCGGCTTCCTGGGGGAATTTTCCTCTGTGTTCTTTCCACTTCTTCTACTCAGCGGAATGACTGCTAGTCATTAAGGAAATCTGTGAGGAGCTCACGGTACAGGAATTGTACACCAGTGCTCCCATCCTCATTTGCATATCCCATTTTTTGATTGGCAGCTGTACATGAAATGCCATATCAGTTGAAAGTATGTTGTGAGCTGGCACTAATGATCCTTTGGCTCCAGGGAAACCTGCCATATTGTAATTTGGCTATCAGGCATGAAAGAAATAATTCTAAGTGCCAGGAATGCAAGACTGAATAAATGTTTCACTGCTGCAGGTTGTCAAGGGCGACACTTCTGATTTAGTATAAACGAATGCCCCGTTGCCTTTGGGGTACCGGGAGTTTGCATTGTATCTGAGCTGTGTGTATAAAACATTAGTCTAAGAAAATGGCTTCGGTGTAAGACGGGAAACAGAGGCCTGCTCCCAGAAGGCGGCGGAATGTTTACAACTAATCACTGGATGAAAGGATTTTGCTACCTTCAATAATGACAGGCAAACAGGATTTGCCTTTCCTGAGATGGAGAATAATGGTTATGTTAACTCTGCCTCGCCTAGCCTTTTTTTTTTTTTTTTAATGAAATGCTCTTTTGTAAAGAAAATCACATCTGTTTCCTTTTATGTATGAAAGGGATATAAATTCTTTTTCTTTCCCGCCCCCTGTGTGAATAGCCCATGGTGTACCTTGGGATTAAATAACCCTTTCTGATGTCATTGGGTTTCAGAGGTCTGGAAACATGGCCACCACTTCCTTCTCCCTGGCTCCTGACTTCACACACCTGCCTAGACAAAGAATGACTTTAGAAGTGGGAAGCGATCACTTTCACTCGAATTTTTATTAAGGTCCCAAAGCCAATTCCCTGCATACTGAGCTCCACAGGATCTCACTTTCACTAACAAACTTCCCGTGGGTTCTCTGTATGCAATGCAGAAAACAGTAGCAGTGCCTCCTTAGAAGAAAAGACACTGGAAGTTCCTTCCTCCCTGTGGCCTCCATTGACCATCTGGGTCCTGGCTTCGGGATCATGTTAAGATCTGTTTTGTTTCCCTTGATTCTGCGTGGGATGTTCTTTGGAGACGGTTTCCACCATGGACTTCCTTGCTTGGATGTCACCGAAGTAAAGGCTCAGGTACCTGTTTAGACACAACAGTACAGCAGTCACAGGAAAATGCCATTTTTCCATTTGTTCTCTAGGCAAAGGCCAGCTGGAGTAAATCAAGACCGGGCTGGGGAGCACTGGACCGCTTTTACTCTCAATTCTTGCTTTGGGAAGAAAGCAACCTGACACTTGGACTCTCCTCTTGAAGTGAAAACTTCATTATTGCCTCTCACCTACAGTTGCAGTGACTTTCGGGTGGGCTTGGCGAGAGTGGGAGTGAAAACGTAATAACTTAGAAGATAACTAAGAGTATAGTCGGATTTACTCAACCCTAACAGACTGACTCAGGAAATTCCCATCATACCAATCCCGTCGGCCATTCCACTGTTGCAGAGTGTGTCGTAGGCTTGTGATACAATAAACAGATCCCATAATATAGAGCATCTTACAATGTTTCTCTTCCGTAGGTGAAGAATTTTTAAATTTTAGGTGGAGGATACTGAGGTTGCTGTTCATTCAAACTTACATTTCTTGTTCCTTCACTTAAGTGACATACAAATTATCGGGCATTCACTCTGTGGTGGGCTTTGGAGGTATTAAAATAAATGAGGCAGGTCCTCTGTCCTCAAGTAAGTCACAGTTAATGGGAAATGTGCATCAAAACATAAAAGCAACCACATCTACTGTGACGATACAGCGCTGAAGCCGGGGTGAAACCCACAGTTGAGAGCCTGACAGTCACAGTCACAGACACAGGAGAAAATGCCAATTGAAGAACCAACTGGCCACACTCGCCTCTTTATTTTTTTTTTTTTTTTTTTGAGACGGAGTTTTGCTCTTGTTACCCAGGCTGGAGTGCAATGGTGCAATCTTGGCTCACCGCAACCTCCGCCTCCTGGGTTCAGGCAATTCTCCCGCCTTAGCCTCCCGAGTAGCTGGGATTACAGGCGTGTGCCACCACGCCCAGCTAATTTTTTGTATTTTTAGTAGAGACGGGGTTTCACCATGTTGACCAGGATGGTCTCGATCTCTTGACCTCGTGATCCACCCGCCTCGGCCTCCCAAAGTGCTGGGATTACAGGCTTGAACCACCGCGCCCAGCCTAACCTTTTTTATTTTTTATTTTTTTTGAGATGGACTCTCGCTCTGTCACCCAGGCTACTAGAATGCAGCAATGCGATCTTGGCTTACTGCAAAATGTCCTCCTCCCAGGTTCAAGCGATTGTCGTGCCTCAGCCTCCTGAGTAGCTAGATTTACAGGCACCTGCCATCACGCCTGGCTAATTTTGTATTTTTAGTACAGACAGGGTTGGCCAGGCTGGCCTCAAACTCCTGACCTCAGATGGTCCACCCACCTCGACCTCCCGAAGTGCTGGGATTACATGTCTGAGCCACTGCACCTGGTCACCTCTATAACTTTCAAGGACCAGCTTAAATTTAGTTTTAAATTCAGAAAGCCGTATTGTATACCCACTACATGCAGGTGTAATATTTAGGTACTTTCACTCATATTATGTGGTTTAATTCTCTTCCAGTGGCCAATTATTCATTGATATTAAGATTATAGAGGTTCAATATTAAGAGAGAATGAAGTCAATCCTGTAGGAAGCAGAACATACTAGAATGTGTGACCTTTTCCTCATCGGTTATGGGAGATTATCCAAAAGTATGAATGTTCGAAAACCCAGACATCTGCAGATAGGGTCCCCTTCCTGGTATTCCTTTCTTTCAGGTAATTCAACACTTCTCAGAACATCAGCACATGTAAAAATTACTAAACAGGGTTAACTCTGCAGTACCACTCATATATTCAAGGTGGGATTTGAGGGATTTTCTAAGGCTAACTGGGTTATATGTATTTTTCACTTAAGCCTGGACTTGGAGCTCAACCTCTACATGATTGCGTCTCTACTGCTTGTTGAAAGGGTGATATATGTTCAGAGGAAATTGTGTCTGAGTCCACATTAGGCCTGAAAGAGGGGTGGTCAGGGAAGACTTCATTGAGGTGGTGATTTTCCAGAATGCATGAATTAGGAAAGGAAATTCCAGGCAGAGTGGCCAAGACTAGCCAATGCTAGGAGGTGACAGAGTATGGCTGGCTTTGGGTTGAAAGACTAGAAAATAAGTAGTGGCAGAGGTGAACTTAGATCAGTGGGCCGGTGCCCGTGCTCTGCTGGCTGATGTTATCAGGTTGCCTACCCACTTGTTTTGAGATCTCCAGACCTGTGGTTTTTAACAGGGAGATGACTTGGCCCCCAGCGGACATTTAGCAATGTCTAGAGACATTTTGGTTGTCACAGTTAAGGAAAGGGTGATACTGGCATCTAATGAGTAGAGACCAGGAAGGCTGCTAAATATCCTACAATGCCCAGGACCATCCCCCACAACAAAGAATTGTCTGGCCTGAAATGTTAATAGCACTGAGATTGAAAAAGCCTTTTCTAGACCATGGCCACTTGTTTTCACACTATTCTGGTGTCACGGAGGTAAATGCAAAGCAAGTTTAAACTTTCTGTGTTGGAATAAGGATGTCTCAGGACAAATATTTATTTGGAATTCCTGTTCCTTCTGAGCCAGGGAATGGGGTGGGGAGGCAGGGTGGAGAGCGACTTTAGAGAGAAATATTAACCTTGCAAATGTGCACATTTTCAATTCACATCCTAGTGACAGGCTACAACTTGTAATCAGTATAAAATGATTTTCCGGGAGAGTAAATGCTTATTTTCACTGTCTTGATGTTGGCACTGGATTACTTGGTATTAATCCCAGGGTGACACAGTCACATTTGGAAGCCGCGAGATTTATTTGGATGTCTCGTGGGGCCAGGGGCAGCCTTCATTTTACACCCTTGATCTTTGAGAATTTAAATTAGAGCTGCTTTTCTGTATACACTAGTGGTGTGAAAAGGAAGGTATCCACCCAGGACATATTCCAAGAGCCATGGAAAGCCAGGGAAGGAAGGAGAGAGGATAGAAATGTCTCCATATTTATTGACAACTTCATACTTAGCAGTAGCAATGACAAATACTTATTAAACACCAACTGTGTGCCTGCTTCCCTTGCACAAGAGGGCAAGAAACCTGAGAGTTTGTACCCACTTGCTCCATCATACATGATAACAGCCTCTTCTCTTGCATATGCCCCCACTATGAGGCTATATTGGGTATGATTACTAGTGAGTCTAGACTGTGTATGCTGCAAAATATCCTACAATTCACCGAACAGCCCCACCATGATGAAGAACTGTCTGATCTGAAACGTCAGCAGTACCTGGGTCGAAAAAGCCCTCTCTGGACAAATTCTGTCACTATCACCTCTTATGCATAACTTTCATCTACAGCAGAAGCCAGCCAAATTTTTTAAGGGGCCAGAGAGTAAATATTTTTGGCTTTGCTAACCATATGGCTTCTTTGGCAACTACTCAGCTCTGATGCAACGTGAAACAGCCATAGACAATATGTAAACAGGGGAGCAGGACTGTGTTCCAATAAAGCTTTATTTACAAAAAACAGGCAGCTGGGCCAGATTTGTCCTCGAGGTTCTAATTCATCAGCTCCTGATTGACAGTACCTGGTACACTTTTAAAAAAAAAATAAAAATCACAGCTCACTGCAGCCTCAAACTCTGGGGCTCAAACAATCCTCCCACTTCAGCCTCCTAAAGTGCTGGGATTACAGACATGAGCCACCATGCCCCGCCCAGTATAATATTTTAAAGACATTCTTTCTGAATATTTAAGTAATGCTATTAGGAATGATAAAACAGCCTGGTGTGGTGGCTCATGCCTATAATCCCAACACTTTGGGAGGCTGAGGTGGGTGCATCACCTGCGGTCAGGAGTTTGAGACCAGCCTGGCCAACATAGCAAAACCCTGTCTCTACTAAAAATAGAAAAATTAGCCGGGCACAGTGGTGTATGCCTGTAATCCCAGCTACTCAGGAGGCTGAGACACGAGAATTGCTTGAACCTGGGAGGCAGAGGTTGCAGTGAGCTGAGGTGGTGCTACTGCACTCCAGCCTGGGCAACAGAGAGACTCTGTCTCAAAAAAGACAAACAAAAAAGAATTTGTAATTTTACATCTCTAAATCTAGTTCTAAGAGTATCTTTGGCTTTGCAGGTATAAATTTTTGTCCAAACATGTTCACTGAGGTAATATTTACATAATAAAGACACGGAAGCGGTTTTATTGGTCCATGATAGGACATCAGAGAAATCTTGTCTGCGATGGAACAGTGGAATATTGGGCAGTCTTTGAAAGTGATCATTCTAGCCCAGGTACACTGGCTTAATCCCAGCACTCTGAGAGGCTGAGGCAGGTGGATCACCTAAGTCAGGAGTTCTAGACCAGCCTGACCCAACTTGGTAAATTCCCATCTCTACTAAATACAAAAAATTAACCAGACATGATGGTGCATGCCTATAATCCCAGCTACTTGGAAGGCTGAGGCAGGAGAATTGCGTGAACCTCGCAGGTGGAGGTTTCAGTGAGCTGAGATTGCACCACTACACTCCAGTCTGGGCAACAGAGTGAGACTCCATCTCAAAAAAAAAACAAAAGAAAATGGAAGTGATCATTCTGAAAGGTTTTCAAGATGTATTTAAGATGTAATGTTAAGTCAATAAAAGTGAAATCGAAATTGTGCCAACAGTTTTGTGGCAATTGAGTGTAAATCCACATTGCATGGAAAAAGAGCAGGAAGAAATATACCAAATTGTTAAGTACAGTGAGGCTATGGGGTGACTTTTCTTAAATTTAATTCCAACATGGATTTTTTTTTAGCATTATGTTCATTCTTTTTTATTTTTTAATCATCTATATTTCTTTGGGGCACCTATGCAGGTTTGTTACATGGGTAAGTTGTGTGTCTTGGGATTTTGGTGTACAGATAATTTTGTCACCCAAGTAATCACCATAATATTGCATAGATAGTTTTTCTTTTTTTTTCTTGAGACAGAGCCTTGCTCTTTCGCCCAGGCTGGAGTGCAGCGGCATAATCTGGGCTCATTGCAACCTCCACCTCCCAGTTTCAAGCAATTCCCCTGCCTCAGCCTCCCAAGTAGCCGGGATTTCTAGTGCACACAACTGCACCCAGATAATTTTTGTATTTTTAGTAGAGAGGTTTTCCCATGTTGCCCAGACTAGTCTCAAACTCCTGGCCTGAAGTGATCTGCCCACCTCTGCCTCCCCAGATGCTGGAATTATAGGCAAGCCACTAAGCCTGACCCATAGGCAGTTTTTCAATCTTCACCCTCCTCCTACCCTCCACACTCAAATATGCCCCAGTGTCTATTGTCCCCTTCTCTGCGTCCATGTGTACTCAATGTTTAGCTCCCACTTATAAGTGAGAAATGCAGTATTTGGTTTCTTTGTTCCTGCATTACCTGCTTAGGATAATGACCTTCAGCTCTATCCACCAACAAAGAATTATTAAAAGAGGGCAAGTGGTGGCATCCAGCAGATTTAGCTTTGTAGTTCACTGGCTAAGCAGGTGACCAAGGAGAGGTGACTTAAGCTCGCTGAGCTTCAGCTCATTTCTTCTTGAAACACATGTAACATCTGACTCTCCAGATTGATGGGAAGATTAAATGAAGTAATACACATAAAACATCCAGCAGAGGGTTTGTAACATAGTAGGCACCAAACACATTGTAGCTATTAACATCATTATTCCTTGTTTGTTCCAAGCAGTCTGTATCTTGGTTGTGGTAGTGATTACATAAATCTATGCAAGGGATAAAATTGCATAGAACTACACGCAAAACACACACACACACACAAGTAAAAATTGTAAAAACTAAGGTCTGTAGCGTACTTAACAGTATTGTACCAATGTCAGTATCCCAGCTTTGATATTGTACTCCAGCTATTTAAGATTGACATCTCCACTGGGAGAAACTGGGAGGTTACATGGGACTCTACTATTTTTACAGCTTCCTGTGAATCTATGATTATTTCAAATGAAAGAGTTTTTAAAGTACAGTAAAACTTTTTTAGAAATTCTAACATCTTCCGTAATTTGCATCTCATCTATTCAGGTGAGGTAGGAAAGGTGGGAATGGTTTGTTATTATTTGTAAGAGGAAAAACTGACAGAGTGACTGATTCCTCTCTAGGTCAATCAGAAAATAAGCAGAAAAGGAAAAACCATGGCACTGAATGTCCAGGACTTTTTAACAGTTGCTGACCCTGCCTCAAACGTTGTACTGTGTTTAATGGCATTTATGTTCCCTCAATAAAGGGTTTTTTCTTTAGCTTTGTGTTCATTCTTTTTTTATTTTTGTAAATGTATCTATATTTCCTTGGGGTACCTATGCAGGCTTGTTACATAGGTAAATTGCATGTCTTGGGATTTTGGTGCACAGATAATTTTGTCACCCAGGTGATCACCTTAAACTCTGAGGTTTAAGGGTACACCTGCTATCTCATTCTTTAGATGTATGTAAAGGTGGTCAGTGGACACGGTAATCAGAACAGAACCTAGAATTCCGTAAACCAGTGTCCCCACTTGAGGTTTGCAATAAGGCAAAGCAGAAACAAGTGACTGTCTCAAAAAAAAAATAATAATTACTCAAGTGTTTTCATGCATTTATCATTTTATTGTTTTACATATACTATTAAAACTGAAAATAGGCTGTCTATAAATTAAGAAAATTGGCTTAAGGTTGATACAATTACAAATCTCCTTGCAAAAACTCAAGTCACTAATTGACCAAATATTTGCTAAATATCTGCCATGTGCAATCACTGTTCTAGATGTTGGAGATTTAGTAATGATCTAGACCCATCCAGTCCTGCTCTTGAAGAATGTGGTTTAGGTCAAAAGGCAATTGATTGTAGCCCGTGTTTTCCCACTTGCTAGCCATGTGCTTTTAAAAGTTACCTGGGCCTTAATCTCCTCTTCTTGGCCTTATTTATACAGCAAAATACACATCCTCACTCACCAGCTCCACCTCTTATATTCAATACCAACATCAACAATCAATCTGTCTCAAAACAAAAAACAAGCTGTTCTTCAATTGCCTTTACCCATCTGATTCCCTCAAAGCTCCACACATGAAATACCACCTGTTGGCCAGGCACAGTGGCTCATGCCTATAATCCCAGCACTTTGGGAGGCCAAGGCAGGTGGATCACCTGAGGTCAGGAGTTTGAGACCAGCCTGGCCAACATGGTGAAACCCTATCTCTACTAAAAAATACAAAAAAAAAAAAATAGCTGGACATGGTGGCGGGCACCTGTAATCCCAACTACTCAGAAAGGTGATGCACCAGAATCTCTTGAACCCAGAAGGCAGAGGTTGCAGTGAGCAGAGATCACGCCACTGCACTCCAGCCTGGGCAACAGAGTGAGGCTTTGTCTCAGAAAAAAAGAAAAGAAATACCACCTGTCCCCCAGAACTCACACACACACACACACACACACACACACAATCCAAAGTCCCTTCCACACGCAGCCTCCACTAGCTGTTTCTCTGCCACTTCCCACTCACAACCTTCTTGCCTTCCCATGTCTCTGCTTTTTCCTTGTAAATGGACCAAGCCAACATTGGGGTTTTTTTGTTCTTCTTACCCATTTCCCTGATTTAAACAACAAGGCCTAGAAGCCATGCTAGTCAAACCAAGTTCTCTTCAGCATGCGAGGAAGGTAGAGGAGCTTTAAAGTGAAGGAGAGCAGAATTCAGTCGTGCGAAATTGAAGGTGAAATAATAAAAACGGGAAGGACAGAGCACAACCCACGAGATCAATGAAATGATGTCTGAGAAAGCACTTCAAAGAGTGTCCAGAACAATAAAAATAAATTTTCCTGGAGAAGCAGTTTCTAGAGTAAGAAAAATGTGACTTTTAGATGGATCTTGAAGAATTAATGGAAACTGGACCCATGGAATTAGAGGTGATGAGTAAGCAGAGATGAAGGAAGCTGAGACAGCAGTAGCAGCAGGAGCAAAGGATCTGTGCAAGAAAGGGTTGGGTGCGTTCAAGGAGCCTGCATCAGTCTCTAAACTGAGGCTTCCTAAGTTTATTTCCTGTCTGGGACATTCTGTGACACATGTCCAGGTGGAAAAATCATTCCCCATTGAGCTAGCCAAATATCTTAAACAAATAATGCAAAAATTATTAAGACATTTTCCAGAGGACCCCATCATTTCCTGTCTTGACAATGAAGCTGGATTTGCCATCAGCTAATTCAAGAGGTTAGAAATAAAAGCTGTGGCCAATTCAAACTTCCCTTCTAAATGTTTTTCAATAATCTGAAATCGGGCCAAGAGAGTATTTGTAATCAGCTTTTTGCAAACCATCTTAACATCTTTCATTAAGTCACAAGCATGACCATGCAGATGTGCCATTGGCTAATTATTGTCCTGGATTGTGGGAATAGGAAGCTATGTTAAAATAAAGGATGGCTTCATTGGTCAACCTATGGAATGTTAAAAGAAGAGGGAGTTAAAGAGAAGATGTTCCAAAAGCATGCAACATGACCTTGAGTTAATGGGATAGACACACATTGGAAAGTTTTAAGGGTTTTAATGAGAATAATACAAAATATCAGCTCACATGTACATATCGTGGTTCTGATGCACCAGCTGCTCTTCTAAGCTCTTGATGTATACTATGTAGTTCATCCCTGACGATGACCCTGAAAGAGGCAAGTACTTACTCCCATTGTACAGATGAAGAAACTGGAGGAAGTTAAGCAACTTTTCCAGGGTCACACCATCAAAAAAATGAAACAGTCAGCATACAGGTACTGTCTCTTCAAGGAACCTCCAGAGACAGCAATCGAAAGAGCATGGATTCTCCTTGCAATCCTATCAGTTAAAAAAGATAGAGAGATCAAGTACGGGTGGCTTATGCCTGTAATCCCAGCACTTTGGGAAGCTGAGGCAGGTAGATCCCTTGAGCTCGGGGGTTTGAAACCAGCCTGGGTAACATGGTGAAACCCCGTCTCTACAAAATAATACAGAAATTAACCAGGTATAGTGGCTCATGCCTGTAGTCTCAGCTACTCAGGAAGCTGAGGTGGGCAGATCACTTGAGCCTGGGAAGTTGAAAGCTACAGTGAGCTAAGATGGTGCCACTGCACTCCATCCAGTCCGAATGACAAAGCAAGACCCTGCCTTTAAAAAAAAGGGGGGGGGCGGAGAGAGAAAATCCTGCCCCAAATCTCTAAAAATTATAAAGTCAATAACACAAACACCTCAGCACAACCAGGAAGACTGGATGATTTGTCCAAGATCAACTGGAGTCAAAACCAGTGCTTGAACAAGGATCTTCTCACTCCCAGGAATCAATCAATCCTGAGCGTTCATTTCTCATCTGTGCATTGGACATCCAAATACCTACTTACCAAATGATAGATTATCTACCGAAGTTCTTCCACAAGTAATTGCATTGTAAAAAATATTTTACAGTTAGGAGTATCTGCAGTCAGACAAATTGATTTGAATCAGCATTACCAATTATTCAAAGTTCTATCAGGCCAGGCATGGTGGCTCGCACCTTGGGAGGCTGTGGTGGGTGGATTGCTTGAGCCCAGGAGTTCTAGACCAGCTTGCACAAAATACTAAGACCCCATCTTTACAAACTTTTTTAAAAAAATTAGCTAGTGTGATGGAGCATGCCTGTAGTCCCAGCTACTCAGGAGGCTGAGGTGGGAGGATCCCTTGAGCCTGGGAGGTCAAGTCTGCAGCGAGCCATAATTGCACCACTGCACTCCAGCCTGGGTGACAGAGTGAGACTCTGTCTCAAAAACACACAAAAAGTTTTATCTGTGGACAATTTAAAACCTGCTCAAGTTACCAGTTTCTGCATCAATAAAGTGGGAATAATCATCATAGCTATCTGACGGGATTTTGGAAGATTAAATAATATGTGTAAGGGATGGTGCTCAGTGTATGTGGTGCATAATATCGTGTGTCTGCAATGCATACACGGAGCACCATCCCTTACACATAGTAAGTGCTCAATAAATAGTCAATAATAATAAAGAAATCATAGCTACAACATGTGTTATTCTGTGTTGGATACAACAAGATTGCAAAAACCTATTCTGAAGCAGGCCATTATAGCTTGAGTAAGAAATAAAATAAATAGGCAAACAACAGAACTTTAACCTAATAACATGACCACTCCCAAAGTTTAGCATATTACTGGAAACCGCTAATGGAGCACTGCCCATTATTCATGGTACGAACAGTAAGGAATCATGCATAATGGAACAGAGTCCCTGCTAACAGCAGATTCACACACGATAATTTAAACTTGTTTGTATGGAAATAAAGGACGAATCTTTGAAGTGAGCCTTAATGAGATTCTGCTTGATCTTCGGTGTATCCTGGGAGAAAGAGTTCAATTTTTCCTCCAGCATCCGACTCATGTTGGTGGTGTGTAGGAAAGAAAGGGCTGCCTTAAATTATGAATGGCATTTCTTGTCTTTGTGATAGCAGGTGAGGAGGGGGAGCACTCATCCGGGGGCACTGGGGAGATGCAAGGAGACAATCCCAGTTCTCCGAGGTGGCTTCTGCATCTGAAAGTTAGAGGAAGGCTTGGTGGGCTGGAGCCTCGGAAGGCATTCATCATCCAGAAGGATACTTTACAGACTCTGCAGGAGCATATAAGCTGGTGGGCTCTGGCAGGAGACACGAGGCTACTGGTGTGGCCCTTCACCTTTTCAAGTACTGCTTGTGCACGAAAGGGATTCAGCTCCATCCCAAGACCATGCTGGAGGAGACCTGGCAAGCAGTCGCCTTGCCGGTCACTACTGACCTGGCTGCTGACCAACTCTGAAGAGGTCTCGGTGTTTGGTCAACTTGGTCTGGCTGGCAGAAGGTCCCAGGAAGTGGGCTGTGTTTTGGTTGGCAAATGCAAGAGAGAATGAGTTTTGAGTTTTTAAAATCAATTTGAGTCATGGGACAGGTCTACCTCATTAGGGGACCATTAGATTTATGATGAAAAATGACGACTGTGGAGTGCTGCGTACAGGCTGGCCACTCGCTGTAGAGTGCTGAGCACAGGTGGCTAACACTGTAGAGTGCTGAGCTCCAGCTGACTACTCACTATAGAATGCTGAGCACAGACTGACAACTCACCGTGGAGGGCTGAGCACAGGCTGGCCACTCGCTGTGGAGTGCTGAGCACAGCCTCGCTGCACATTGTAGAGTGCTGAACACAGGCTGGCTGCACACTGTAGGGTGCTGAATACAGGCTGGCCACATGGTGTAGAGCCCTCAATGCCTGGTTGATGCCATTTTATT